CAGATTATTAGTGAATGTTTGATAAATTATTCGACATTAGACAGTAAAAGACAGGATTATCCAGCTAGTACTATTAAGAGACGGCTGTGGCTTTGATCCGTAAAATAGACTTATATGGTACCTCTCGATACTGAGTGTAAAAATCTCGCAGGGACTTCAAATTTTTAGCAAAGACTCGTCTTTAAATGTAATTTTCTTGTTATTTGATTCTGTGTAACATTTTTGTTGGCATTATTTTTTGCACATATCTATGAAGATTGGCTTTATCTAACAATAACAAAAAAATCATTTCATAATAATTAATTGTTGTTTTAGTTAATTAATTTGTGTTTTGTCTGATAAAAAGGTGTAACCACATAAAACGACGAAAACAGACAAACAAGCCTATTTTTTACCGCATAAGGAAAATAAAATGCTAAACGCATACTCCTTAAAATAAAATCACCGTCTTATGGAAAATAACTTCTCTAAATACTGTGTTTATAAAGTACAAGTTAACATCTCTAAATACAGCGTATATAAAGTAAAAGAAAACATTGATCGTGTATTGAGGTCTTTAAGAGAGAAAGATATCAATGAAAGAAAGGAAAAACAAATCTTTAAATTTTCCTTTCATCGTAACGGTGAAAGTCACATTTTTAGCTCACCGTAACCGAAGTTTCAAGTGAGCTTTTCTGATTACCTGTCGTCTGTGAAATCTTCCTGAATAGATTCAAGTTTGTTCGAATCATGGCTCCCGGGTAGAGTGAGGTCACAAAGGGAGATCAAAGTTTCTCATAGGAATATTAGTATATAGAAAAGAAATCTTTCAAAATCTTCTTCTCATGAACAGCAAAGCCATGATTAGTCCTAGTTCAATGTAAAACATCTTCAGGTAGTGTAGATTCAAGTTTGTTTAAATCAAGAGTCCTGGGGTAGGGTGGGGCCACAGTAGTCTAATCAAAGTTTTATATAGGAATATATAGGGGGAAAATTTGCTGATGGAAAATAGCAGGACTAAAGTGACTCAGGTGAGCGTTGCGGCCCATACATAGGCTACTTGTTTTCTACTGCTCTGCTATCGATGTGCTAGTACATAAATATTGCATGTAGTTGAGTGTAACATTGAAAATTTTCACCCCAAGAAAAGCATTGTCAACCGAGGCGCAGCCGAGGTTGACAATGGTTTTCGAGGGGTGAAAATTTTCAATGTTACACTCAATTACATGTAATATTTATTATATTATACTGAATGTTTTATACAAATACATATAACAGTGAACCTTGCGCGCATAAATTCTGCACAGTCACTATTTTTTGGAATATCATCCGTCGTCAAGCAATATTGACTGTTGCTACGCTGGAGGGCGTGGCTTCATTATTCAGCGAGTAATGGTGTTTTTTAACAAATGTTTCTCGACGAATCAGATTCAACTAATTTACATGAAAGTATAATATTAAGAAATGCTGTACACTGCATCATTTTTTATGGCCCTGTTGTTTTTTAACTATCTAAAACCCTGATCCTCTATTGTGGCTCCATATCCTTCACACTGGGATCATAATTTGAACAAACCAAAAGTTAATCTTCGGTAACAGGGCCTGCATATTATACATCATCGTCGCAAGCCACGGGTTTTGTGTCCATTCTATTTCCACAAACCTGTGGAAATAGAATGGACACAAAACCCGTGGCTTGCGACGATGATTATACATTTATTGCATGATCGTGAGGGAAATACATGTATGAAGATTTATTCAGCCAAGAAAAATCATATTCCCCCAAGGGGAATATGATTTTTTCTTGGCTGAATAAATCTTCATACTTCCCGAACATTCATGCAATAAACTGTTTATTATACCGAAACAAACCAAGCCTTTAAAAATGAACAGAAACTTTCAAATTTCGCACCGCTCTTAGGGTAAAGTGATCATGAGTCGGACACCTCTCGTTTTCCTCTATGCATGCAGACCACATTCATCTATATACCCTATGTTATTTGGTCCTGTCCTAAAGCACAAAGATCTACTATTTCTTTGCTTGGATTACCTCGGTATTTTACCTTATAAAGCATTCAGATGCGGGAAAATGCACGAGGTTTCTGAAGAGGTTGAAGATGATGAAATGCATGACAACGACAGGGAAATATGAAGTTTTATGGCCCTGTCACGTGACTGTCAACAACCAATCAGATAACGCATTGTACAGAATAATTTTAATGAGGTATAATAATAATTTTGGTGAAAGATCAATGATCATGAACCTGCTTTCTTGAAAATGGTTTTTTAAAAAAGATTTTCCCTATAAATTTCCATGCTTAACTTTAATCCCCTATTGTATCCCCAATCCAACCCCAGAGGTCACGATTTGCACAATCTTGTATCTGCACTACCTGTGGATCTTATGATTGCATAACATGAACCCTGCTGTTCTTGAGAATACGATTTTCAAATAGTTCCCCCTGTATATTCCAATGTTAAACTTTCATCCCCTTTGTTGTCCCATCCCTACTTCTGGGGCCATGGATTGAACAGTCTCAATACCTGATGATATTTGCATATTTATATGAATAAAATATTATTATACTTACTGTAGACGTACTTTTTTTCCACGAAGGATTAATTTCCGCTATGTACGCGGTCACAATTTTTCCGCGGAAATTTGTCACATCGTACTAAAGATTCATTAAGGACATACAATGACAATCCAAGATATCCGTGTAATTTTATACTCGCGGATTGAGCAGAAATTCTGATTGCGCGGAATTATGACCCCGTGGAATAAAGTAAGTTTACAGTATAAGTAAAGCATTTAAAAATGGTTATTAGAATACAACTCACGATATTCCTCTTTGTACTTAGCAAAAACGAGAATGGAGATGTCTGAAAGCAACAGACAAATAACGATGAACCTGTACTCCATGGTGGTTGTTTGTAATAATATTGATCTATTATGTACAGTTGACAGAATTCAACATGCTATCTAGAATGTCTATGCATCACAATGTAGTATTAAAGCCTATTAATGTCAATGGATATGTATATCTAAAACTGGAATTCAAACTCGGGAATAATGGACCTCTGCGCAAACGAAATTTCGATATTATAATTTGTATAATTCATATGAAACGACCAAGAAGGACAATTTTTTTTACAGAGTAACGGGTTTCAGTAGAAATAATATCATTTACATTAATTACTGTCATAACAGTATCATTAAAACGAGTGTAGCTATTGAACACTCATCCTGGTCTAAAATAATTCTTTGGTTAATTAAACCTGAATAAAATTCAGGAATAGTTTTCTTACAAAATTAACGATGCTCTGAATTTATAGAAACCAAGTTTCCTCAATTTAAAAGTATATTTTGTGTCTGCTGAGCGATCAAATCGCTGCATATACGGATCTTCAGAGTTTTCAAATCTAAATAATAAAGTAAGGAAAAGATGACCTTACACCCCCCCCTTTTTTTGTAGAAAACCCGGACAACTGGTGAATTTATAGTAAGGAGACGATGTGAAGGAAAGCGATTTGTTCTTCCCAGATAGGTTTTTTTTTTCTTTTGCTTTTCAAAAAAAATTCTGAGTTGAATTATTTTCATTTTTTTAATGGGTATGGACCCTACCTCCTAAAAAATTCCTGGATCCGAACATGCGCTGACACTTAAGCTATGACTACATAATCTTTTCAATTTAATAATCATATACTCTGATATAGAGTAGAAATAAAAATATAACGAAAATAATGGGTGCATGCAAACCACTTGGAGCCATAGGGGCTCGGTTTCATATTTAATGTTTTATATTTAGACAGACATAGAAAAACACACAATACTTCATCCTGAAACCAAGCCCCTATGAAGGTGCATTGGCATATAAACGTACATGTACGTTTAATTAATTTGCCGCCCACTCTGCACCTTATGCCTAATAATAACTTATATTTATAACTACATGTAAATGTCATACACTTTGAAGCACATCTATTGCATGTCATTGTCTGAATCTATTTATTTTTTATATACTAGTTACCATTTACCACTCAGGTGTTTGGGGATATACATTGTTCAAACACACGGAAGCAGGATCTCACCATGTACACAGTTCTTCAAAAACTGCATCGGGAAGAAAATATTGTTCGTACTCCCTACATCATCCCACAGGTGCATCTTTCCCTGAATCTATCATTGGTGTATTTTCTGATTTAATGAATTATGGGAAATTTTTACCTGTAGGTTTTAACTTATGAACAACTCAAAATCGTAATTTTTAAAAATCATTTGACGTAATAAATATTATCCCAGACACTCGTATTGTCCCCCTAGCAACCGCAGATGGTGCAAAACAAACACGTTATGAAAACAATTGCATAAAACTTAATAATACAGCTGTTGCAAATTCAGAAAGAGAAGAGAGAGAGAGAGAGAATTATAATGTTGCTGAGAACAAACTTCGACTTTTTATCATTATCATTCCCTTCGCAACACAAGGTGCAGAACAAGTTAATAGTAAAACAATATGCATGAAAGAAAAAAAAAACATTCAAACTAGTGCACAGTCATAAAGATATGAGAGAGAGAGAGAGAGACTTTCTGGGGAAAATGCAAGAGGACTTCAAAGACAAACGGTTGAAGAATGGAATAGGATTACACTTTCAAAAATCTGTCAATATTGCTCACACAGAAATATTCTGACAGATGTCTTATCTAGTGTGTGTGTGTATGTGTATATAATATATTAACTTTTAAATTAAACCAAATACATATGATGTAAGGATATCCTTTTTGTAAATGACATTTGTCTCATATACCTGTGGGTTTACAGTCTGCATCAAGGACATGAAATATTCCATTGACTGTCATTTTCCATTACTTCTAAACGAGTGAGTGAATTCTGTCCAATTTTCTTTACATGTATATAAAGCTCTTGTTTGTATTAAGAAAAGACACTCTTCTCCTTCCCCATCCACAATACTTTTTGAATAAAACGATTACAACTGTATTAAATCAAACAAGTACACTGTTTTACGAATGAGAAATTTACTCAACAATATAAATTAACAAATATCACATAAGCAAACAAAGTTCAGGGTGCACTACTGACTTTACTGTACACTACACAGATATCAAACAAGTGTAAAATACTGTGACATCATCAGTCATTTTCTTCTCAATATGTTTCAACATACCTGTGTTTGAAATACAAAGCCTTGCAGTAATCATCAAAAACATGTTCATATATTAGTTATAATGTACCATGTATTTTCACAGAAATACATGACATTGAATAAAATACAATATTGTGACCAATTTCATTTGTCCTATAAAATAGCCGAATCACATTATCACTCAAAGCAACAATTATCAAGTTAAACCATGATATAGCATAATTATACAACAGTTTAGCAAGTTAAACCATGATATAGCATAATTATACAACAGTGATCACTGCAATCATCACAGTTTCTGTGAACTTTTTTAATCATGATGGATTCCATGAATTTTTCATGTGCAAATATTGCAACAACAAAAATTAAAACCTGAGTATTTTTCTTCCAATGCACCAATTTGTTGTCAAATATTTAAACAATGATAAGTTTGCTCATTGATACAAGTATGCTTAAAATGACTCTATTTTGCAAATGTAATGGCTTTGCAAGAAAATACATGTATGATTTTTCTCCAACAGAATGTCTTTGTACCAAAGGAAATGCAACTATACTTCATGCTTTTAATTCAGTTATGCTATTTCCATAAACCAAAGCAGGATAATCAGGGGCTCTGTCAAGCATATATGAAAATTTGAGTCAAGGTCATAACCATGCAAAAAAAAAACCCCACTGATGTCATCAGCAAACGTTTGAAACATAAGGTTTGAAATCCCCAATTACATTTTCACATTGTATTAATAATTCTCCAAATTACACCAAATATTTTCCATTAAAGTTAATACTGTTAGCTTGCCTACTTTACTTTCCCCATCTAGATCTATGTTAGTAAATGTACATTCTTACATGTAGATTATGATGTTCTCTCCCTTCAATGGAATTTGACATTTCTAGAAAAAACTATATCTAATCAATGGCAAATCAGCACCTATTAATTACAGCCAGTAAGCTATATTAGGGCCAACAACACTGACAATATAAAAAATTGCACACAATATCCATTTGAAGAGAATCTGGTACCAATTCAGCACTACCGTGAAATGCACAAGTACATGTACACAATGCATGACTATTCTCTCACAATCGTATTCTACCACACTACTGAACACGGACTTGTGGATAGGAAAACACTGCAGTTAGCTGACAAATCTCATGAAAAACACTTTTTCACAGATTCTTCAAAGTTCGTGGTTATGGAGAATTCCAGAGGTTTCACTTCTACAGCATTATTTATGTCTCTAATTGTGTTCCATTCGTGCAGGATGTCGTGGTAATGATCGGCCATGGCCAGATTATTAGTTGTCCTGTATAACTTTAGCAGTCCTCTGTAATCATACTCCAATCCGCTGTAACCTTCACCAAATAATTTCTTACCTGAAATCAAGACAGAATTAAGTGATCTGTGAAATAAGAATATGTTATGGACAACCAAAATCCCTATTGTTTGAAAGGTTTTAATGCTGCTGAATGAATAGAGAATTTTAACATTCAGAATTTTAGCATTATCCAAGCTAGAACCCATTTTTGTAAAAATCTATTAAAGATTTGACCATCAGTACTTACACGTCACTACCTGTGAGTAAAACAGCAGCCAAAAAAGAAAAGATTCTTACCAATAGCTATAGATCTAAGATAAAGTTTCTCAGCCTCTGCATATTTCTCCATATCATAGTTATAGAGGGAAGCTAAGTGTCCTACAGATAACGCCACTTCATAGTCATCCTTCCCAAGGAGCCTTTCTTTGATTTTTATAGCTTTCAGGTGCATCTCTTCTGCTTCCTATATATATAAAAAAAAATTGAATCAAATTTTTATTTTCATTTTTTAAATATTTTAAATGTTACATATACAAAGTATTTATGTCATGACTTTGTCTAAATGAACCAAACTGTCAATTTATTCATGTTTCTGCCCAACTTAAAAGTGCAAAAATCTGCCACCTATGTATAATGTGGACACCCCTTTTTAACTAAGGTTTGAACCTAGAACCATTGGACTGAAAAAAAAAATACTCCACCTGCGCTACAGGGTTTCCAGTAGGCAGTTTTGTAGAAGGAACAAGACCTTACTTTACTCAGCATCTATAGCCAATTTAAACACAATGAAAGAAAAACATGTCCATAAAAGTTTCCCAAATCATGTCAACTTCTTTGGGTCTCAGACAGTTTAATATATATATATAAACTACTGAACTAAATGTGTTACTAAACTGGAATTCATGTGCAAAAATATGTTTATCTTGTAATATGCAGTACCTTACACTCAGATTCACTGACCTCATATCTTTGCATGGACTGATACAAACGTCCTAGGTTCCCATAATGCTTTGCAGTTTGAACATTGTTTTCCCCGAATGCCTTCCTGGCCAAAGCCAGAGACTGGAGATGAAGCTCCTGGGCCTCCTGGAGATTCTTCTCTTTGGCCTCCTTAGAGAGACTGTCCAAAGCAATCTCCTCTAGTATTAATGCTGAGGAAAGATACACATTTGTGTGTCAGTCAAAGATGTCTCTAACTATATTCTATGAACTTTATCTAACCTTCCTCTCCAGTTAAATCCCTTAATGAATCGGATTCTTTGCCAAAAATGCTTAGCTTTTAATGGACGTTTATTCAAATCAAATGAAGTCTGAATTACCTACAAGAATTTGAAGAAGTGAAAGTGTTACATGTACATGTATGTGTATTATGCATGTCTGCAGTTTTACATGTGTAAGTATTACATGTTTCCACATTGTATTAGTAAAACTGAAAAATAAATGTTGGTGTTATCATACCTTTAACTCTTTTAGATGAAGACAGTAACAAATGATCTTCTGGTAGTATATGACTTAATATTTCTATAGCTTTTTCTGCATGCTCCCTATAATAAAGGATCAAAATTTAATTCAAAAAGAATTTCTTCCTTGGCATGTTGTTGGGAAGTGCAATATCACAAAAGAGTAAAATAAAGTTGTACTTGGCATCGTTAAATCTCCCAGAACTATATTCTTGAACGTATGAAGCATATGCCAGATCTTCATGTCCTATGGCAACATAAAGATTTTTCCCTCCAAATACAGACTGACGTATACCAAGAGCCATCTAAAAATATTTCAAAAAGATTTTGACATTCTGTGGTTTAATCAGTTTTCATTAAACACTTATTTTTCTATTGTTTTCTTGATTACTGTGGAAATAAGGTTTTTACAAACTAAAAATAAGACTAATGATATCAAAGTATGTAGCAGCTGCCCAAAATTTAAAGAAAAACAAAACTTTATTTTTTGCCAAATCCACAGAACTTGATCCCAACAAAAATTAATGAAACCACAGTACAATACTGTCTTCATTGACAATATCTAAAGCAATAACTAGAAACAAGTAATTTAGCCTTCTATAATTTGCAGTGTTTATATGAATTCTCTGCATACCTGATATACTTGTACAGCAGCAGTTATGGAATCCACATTTAACAAATAAAATCCGTAATCCAGCAATGCATCAGAATATTTAGGGTGTTTATCGCCAAACTTCTCTCTATAAATATTGATCATCCAACTTAATACACAGAAGACGGGAAAAGAGAAAGAACTGCATGAACAATAGGGTTTAGTGTGATATCTTACCTCGCATAACACACAGCATGCTTTACAAGAACTTCAGCCTTGGAAAATTCACGCTTCACAACACAAGCCTTGAATAAAGAAATATCACACAAGCCTTGAATAAAGAAATATCATGGAAATATCACATATTATAAATTTCAAGACTCTATTTTGCACTGAAACATGTAAAATTATTTCTTCAATACTAAAAATATAATACAAGAATAGACAACATGCTAAAAAGGCAAATTCATTTGTGGAAATGCAGGTCTTTCTCCTGCATATACTGGAAAACAGATTTACACTTTTGTGATTTTTCATACTATGTATTAAAGGAAACAAATCTCTTAATTTGCAATCAATAGCAGAAATCTTATAAAAGCTATCAATCCTGAAGATTTATTTCTCTTTGAAAAAAAAAAAATTGGATGCACACAATTTATTAATAAAAGTTTCATACCTTTGAGCACTGTCTTAATACATCAACAATAGTCTGAAATAAAAAAGTAATTTTCCAGAAACAAGTGCTAGACAATGAAACTTTGCAAAATCAACATACAGACCCTCAATGCCAAGTGCCATGTAATGACTGAGAAAATGTGGAATGTATTGCTAGGTTGCTTGCTTACCTTGTTTGGTAATGTCTTGGATAATGCCTGTATAGCCCTTGAACAAAATTTTATTGCCTGAAACGTACAAAAAACACACATATCTAAAGATATACAATATTTTAAGAGCAGTAAACTCATATTTGGAGAAAATTAATTACAGTAAAACACGCTTAAAGCGAACACGCTTATAATGAATTGACACTTATAGCGAAGTGATTTTCATTCCCAATGGGTTTTAAACATGTTGTGAAGCTAACAGATATAATACGTTTATAATGAAGCAAAATCGTCCGTCCTTGGCACTTTGTTATATGCATGTTTTACTGTATTTCCATACAAACTCTGGGGACTTACTCTATCTTTAAGACTTTATGCAAGCAATACCTTTTAAACGTAAATCTATCACCACATAAACTCCATTTACAAACTGATCTTACCTCATCATACTGACATTTACAAACTGATCTTACCTCATCATATTGACATTCAGCAAACAAAAGGGCACAACACTCAGTGTAGAAAGCTGCTGCATTGACAGGTAAATTCAGGGACTGTAACTCTTCTAGGGTTTGTCTGGCTATCTGACAAGTCTGATCAGCTGCAGTGTATTTACAGTTAGCATTCTGCACATGCAATAGCCTAAAATAAAAGGATACATCATACTATTGATGAAATTAAATGATGAAAAGTCATATTTAATTTTACTTTACCATTGTACAAATGTATTTATTTTCTCCATGATGATCAATACCTTCTATCCTGATTTTGGATTTCTATATGCCAGTCTTTTCTCTCTATATATATATACATATTGACCTGGCAGTGCACTCTCCCAGCTACTTTCATGCCCATCTGATTAAAATCAAACCTTCCACTAACACCATTATTCTGATGCCCACACACAACCATCAGAACACAAAGGAGCTAGAGGAAGCCAGGTCTGATTTTAATCAGACTGCTTTCATACAATAGTGGATAATTACATGACTTGACCATCACAGTCAGATGCACGAAGATACATGTAGGTGAATATACAAGTAGGTGAATATACTAGTGTTGTCAAATCGTTCAATTTTTAGTAACCGGTTACTCGCTTACTTTTCCGATCGAGTACCCGGTTACTCGGATGGTTTTTCTTTAGACCTCTAACATCCTTGCTTGCAGTATATATGCAATATTAACTGCAATATTTGTAACGTCATTACAATTTCCATTATTTATCATTTATATACCGGCGTGTATGAATAAAATGCACTCTATGTGCACTTTATTTATTTTTTATTGTAAATTCAAAAGCTTCTACATAAATTTTTTCTCATATCCCATAAAAGTTGGTTGTTTTGCAGGATATCCTATATGCTGGTTTCAGAGTTATGTTCCCGTGTATGTTAATTCTTTTTAGAGTATTTTTACACTTTACGGATTTAAATTCTTTTAAAATGTCTTGTTTAATCTTGTAATGCAGACGCGCACTGTTAAGTGAGGTCATTATAATTAACTCAGATCTTCTAAACTTGTATATGCACCCCTTAGCAATCAAAGCCATCAATCATATGAACTGTGAAATCTGAGTATAATAAAAACAAATCGATTGTATTTGTGAAATACTAGTTCAAGTCCAACGTTAAATGGTAAATAAAATGGGGGACATGTGTAAGTATTCATTTATGAAAAAAATAAATTTCTTTTCTACTTATGCCTCTATATCCGAGTAACAATTTTACTGACCGATATTCGCTTCGTTCGAAGTTTAACCTGTTAACCAGGTACTCATTGACAACACTAGAATATACACATACACTGTAGCTTTAAATACTTACCCAACACTGCATTCCAGAGACTTATGTAAGTTAGATTTATCCATCTGACATAAATTAAGACATGCTTTATATACTGTCTCACTGGCGGTGAACCAACCAGCATCGCAGAGGAAACCACCTGCAAATACCCAAGTAAACATTAACTACAAATACCCAAGTAAACATTACCTACAAATACACAAGTAAACATTACCTACAAATAAACAAGTAAACATTACCTACAAATACACAAGTAAATATTACATCAGCAACTTGCTTAACATATAGATATATGTATATACACGTACATGTACTTATTTTATATGTATACATTGTAAGCTGGCACTGACAAATACACTGAAAATTTTTCCTCACATATGTATTTGATCACTTGTAAATTACATTTAGGTTGTGTATGCATCCACACCAAATGGCCCAAATAATCAATATAATATACACTGTATGTGTATTGTATACTTGTAGTTCAAACATTTCTTTTTCACGCTAGTAACAGAAAAGAAGGAAATCAAAGGAACAAGCAATGACTAGAACACTTGAGGTCTCTATCAACTGAGATAAGTGAGCATAGTATTAACAGAACTTGCTTGGCAACCATTTTACTCTTTCTTACCCCCCCCCCCCCCCAAAAAAAAGCCACCAATTCTAGCTCAATGTTAACAATGTGGTTATCTATTTCACACTTCGTTTTATTCTATGCTATCCATCAAATGTTGATGTACAATAAAAATCCATTGTCAATAATATACAATCAAGAGACATCCTGAAGATAGATTGAGAATAAAATCACTTTGAAAAACACCTGCTGGTAGATTGAGCCACTTCAATAGACATGATAGAATCCAATCATATCTCCAAAAAAAAAAAAAAAATCCCAATTTTGATCATAGTATAATATCAGAAACACTTGACTAATGAGGATGCATCTAGCAGGTTATCTGGTCAAATTGAACCGCCTGCCTGATCACAACATACCATCAATTGTATAACAGGTATGAAAGCTGTAATTTAGACCATTAATAATAACATCCCCTTTTTTTTTTTTTACCTAATTGAAAGCCTAGTTGTATAGCTCTATCCCTTGCTGAGAGGTCCTGACATGTCTGTGGAGCTAGCTGCTGAGCAAATGTATCTGCTAGGATATCAGAAACACTGGCTCCATGATCCATTAAGGCCTGGAAGCAGTGGTGCAGTAAATGCCTGTAAATGATTTAAAGAAATGCTGAATCAATTACTTACTTCATAAGTCTAATCCTTGGTCCTTGATGTTGTTGGATTCTGTACACTTGTACAATCTGGTTTTATACATATTTTATTTGCAATACCTCCATTTACTGTACAATGAGCTATTAGTATTGTTCAATTAAATTGTTTCCAAAAAAAATCAAATATGATGTCTACAAAACACAAATCATATAGAAAAGATAGCATACCTTTTGTCATTAACCTTTAAAACTCTTGCAAATGTGTCCAACTCCGAAAATTCCAGAGCCAACTGGCATATTCTTCCTTTGTTATACAACTACAAAATATATTATACATTTGATTCAACATAAATCATAATTGCATGTAATGTGGAACAAAATTCATATTTACATTTTACATAGTGATATTGTATTGCATGAATATCATGAGAAAATAAATGAAGAAACTCCACCCTTTCATGAAATAATTCTTAATTTTAGGTATATAGCAATCAATCCATTGCAAATGCTGTGAGAGTGGTAAAAATAAATCCTTTTAATCAACATTTAGTATAATTTACTCTTCATATCAATAAGAATTGTATTTTCTAGATATCTGACTAATTTAAAATAAATATGATAAATGGCATTTTAACAATTAATGGTAACAAAAATTAATACCTGACAACAACAACAACAACAAAATAATACATTTTACTGATTTGTATTTTTTTTTCTTTTGAAAGTTTCTGTAGATCACTAGATCATGGCTGTTGTTGGGATATAATGTTATACGTAAAACAAATTAATGTAAATTCACATTTGTTGCATAAATTCTTCGAAAAAAATATCAAAAGAAGGAGGGGGTGCACACTCTAATCATCCATATTCTCTTGCATATTTCTAACTCGATCTATTTCAATATATTTACATTTCCAATAAATTTCCCCTATGATTCTTTACAAAATAGAGTACAGTTCATTTTCTCATGAACTACCATGAATGGGCATGAATATCTCCATTGTTACATCATAATACCTCACTTGACGTCAAAACTATAGTGCAAACTCTTTTGCTTTAAAAATGACAGTTGAATGGCGTTATATGAGACATATCATCAGAAAAATAATGTAAATATAAGAAATGAATTTAATTTTTGAAAATTCATGAGGTACATGAACTACAACGCTTCACGCCGGCATATTTATCATGAAGCGCTACCATGCTTCATGAAATATTCCAGCGTGAAGCGTCGTAGTTCATGTTCTCATGAATCTTCAAAAATTAAATTCATTTCTTAATTAATACACGTAATGATGTATATACATCGTTGCAAATCACCGCCAAAATGTACAATCCTCTCCCATTCCTGAGTGGACTTGAGACAATGATGTATATTATATATATAGTTAAAATATTATGGAAAATATAATGTATTTAAAATATTATGGGAAATATGAAAATAATTTATTAGTCTGCATCCTAAAATCTACATGTAAATATTTTCAAAGTAGACCTCAACAAAGTTAACTGGCATTAATGATGGACAAATCTGATACAGGACCATATGGTTTTTGGTCCTGTGGACCAGTGAGTTTAAATGCTAATTTAATCTGCAAACACTAGCTGCCAGTATCACAAAATAAATCATTTTAATTTAATGAGTTTATCTTGTAGGATTTAAATCGATGTCATTTCACTATCATTCTCCCTAATCTGTTGACTGCCCAAGTCTGCCTGTTGTACACTCAATGCTGAGTCACCAAATATTAGGCCTACTTCATATTATCCCTCAATCAGCTGGAATTTGAGTCAAGACATCCGATGTCATACCTCACACAACTGTGAAATCTTAAAACATCATCCCAGATTTTATTCCTTCATTGAACCTTTTACTTTTCTGAGATTTTTTTTCTGAAGGGAATTACCAAATATAAACCCAAGGCTAAGAATAACATTACGTAGTCACTGTGGTGACTAAGTATATTCCGGTAAACGATCCTACTTTAGACTTACTTTATAATAAATGTCAAACTGCACATCTTCTGGGAGGCTTTTGACTTCTCGTCTGTGCTTATTGTAAGACGATACTGTGGCAGAAACAGCTGTATTGTACAAGGAATCTGGCACCCACTCTAATGCACAAGCAGACGCCATTTTGGATTATTTGACAGGTGCGACATCTAATGTAATTTGGAGTTATCGTTCTTGTTTCCCTCTTCTTTTTGTACAAGATTTGTTACTGTACATAATATTTTTGCATTAAAAAAAATAAATAAATAAATAAAATTTAAATAAGATTTAAATACTAAAACTCTGCTCTTCAGGGCCTGGCAAGAAATGAATGAGACAAGAGGCCCATGGGCCACATCGCTCACCTGACCAACATGGCTCCCCTGTTCTTCATCGGCAGATTTCTTCTCCTACATATTCATATATAAAGCTTTGTTCACCTGTTCTAGCCACACCCTACCCCGGGGGTCACTGTTATGAACGAAATTGAATTTATATTTTCTGAGGATACTTCCATATTCATATGACTTAATCATGGCTTTGCTGTTCTTAAAAACAGAATTTTAATGATGTCTGCCACCCTACCCTGGGGAGGGGGGGGGGGGGGCATGATTTGAACAAACTTGAATCTACACTACCTGGGGTTGCTTCCATGTCAATATGACTGATCATGACTTTGTTGTTTCTGAGAAGAAGATTTTTAAAATTTTTTCCTATATATGTTCATATGTAATATGTTATGGCCCCATCCTGCTTCTGACAGATGACTTGAACAAACTTAAATGTACAATACTCATACTTGGGGATTCTTCCATATCAGTATGACTTATCATGGCTTTGTTTTCTTGAGAAGATTTTTTCCTATATACACATGTATTCCTACGTAAAATTTTGATCCCCCATTTGACCCCACCCTACCCCGGGGATCATGATTTGAACAAATTTGATTCTACTCTACCTGAGGATTCCTCTTTATCAGTACGTCTAATCATGATCGACTTTGAATTGTTCTTGAGATGATTTTTAAAAGATTTTCCCTGTATCATTTACATATATATTCCTATGTAAAATTTTCACCCCCAATTGTGATCCCACCCTACCCCCAGGGGTCATGATTTGAACAAATTTGATTCTTCACTACCTAAGGACGGGATGCTTTCATATCAATGGGTCTAATTGTGGCTCTGTTGTTCTTGAGAAGAAGATTTTTAAAGTTTTTTTCTATATATTTCTATGTAAAACTTTGATCCCCCATTGTGGCCTCAACCTACCCCAGGGTTCATGAATTGTGCAAACTTGAATCTATACTATCTGAGGATGCTTCCATATCAATATGACTAATCATGGCTAAATTTGTTGTTCATGATAAGAAGATTTTTAAATTTCTTTCAAAGATATTCCTATGTAAAACTTTGATCCCCCATTGTGGCCCCACCCTTTCCCTGGGGGTCATGATAATGGAACAAATTTAAATCTACACTACGTAATGAAGATTTCATATAAGTTTCAAATTTTCTGGCCCAATGGTTCTTGAGAAGAAGATTTTTAAAAGATGACAAAACATTTTCACCAATTCTTCATTATCTCCCCTTGAAAGAGGGTGTGGGCCCTTCATTTGAAAAAAAACTTGAATCCCCTTCACCCAAGGATGCTTTGTGGCATCTTTGGTTGAAATTGGCCCAGTGAGAAGAAGTCAAAATGTGAAAAGTTTACAGACAGACAAGACAGACGGACGCCAGACAAAATATGATCAGAAAAGCTCACTTGAGCTTTCAGCTCAGGTGAGCTAAAAAAAAGTAAAATGAACACCATTAATATATTTATAAGTCTATAATCTCAACTTTCACAGACCACTCAAAATTGCCCACGTTTTCCATAACCTCAATGTGCATCCATCATGCCTGCATTGTAAATGAAACATTCCATATACATGTAATTTCAAAAACTGTATATTTATTTTAATATTATAATACTTCACTCCCCCCTCCATAATACACTATTTGCATATAGCATTCATATGTGTTTGTGAATTTACACCGATACCCCCATATGGCAGCTCATGGCCGTATCCCCCAAAAAGGTCATGTCACATGAATTATGAAAGCACCAACTGTTCAGAAGTTAATATGGCTAAAAAAATATAGTTGAAATTCCAAGGTCAATGTCACAAGATCAAAAATATTGGTACCCAGTGAAAGGTCTTGACACAAGGAATGCATATGTGTGAAATATGAAAGCTTTAACACCAACCATTCAAAAGTTATGGGCAAGGTAAAAGTTTTTCAGACAAACAGAAAGATGGAAAGATCAAAAACTATATGCTTGCAAATCTCAGATTATGGAAGCATTAAACTAGAAATAAGTCCATAGGACATGAATGCCCTGCCCAGGGTTCATTAGTAATGTAACATGAAAACTTGTATTAGTGTATGAAGTTTGATGAAAATATCTTGAATAGTTTCTTTAAAACTTAGTTTTAGACACAATGAATAGTAAAGTCAAAGGTCATTGGGAAGGTCAAGGTAAAAAAAATGGACACAGTTGATGAATTCTCACCAAATTATGTTTTAGTGCATAAGCTTACATAAAAATACCTTGAACGTAATATATTATGGAGATAACAAATAATTTCTTTGAAACTCAGCTAAATGCAAATTTAAGAAAAGTGAGGTCAAGGTCAAAGGAAAGGTCAAGGTAATATAAAATTTGATGCAATTCAATAGCACTACTAAAATATATCATCAAATGAAGTTTGATAACCAGAAGTCTCTGATGAGACTGTAGCTCTATTGATTTGTACTTAAAACAAAGGAAAAGAAGCACTTGCACTTGAAACTATGCAACAGCAATAAATAGAATACTGATCCTTGGTTAAGTCTCTTTGTGGCAAGATTTATTGCAATCAGACTAAAACTGTTGGAGGAGTAGCCTGGTGAAAGTATTTCACCAAAATTTCTATTTTTAGTCACATGGCAAGACCATTCAAGAAAATCAAAAACTGATGCACTGAATTATGTATCTAAGTGTAGTCTACTTGTGTGCCAAGTTATATTGAAATCAGATTAAAACTGTAGGAGGAGTAGCATTTTAAAGGAATTTCAGAGAAATTTTTATTTTAGTCAACGAATACCGTTCATCAAAATCAAAAACTGATTTCTTTGAAAATGAGCTATACACACATTTTGAAAAATGGTGTCAAGGTCAAAAAATGCTAATTCAGTTGAATATAACTCCCATCAAAATGTATCAGCAGATGAAATTTTATACAAATACCTTCAAGAGTTTCTTTGAAACTGAGCTTAAGTGTGATGACTGCCCTATACGCCAAAGGCGTCACGGGCAGTAAGTAAGTAAGTAAAGTGTGATGGGAGGACAGAAGGATGGAAGAGACATGACAAACAGTATATGCCCTAGTCATATTCATGTTGGGGCATAAAAATTATTAATGAAAAGATAAGTTAGAAGATAAGGACCATGCCTCAGAAAACTTTTGCACAAGTAGTACTTTAACCCAGTAAAAGCATGAATGGTTTTGATAAAGTTGATAGTTCTGTGTACTTTACAAGTATATATTTACAGATACAATGTTTTCTTTCAATGTTTTAATTCTGCTTCATGTACATCATGGTTTAAACTTCAATGTACAAAAAAATTGTAACACCAATGCATGACATCACAATGGTATAATGGGTATATATATATATTCACAGACACTATAATGGACAAGAGATATGTACATCAGCACACACAAATGAGCACCATGTATGCCATATCTCACAAGTAAAAACAAGTTTCCTCATCTCAATGTGATCATACACATAATTTTAACACATTATAAAAAAAAAATCATCAATTTTTTATCATAATTAAATTGATAAAAATAGAATTGTTACATACATGTATTTAAATATTTAACATCAAGTTTTTACTTCAATCTGCCAAAAAATGCTAATATATCAAGAATAAAAACATTACAATCTACAACTGCTATTGAAAATTTCTCAGCTGTGTTGATAAAACACAATTTAATCAAAAGAAGATGTGCTTTAAATAACCAATTTTTCATTAAACAATATACAAGAAGTTTTGAATCTAATTATCTAAACTGTACTTATGATATATATGCACTGTTATGCTAAATCAATATGCTTAACACAGGAGGATTTTTGTTTTTTCAAATTAAGAAATATTTTTTCCAAAAGGAATTTAAGAAAAACTACGAATAATTAAGCAAACAAGTTCAAGTACATTTAAGGTCAGAAAACGTGAAAACAGTTCTAAAAAAAGTCAATAGCTTCAATATACTACAAAATGTACATGTATATTCCACAAGACAGTTGCACAGTAAAAATAAACAAATAATAAATAATATACATGTAGCTTAGAATTTTTTCCTCTTTTCTTACAACCTTTCGCAACAAAAAAGGATTAAAAGTAAGACATGTACGTGTCCGAAAATTTATGTATTCATATGTCTGGTAACGTCAGTAAAACAATTCTACATATTGCTCGGAATCTTTCACAATGAAATTTTAATATAAATGGATCCTTGTAACTATGGGAAACAGATATGTCAAACACACACACAGAAATTCATGAAAACAAACACAGTTCAATTTCAATTGATATCCATGTACATGCACTTAAAAACAAAAGTATAAGCAATACATGTACATGTACCTTTGACCATAGGTCCTTGGGAACTGGATACCCCTTTGCACCCCCACACATAGAAAAAATAATTTAGGAAAAACTACACCAAAAATGACCTAGATGTCTATATTAGGTGTTGGGGAGGGGTATTTTGTTCTCAAATACTTATGGCCCCTACTGTTACATGAGAAAGATGAGAGAGCAGGAGAAGAGGGTTCTTTTTATTGTGTAAATGTTTTGTGGCACACTGAAAAATATCATTGAATGAATATCAAATTGATTATTGAGGCAGAGCAAATCTCTGCTCACTAAAATATATTTTTCTGCAATTAAATTTCTATTTAATTTTAAACTAATTAACAAAATTAAAAAGAAATTCAAACAAATTTAGTTATCCCTTAAAACAGATTATTCTCCTTGAAACAAAATGTATGCAACACAATCCATTAACAAAATCAATTCTTATTGTTCACATATATAGTGAGAAAAAAGCGAGGTGAGGATACTTCATCCCATGGATACTTCATCCCTTGTAAAACAGGTCATGTCAGCTTTACAGTCACAATAATTGAAATATTTCATCCAATATCAAATATATAAGTTAACAACAAGTACAATCCAACTGCTAATGGTATAGTTCAACTAGAAGCAGAGGTTCAGTCTCAGATGTTGGATGCAAGAGCTATTTTCACACAGGGAGATTTTTAATTTAGGATAGTAGTACAAGAAATGGAGTGAATCTGTCTTCATACTATTTCAAGTCTGTTGAAATCGCAAGTCTTAACTTCAGAATTTATATTATGTTGGAAATATTTAAGAATTTTCTCAAAATTTCAAAAAATTTACATGTATCGAGTGATTCTGTACACAAGAAATTTACAATATTTACAAACAATTGGTTAATGATTTCTGTTTATAGCTAATGGTTGCTGTTTTCACTTGTCGTACGACTGCGATCAGTAGGAACATCAGCATCATTTGTTGCATCTCTGGGTTTCCCAGTGCCAAATATACTGGCATTTCTAGACCCAGGAGCTGCTGCATTTGCAGGTTCTTTAACACTACGTGGTAAAAGTTTTAATTTTGGGCGCTGTGCTGCACTCTCTGCAATGAACAAAACATTATTGTATAACAGTTCGTGAATTCAGACCTCCAATTTCCTATTAAATGAATACCTCCTATGCATTCATTTTTCATAATACAGTAAAACACGCTTATAGCAAACAAGCTTATAATAAATTGATGCTTACAGTAAAGTGATTTTCATTCCCCGCGGCTTTAAAATATGTTGGGAACTTAACAGATATAAGAAAGATCAAGGTTCACTTAGAGCCTTACTGACCCTGTGAATTTCTGAAAAATCAAAACTGCTCAGATTTATTTGAAAAAAACCCATTAAATTTCACTTGAACCCTTGGTGACTGCATATCTATTAAAATGATATAATTTTCTCACTAGTCCAGTGATATGACGTCATGATTTGCATCATTATCCTCAAGTCCTAAAAATTTCTTCACAAATGGCCAAAAATTTAAGCTGTTTTTCAATATTTTGCACAGACTTCAACCTCTGATCCAAAATGTTCAATTTGATGTATATAATGAAAGAACTGTTTCAGAGTTCTTGGAGATAAAATTCACTACACCAAAAAGATGTCTACAAAACATTTCTAGTTCTGCAACTCACCTGGTGATGGCTCCCTTAGTTCTTCTGAAGGTCCACTATTCTGTCTTTGCCTGGAGCGACCACTGAAACCATCATGGTTTCTTCCACCAAAACCATCCTGATTCCTACCACCAAATCCATCCTGGCGACCCCTGCCACCTCCATAGTCACCACGATAACCTCCCCTGTTATAGCTCCCACGGTCAGAGTATCCCCGGTCACCTCCCCAGTTGTCACCTCCTCGGTCCTGGTAGCCACCTCGACCACCACGGCCCCCTCGACCTCGGTATCCTCCTGTAGTATTTGGAAAAGAAAACATTTTTTCTTAATAAACTTTTTTTTTTATACATGTATCTTTCCTTTACTTTGAAACTGAACATGTTCAGAGGTTTGCCTTGCATTATGTGATAAGTTGGGAATGAGCTTATTCTCGTCTTCCTGATAAACTTAAATGTAAAATTTAAAATTAACAGATACAGATTCCAATGCATCGGGCAAAAAGCATTCAAAAATAAATTGTGGTCAGGTTTGGTTTTGCATATATCATAAAATAAGCTATAAGCCTGAACTTTGTTCTTAACCAGTCATTTAAATGCTGAGTTTAACCTTACATCTATAGTCGGAATATTGCAAATCCATGCTAATTCCAGAATTCATTTTCAGCTTTCTTATAAGGTTATAGAAATGCCCCCTTCTTCCCCTATTTTGAAACAAGGGGGCATGAAAAGTAATTTAATTGATCTTTATTCCGGACTTCTGCCATTACATACCTCTGTCTCTTCCTCGGTTGCCTTGGAATCCTTGACCTTTGTCTTTATTTCTACCCTCTGCTACATCAACACGGATATTTTTATCTTCAAATAACTGTAAAAAAAAAAAAAAAGAACAACATCAATTCACAGGTTTTGTGTTTAAGAAATAACTAGAAATATGTCCATAGGACATGAATGCCCCGCCAACGGTATATTAGTAATGCAACATTTTAACACAAATTGAGAAAAGTGAGGTCAAGGTCAAAGGAAAGGTCAAGGTCAAAAAATATTGCTGCAGTTGAATAGCTTACATCAGTATGTATCAGCATATGACGTTTGATTCAGAAACTAATTTAAGAAAAGTGAGGTCAAGATCAAAGGAAAGGTCAAGATCAAAAAATGTTGATGTAGTTGAAAAGGTTACATCAGTATGTATTAGCATATGAAGTTTGATGAAAATATTATGAATGGTTTCTTTAAAACTGAGCTAAACACTAATTTAAGAAAAGTGAGGTCAAGGTCAAAGGAAAGGTCAAGGTCAAAAAATATTGATGCAGTTGAAAAGCTCTCATCAGTATGTATCAGCATATGAAGTTTGACACTAATTTAAGAAAAGTGAGGTCAAGGTCAAAGGAAAGGTCAAGGTCAAAAAACGTTGATGCAGTTGAAAAGGTTACATCAGTATGTATTAGCATATGAAGTTTGATGAAAATATTATGAATGGTTTCTTTAAAACTGAGCTAAACACTAGTTTAAGAAAAGTGAGGTCAAGGTCAAAGGAAAGGTCAAGGTCAAAAAATATTGATGCAGTTGAATAGCTCTCATCAGTATGTATCAGCATATGAAGTTTGACACTAATTTAAGAAAAGTGAGGTCAAGGTCAAAGGAAAGGTCAAGGTCAAAAAATGTTGATGCAGTTGAAAAGGTTACATCAGTATGTATTAGCATATGAAGTTTGATGAAAATATTATGAATGGTTTCTTTAAAACTGAGCTAAACACTAATTTAAGAAAAGTAAGGTCAAGGTCAAAGGAAAGGTCAAGGTAAAAAAATATTGATGCAGTTGAATAGCTCTCATCAGTATGTATCAGCATATGAAGTTTGATAACACTATCTTGAATGGTATCTTTAAAACTGAGCTAAAAACTTATTTAAGAAAAGTGAGGTCAAGGTCAAAGGAAAGGTCAAGGTAAAAAATATTGATGCAGTTGAATAGCTCTCATCAGTATGTATCAGCATATTAAGTTTGTTAAAAATATTTTGAATGGTTTCATTAAAACAGAGCTAAACATTAATTTAAGAAAAGTGCGGTCAAGGTCAAAATAAAGGTCAAGGTCAAAAAAATGTTGATGCAATTGAATAGCTTACATCAGTATGTATCAACATATGAAGTTTGATGAAAATATTATGAATGGTTTCTTTAAAACTGAGCTAAACACTAATTTAAGAAAAGTGAGGTCAAGGTCAAAGGAAAGGTCAAGGTCAAAAAATGTTGATGCAGTTGCATAGCCCTCATCAATATCTATCAGCATATGAAGTTTGATAAAAATATCTTGGATAGTTTCTTTGAAACTGAGCTTTGAACAGAGCTAAACGCAAAGTGTGACGGAAGGACAGACGGAAGGACAGAAGGACGGAAGGACGGAAGACGGACATGACAAACACTATATGCCCCGGCCATATTCATGGCGGGGCATAAAAACTGGTCAGGAACTTAAAACAGCCCTTGGCACCATGCAAGCTAAAATACAGCCACTATTCTCAGAAGTGCAAGTACAGGGCTCAACAATAAGACGTCTGACTGACTCAGACAAGTAAAAGTTTGGTCTGGTCTAGTTTATTTTGCATCAAGTAGCCTGACTGATCAGGTAAAAAAATTTCAAAGTTAAAATGATGCAAAACTATTAGTTAAGGATTTCTAAATATAATACACAACTGATTCAACCATGTGTGTGCTATTCTTGTTTGGATCAGGTTTCACTTTCATTTTTCGATCCTGATAAAAAAATAATTGTGAAAAGATTGATTTTGGAAATCTTTACTTGTTTTCTTGTACTATAATAGCTTGTTGACTATGAGACATTTATATACACTATCATTATGATACATATCAATATTTCGCCTGTCTTGCTGCTATTTCATTTTCTTGTAAAAGTTAAATTCTACCAGAGTTATCCTTCCTGCTAGGTTTTTCTTTACGAAATGTTGCCCTTTATATTTTTGTTTAAAACAGATTAGAACTTAATTAAGTTGGATCACAATATATCTCCCTTTCTGAAAGTCCAACTAGTCCATTTTGTTTTGTGCTTAATGTTGAACCCTGAAGTATGACTTAGTTTGTAGATAAGCTATGAATTCATTTCTCAGATTTCTAAGAATACATACATGTACTTTTACACCAGGTTAGCTATAAAATTTGAATGACAATACTTACTGCCCCATCATAAGTGAGAGCTTCCTTTAAAGAGTCAATGTCTTCAAATTCTACATAAGAGAATCCTGAAAGCAAATGAAATTCTTCAATAACTCAATACAAATTAAGTGCAAAGTTTTCAGAAACAACACAGGAAGCATGCTTAACATTAGGGATGTGAAATATTACCAGTATTTCAGTATATTGCGGTAAACTGCAGTAAAACCCACTGCAACAATATATGCCAATATGAATATTTAACAATGCATTTAATTGATTGGGAAGGGATGCGCCATAGTCTCATTGAATGAAAAATAGTGCATTAAATCAACCATTCATAGCCCCAAAGGGTGCATTCAATTTTCCAGAGTAGGTAAGTCTTCACAATATTCCTTAAGAAATATTTTATGTACAACTTGCCTAATTGTCTTTCATTTTAAATGCATTCATTTTAAGGACATTGGCAAGGTTCCTGGTTATCGTATAGAATTTTTCAAGAACTCTTGAGTAGGTTTAAAAGTACTAAATAGGCTATATTCTTGACCTTTTAACCTACCAATCCAACCTTCTTTTTTAGATTTTGTGAAATCGATGTTTTTACACTTCTCAATGCATTTCCTATGTAAAATGTTGATAAAAGGGACCTACATAATTTTTCACCATAATATTTTTCCAAAACCCACTTATTTCATACAGTTTTTGTATTATATACATTATTGTATCTTCATTTCCTATGACTTCTAGAAATTATGGCTAAAAATTATATATCGGAACAAAACATGGATATACCGGCACCGATCATTATTTCTGAGTTGCTTCCCTCAACAGTTAAAATTGATCAAGAGACTGGTTGATTGTTTTTATCATGTAGTTGACTTAATTGATTGAAACACATTGTAACAAAAATATTGGCATTGTTTTATTTTTATTTTTTATTCGTAGTTACTAAATGCTGCTTCCTTCACACGACCTAGCTAAGAACTGTTCTCAGTCGGCCTACCTTTCAGCATATGTCACATATTTGCCCTTCCCAGCATACTGAGCACAACTATCGTAAATGACGACCTATTGGCTCTTTGTCCCTGAATACAATGTACAACAAAGCCATTTCTACTTTTCTTTCTTGCTGTATAGATGATTCTACCCGTTGAAGGAAGTAATCGTGCTTTTGTTTACCTCTGTAACATACGCTTTATTGGTTTCCACCGCTTAGAGAATTCTACACGGGAGATCACTCTCAATCACTATGTTATAAGTGAAAAAACCCATGTATTAAACCTTCTTTCTCCGGAAAACCTTGACTTGCCAATGTCCTTAATACAACAAATCTCATTTGTTAAAACTATTATAAAAAGAGACCACCAATAAATTGTTTTCTGTCATATAAAGCACTTTTAGTTAAGTTGCCTTTCATTTTTCATTCATTATTATAAAATCATGTTGAATTATTTATTGGGAAAATGTAATTTTTTCCCTTTATTATAGCAATGTTGTATCTGTGAGTTACAAAAATTAGCTGATGCAACACACTCAAGATAAATGTAGTCAATGATGATTTGTGCTGAATACAATGAATTAGTAATAACAAATATTTTTAAAAAATCATTTACCCACCTTTAAATTTATCTGTTTCTTTATCTCTGACTAGACGTACACTACGAACCTGAAAAAAGTATATCATGTATGACACTCTTCAACATATAGTGTATAACAGATATTCATGCATTTTATACATCATGGTCATTATGATTTAATCAGGATTTCAAAACTAAAACAACCTTAGTCCAAATTTCAATCAGAAAAAACAATTCCTTCAATCAAATTTGAAGTCAAACCTAGAAAATATATTTATGAAAAGCTTCAAAATTAAATATCAAAATTAAACAACCTTTAAAATTTTACAAGTACTGATCATTTATCAAGAGTTTCATACCCGCAAGTGTTTAAATATAATTTCCAAGTCGCCCTGGACAAGTCCTTGAGGTAAATTCCCTACATAACAAGTGAATGGTGGTTCCGTGGGTAATGGTTTCTTTTCTTGGTTTCTGCCTCCTCTACGTCCTCCATAACCACCACCTCCTCCTCCACCACTGTATCGATCCCCATAATCATTTCTGTAAAAACAACAATTCACACACTGGAAAATTTGACACTAATGATTTTATCTAAAAGCCTTTGTACAGCTGGTCGAGATCTGTGCTGAATGAATGAAATTATACCATGATCATGTCAACTATGAAGCAATGTAGAATATATATCCTGATATATAGCCCCGGCCCCTTATCCGAGCTCCATCCTATCCATTAATTGGGAAAAATAGCATCGAAGTAGAACAAAGGAGAATTTTCTGTCATTTAAACAAATGAAATCTATTCTGCGTTTATTCCAACCTCATTACCTATTACTACATGTTTTAAAGAATAAACAACAAGTATTTATTGTTTTTCATATTAATGTCCCTTGTTTTCGCATTTTCATGCTTTTAATTTGTCAAAATGTATGACACTACGCTGTCTACACCACAGGTCCAGCCATATTATGACAAATCTCTACTTTCGATTTAAGCGGAAGTGAAAGAATTAGTCAACTTGTACAATGTTTCATATAAAAAGAAATACGATGTCATTATAGTCTGTTGCTTGGCAGTGGAATTGGGAATTTTTAGTCTCAAAATTGGGAAAAATGAACATTTTTTGGCATTGGGAATGGTACCGTTTATCGGTACCAGTTATATAAGGAAAAAAAACTCTGAAGTTTGTCTTTTTTCACCCACTCATTCTTGAGAAAAAAATTCAAATGTGGGATCCCACCAAATTTTCACTTTTTCTTAATTATCACCCCCTTGAAAGTAGGCTGGGATCTTAATTCATCTGAACAAACTTGAATCCCCTTCACACAAGGATGCTATGTGGCAAGTTTGGCTGAAACTGGACCAGTAACTCTGGAGAAGTCGAAAAAGTTCACACAGCAGGCAGACAGGGCTGAACACTCAGTCTCCACAATCAGAAAAGATCACTTCAACCTTTGGTCCAGATGAGCTTAAAGGAAACTTTGTCTAACTACCAAACTAGCTCCAAAATTCAGGATCCAATTAGAGAAACAAGGATAGTCAAATTATCATTATCATAGTGACAGACTGATATTCCAATTCATAGTGAGCTTAATAGACCCCCATGGTCATACCGTAAAACATATTATATATTTTATTCTATAAAACCATCTAAATGGATGAGCGTTTGATCAATTTTGAATTGTTATCAAGGGAAACAGCATCCTGGAAACTGATTTTACAGCACATCATTTCACCAACAGAGCAAAAATTACCAGACTACTAAAGAGATAGAATTCACTTTCTACATTTTTAAACAAGACACCTTGCATTCATCACCACTTGAGTTTACATTAAACAAACAATATGACTGGCATGTGTACTAAATATAAAAACAACTCTGAATTAATCTATATGCAAATTTTCAAAGTTTGTAACATAATGCTTTACGTTCAAAATAATGTATTCACAATATGATGACAAGAAAGCAGAAACATATTAACGATCACAAATTGAAAAATAACACACTCTTAAAATTATGTTTAATGAAAATATTCAGTTAAAAGCTGATTAACGGAAGGATACCACTGTGCTATTCGTATTAAGCAACCTTTCTCTGAACATTGCTTGGAAGTGAGCAACACGTGTTGCATTGTTTTGTATGAAATCAATGGTGACAATATCAAAATGCATTAAGAAGCAATTTTGATACACCATTTCTTTAATGTTTATAATTAGAAGCGTGTTATTTATGCACGAAAAGTACACAAATTTTAAATATATCTGTTCAACTGTCTTGTAAATTATCTTACCCATACTCGGCCATGTTGTAAAAAACTACATCCGCTACGCATGCGCCAAAATTATATTGGCTAAGACGTACGTTCCCTATTTCGGAGAGTCATGATATTTTAAAATGATATCAGGCCCGTAGGTTCTGTTCAGTTTAGTATTAAAGAAACTATTCAAGATATTTTTATTAGCCTTCATATGCTGACACATATTGGAGAAAGCTTTTTAACTTATTTTACTCATCATCACTTTTGACCTTGACCTTTCCTTTGACCTTGTCCTCACTTTTTCTTAAATTTGTGTTCAGCTCCATTTCAAAGAAACTATAATATTTAAGATATTTTTTTTTATCAAACTTCATATACTGATAAATATTGCTGAGAGTTATTCATTTGCATCAGCAAGTTTAATCCTCGCCATGAATATATATGGCCGTGACATATAGTGTTTTTCCGTCCTTCTGTCTTTCTGTCATACTTTGGGTTTAACTCAGTTTCAAAGAAACTATTCATAATATTTTTATCAAACCTTATATGCTGATACATATTGATGTGAGCTTTTCAACTTCATCAACAATTTTTACCTTGGTCTTTCCTTTGACCTTATGGTCACTTTTCAAAATATGTGTTTAGCTCAGTTTCAAAGAAACTTTTCAAGATATTTTTATCAAGCCTTATATGACGATACATATTGGTAAGAACTATTGAACTTCATCAACATTGACCTTGACCTTTTCTTTGACATTGACTGTGTTTAGCTCAGTTTCACAGAAACTATTCAAGATATTTTTTCAAACTTTATATGCTTATACATGTACATAGTGATGAGAGCTATTCATTTGCATTATCATTTTTTACCTTGACCTTTCCTTTGACCCTGACCTCACTTTTCTCAAATTTATGCTTAGCTCAGTTTAAAAAAACAATTCAAGATATTTTTATCGATATTTTATGGTGATATATTTTGGTGAGTGCTATTGAACTGCATCAAAATTTTTTGACCTTAACTTTCCCTTTGACTTCTTTTTTCTGAAGTTTGCATTTATCTCACTTTCAAAGAAATCATTCGAGATATTTTTATGTAAGCTTATGCACCGGTGCTTATATCAACAGTGTCCTTTTTGTTACTTTGACCTTCCCAATGACCTTTGCTTTTTACTATTTATTGTGTATAAAACTCAGTTTTAAAGAAACTATTCAAGATATTTTCGTCAAACTTCATACACTATTTATGGTGCAATACTAATGAACCCTGAGATGGGCATTCATGTCATATGCACATTTTTAAAAAGTTTTTTTTTTTAACTTGGTTTAAAAAAAAAATTGTGCCACTTTACATATGCTCTTCTATAGAAAACAAAACTTATTTAATTTTACCATGTTTACATGCCCCCCCCCCCTTCAATAATTTTCTAGAATTGCTATGCATAAATAAACAAACTTACAGTTTACGGTTGCCCCCCCCCCCCCAAGTCTGATAACCATTTTTTTTTTCTTTTCTTCTTTTTCTTTTCTTTTCTTTTTTTTTTTTTTTGGATTCTCAAGAATTTTTGTAAGGTTTTGCCCCCCTCCCCAAACAGAAATTGCTTCTGGAGTTCAACGGATCAATTGTTAAATAGATCACAACTTCACGTATGACACGCCAATATTAGGAGACACCCATTTGAAGGGAGGGGGGTTAAGATTTTGGAAAGAGATAATCTAGACTCAGCTGGAAAGAAAATAAATAATTTCTCCTTGACTGGTGCTATAAACCCCCCCCCCCCCCCTATGAAATAGAGATTTGAAGAAGTTCGGCAAATTCCTCATTTTTGTCAAACTTTTTTCCCTTGAAGAGGAAAGTAAGGAAAATTATCTGTCCTTGACTGGCATGAAAGTAAATAATCTGACTCGAAAAAAGTTGCCCCCCCCCCCTGAATGAAATGGTGGATCCCTAAATAAGCAAACTACAGGATTATCCAAGATTCAAAGATGTTTCAACATTTCATTCACCTATAATATAAGTGAATAAAATGTTAAAATATCTTTTACTATATTGATCTCAATGGATGCTACCTTTTTACTTTTAAATTTGCTAAAAAAAAAAAAAAAAAAAAAAAAAAAAAAAAAAAAAAAAAAGTCTCATGAATGTCTGAATAACCTTCATAAGAATCCTTCAAAGATAGAGTTATTGAAGACAGGTGTATGACGTCACATCGTCAATCATGCGTTTTACTTTCATGGAAGAATAATTTATTTATTAAGCGTTTTAAAGACATTGACAAATGCACATGTGCCAGGCATGGGTTCCAAAACAGCCCATAAAGTTGACAAATCTCTCTTAAGCAAGTTTTGGCAATTAGCTGAATCTAACCAGACCAAGATAATACAAGCTTCCAAGGCTTTAGTTGATGACATAGACCGAAGACAAGTTGATGAGGTAAATATATCTATATACAGTATTCCATGGTGGAGGATGGGTAGACGGGTAAATGTAGGTGGTCCACTATTGGGTCCCCTATGTTAGTGATATTTCCTTTTGGGCAGGTGCTTTATGTTATTTTGTGAGTTCTGTCTTCAATAATGTGTAGAACATATTACAGTGAATAATTTGAAATTAATAATTTTCATACATGCCAACTTTTTAAAATCTCCTTGGGGGAGATTGCGCGTAACAACATTTTTCAAAGTTCTAAATTCGCGGCATTTTGTCGTGAAAATAAGTATTTGTTGGGTTTTTTTAAATATCAGTCTAATACCTTGTATCATATATTATCACTACTTCAAAAAGTTTTTTTCTCTATCAACTTCAACAAAAACACACTATTACTTGGAATTTAAAAAAAGAAAATTTTAATCAAAATTATTTAATATGTTAATATAAAGATCAATATTACCCCCCTGCACTATGGAATGTCATACACATACAGATTATTACACGGATAAGGATGTTAAACTTAATTACAAATAAGCAAGAGCAAGTTACTAAAAGAGTTCATGCAGTTACTGTTTTTGTCTATTGGTAAATTACACATTTTATAAAGCTACTAAGTCACAGACACAATTTGTATTTTTTTTTAAATCAAAGGGAATACTAAGAAGAAGTCACTTTTAATGTTTTTCATACAAAGTCTGTAAAAGGCACGGTCTTCTCCTTTATAACTTTTTGTGAACCACTCCTGGAAGTCTGCTAAAAAAAACTAACGGTTTGTACTTGCAGACGCATCTTTTCAAGTTGGATTTTGGCAGTGTCTTTTCCATGATCAATGACGTAGTTGTAATTATAGTGCGAAATGCCGTATTTCCTAAACTTGAAAACCTTTTATTAACAGCTTATATGTATATTGTCAAATTTTGCTGTGAAGTGTGAACTCGTCACAAGTTTGTATCCTGTCGTGTGTATTTCTAAAATTTCCACATCTGGCATGATTGTCTAGGTTAATATACACTGTTAATGAGAATCGGGAGCAATTAAAACCACAGTAATGACTGGTAGCACAGTTGACACCTTGTTGATTACCTGTTATCTTCGGCAATAAACAGATATCTACCGATAAACATTCGAACTGCCATTTTTTTTCACACGGAAATGGGGTATTATTCAAAGCGGATCGGTAAAAAATCCGGAATTCCTAAAAATCGGTAGAAATGGGATTAAAAAAACATATCGGTAGACAAGCGTAGATGGGGTTAAAAATCGGTAGACTCTTGAAAAAATCGGGAAAGTTGGCATGTATGAATTTTCATTTTTAAAACAATCTGGAAAGGGTTGAAAAGAGAAATGTTTTGTCTGCATTTCTGGTGAGAGTTTTTTTTTTTAATTGCGTGCACCAGTGTACAGCAGTGTTACGTGGGCCCAGTGCAGCTAGTTAGTCTCCAACCGGTGAAATCAGAGGGAACTATAGATTTCCTCATGGTCTGTCCCTCCCTCTGTCCGTCAGTCTGTCCCACTTGTTTTTCCGCTTTTTTAACCTTGCAGATATTGAGATGATTTTTAGTATGTGAATGTATCTTGATAAGTTACAGCTTACATTTGCATTACATTCTGCTTCAGTGATTTTTGACAAAAAATGGCCTTTTTAGATTTTTAAGGGAAACCAGATTTCCCACTTGGTTATCCACACTTTTGTCCTAAATGCTTGCAGATATTGAGCTGAGTTTTGGTGTGTGAGTTAACCTTAATGAGTTATAGATCAAATTTTTGATGTTCGGTAGGGGACTAGTATTGCTCATGCAATACTCTCAGAATGCTTGTTATTTGTGAAGGAACTGAAACATTTTTTTTTAAAGGTGGATATGAATTAAGCATTCATTTTTAATTTAATTATGATTAACAATTATTATTATTTTTCCTCTTTTGTAGTCAGAGATTTGTGAGGAGTTGCAGTATTCCATTAACAGACTTGTAAAAGGCCTAGCCTCCAACCGACAATCAGCCAGACATGGTTTCTCAGTGGCACTCTGTCAGGTGAATGTGCATTTAATTGCAATATTTATGAATGTACACAGCACCTTACTCTCTTGTATGTATATGGTATATGTAAAATTTGAAATTTAGTCATATGGTAAAAAAGTTTACCTTCTTTAAAGTCTTTCATTGTTAATTGTAATATATTTTTAAAGTGATATGGTTTAAATTCAGAAAAAATTGTTGGTTTAATGAGAAAAAAGAAGTAATACTTGGACAACAATTTAGGCGCAAAAAATATTTTGTTCAGTGTATTATATAAATATTACATATTCACTTGCATTTTCAAGCCAAATGAATATAAGGAACTTTTTTGAATGTGATAACTATTAAGTCAAAGGATGAGACAACCATTTATTGAAAGGATCAATTTACTCAGCACATTTCTTTCAAGGAGGATATGGTAATTGGTAAACATGAATGGGGGCAAATATAGTATTTGATAATTATTTTATTGTATATCAGAATTTTGAAAAAAAAGAAAATGTATTTTTAACAGATCCTCAGAACTTTCACTGCAGTAAATGTTGATATGATTCTCGGTGCTGTTGCTGAACATCTCAAGTTTACGCAGAAAGAATCGAGATCTGTAAGTATTAAATACTGTAAATGGAACTTCTCCCTAAGCGTGAAACAGATATTAAATATTTGATTTTTAACTGTGGAAAGAGAAGTGACAGTGTAATAAACAAATACAAGGATCTCTCATTTTTGAAGATGCATATGGACTTGCTGAAAAACTTTCAAATAATATCAGTACCATTAGATATGAATAAAAATTGATTTATTAGATGGCACTTAAGAACTTGATGTTTAAACTTTGCAGGAGCAGGGAAATATATTACTTGGGAAGGTCTTGGCCTATTTGACCTTAGTTCAATCTGATCGAATAGCCAGTGCAACCCAAGAACATGTACAGAAAATTATCCAGAGTCTGGTTCAAGTCTGCAAAAACAGAGCTTACCTAAAACAGATTTCGACTTATGCCATATCACTCATTGTCTCACAGGTATTATTTCATTCTCTTAAATTTTATGGTATCTTATTAAGCTTTTAAAAGGGCAGTGGTGTCTCCAGTAGAGAGAAATGTCTGCTCTCCTGTAGAATTATATCAAGTGTAAGATTTATAAGGCACCATGTAAAGAAAGAAGATTCATGATATACTGGTATGCCCTTATTTTGATGGGCCATATAATGGTATAGGCTTTTCCCTGCATCTGTACATACAATGTATGTTAGCTTTTTGTGTCTGGATTATGCCTTTCACACTATGAAGCCTAGGACCATCAAATCTTTAGAACATTGTATTTTGGGAGAAATGCGTGTTACAACTCAAAAGTAGGTTGTTGTGACCTGGTTTTGGCATTTCAACTCAAAAGTAGGTTGTTGTGACCTGATTTTGGCATTTTATAGCTAATCATTATCAAATCATTCTGGCACATTTTGAGACTTTAGAGAATTTGTCAGACCTATTAAGTGATGCATCTTAGTTAGAGAAAAGGTATAATAAGACCTAGAAAATTTAGGAATATAAATCACCAATATTGTACTGGGGGGGGGGGGTCATCAAGGTTCCATGTGACTAAATAAATATAATAACTTTTTTCAGGTGAATACAGATATCTTTAAAGCCTCTGTTTGGTCTGAGATAGAGGCTGACCTGACCCAAGGATGGACGGGATGTTCCCCAGACACCCTCCTTCTGCTGCTAGCCTGTCAGAAATACCACCCGGTATTGTAACTTTAGATATCTTAAATAGGTCACACTTCTCATTGTTTCCCTCATTTCTCTCTGATACAGATTTATATAAAGTTAAGAATGACAGACATTAAACATTTCAGAAAATGGTGGACAAAGCCTTTTTGAAAACATACTGGGGATCATCAGTTGTATTTTGTGTTGAAAATCTAAAACATATTTGGAATGTTATAAAGGTTTGTAGTTATTTGTAACAAAGTTAATACAAATCTTCATATATATATGTATCTTATAAAGGAATGATATGCATTTATGTTACATATTGGTTGATCCTTAATCTTGGGCATTGTTGTAGAAATACTTGATAGTATAGTCATGTGAATGATGAAGACTTTTTGTCTGATTTCTGTGGAGAAATCTTATAAATGTCTGAACCTCTGATAACATGACATTATGTTTTTACAAAATTGATGACATTCTTTACAATCAATAATGAGCTGATAAGGTACTTTAATTGATATTTACCATTTAGATGCATACTGAAATGATATCTTGAAAAATGCTACAAAGTATAGACAGTTTAATATACTGGTATATGTGTACACATTTAAGTGTCAACAACACACAGTGATAAAATCCTCTGAGGTAAATATTTGACAATTAAGTGGTGATCTGATACTCTGTTGATAATATCCAATTCTTTAGCTTTCAACATCTTCCTACCCTGTGATACACCTAATAAATGATGAAATCATTCACCAGCTGACTGCAGCTAAGATGTCTTTCACTGATTTCTGGACAGAAGGAAGAGGTATAGATATTATTCAACAAAAATACATGTACATGTATATGTATTTCTTATTTTAATAGTAAGTTTTGTATTTTGCATGATGACAGGAAAAAATGAAAAGTTTTGGAAAAATGCATATAAGGAAAGTTTTTTCAAACATTTGGTGCAAAACTTTTTAAAAATTGTGCAGTTTTAGCTTACCTCAATGAAGTTGGGGGGAGCCTTTGTAATACCCTCAGCCTTGGCATTGGTGTCCGCATCAGCAGCCCAGGTTAAAGTTCTTGGAGCAGTTTTCTTTCTAAGTATTTCTATGCTCTATATTGATTCTAGCTGCATGGCTGTTGCATCTAGTTTTCTTTATTGTACCATTCAGGTTTAAGATGCTGCATTTTCACCAATACTTTCCATAGAATGACCAGGTTAATATTTTGGGGGGCAGGTTTAAGTTTTTGGAGCAGGACTCATTCCAAAATAATTATATAAGCCCTACCTGGACAAAACTTGGAGGGATGATGCATCCAGAGATGCACACTACCATACATGCTTTTGATGCTGGATCTGACCTACATTATCTGAATGAGTAAAGAAGTTAAAGTTTTGGAGCAGGCTTATTCTAAAATAAATGTATGCCCTATGGTGACCAAACTTGCATATATGATGTATCTAGGGAAGCATACTACCAGACATGCTTTGTATTACTGGATCCGACCTACATTTTCAGATGATGTTTTTGGAGCTGGTCCATTCCCAAGAAACTATAAGCTTGCACTGATGATGCATCTAGGGATACACACTACCAGACTTGCTTCAGGTGCTGGATCCAATCTACATTTTCCAGCTGAATGAACAGGTTTAAGTTTTTGGAGCTGGTGCTTTACCAAGTAACTTTAAGCCCTACATAGACCAAACTTGCATGACTTGCTTTGAATTCTGGATCTGACATACATTTTCTTGATGATTGACAAGATTTAAGTTGTTTTTGTTTTTTTTTTTCTAAAGAGGTTCATTTTCAGGCTCCTATAAGACTATATTTCTTATTTTAGCTGATTAAGCAGAAAATATTATGGAGCATATCCATTTCCAAGTTATTAAAGATCCTACCAAGACCAAACTTGCATAAAACTCACGTCTATGGGTGCACATTACGATATTTTGCCTTATTAAAGATATCATTCATTGAGGTGAGCTCTGTAATCTTTGATTACCCATGTTTGAAGGATATTTTTATTTTTTATTTTAGATCTTTTGTTTAGCAAAGAGCACCACAGCTCCGTGAGTGTGGGACTGTATCTTATGACAAAAATGCTACCTCATCTGACAACCCCTAAAGAGGTCAGTCATGGCTTATCTATACACATTTACTAATAAGAGATTTTAAAAATTCACATAAGAAAAAAGATTGTGTTACAATAGAACATTCAATTTCAATGAACGTAAATTATATATTTTCTTATTCTCTTCACATACATGTGTATGTACATGTACTTAAATGTATTATATACTCCCACAGATTGAGTGCCTGTTACCTGCTAGTGTGGTGAGGGTTCTGGTTAAAGTCATTGATGGTAAACAGAAGAAAACAAATCCCGTTCACCAGGCTGCTACCCAGTTTGTAAGTAAAGCCTTGGTTGTAATGGTTGGAAATGAAAAAGGGGACAGGCCTCCTGTTTTTGAAACTATTGAAAATCCAGTGTCAGAGCATGCTGTATTCCAATCTTGACTCTTGATGTTTTCTTCTCTTAGATGAATGGGTTAGTCACCTATGTGAAATCCTCTGAAAATACTGACAATTCCATTAAAGTGCTCCACTGTTTCCATGAAACACAGTGTCCAAAGGGTGCCAATCTTACCCGGTCCTTGGAAACCATCATTCAGTCTGTAAGTTCCAAGTTAACATGAGTGCAAACCACATCTCTAAATTTTTCTTTATTTGTTTATGCATTGTACTTTTTTTTACCATTTCAGCTTTGTACAGAAGCAGCTAAGCAATACGGAGAGAATTTAATGAAAGTGTTTAAAAAATATGCCAAAGAGTAAGTACTGATTGAAGGAGAGATATTGTAATACAAACAGATATAGTGTTAGTGTACTTTTAAATATCATGTGTACTTCTACCAACAAGTCTAAGCTATCATCCTTCCCTCAAAAACCTTTAGCCCCAAAGAGAACATGGTGGGTATTCAGCATGTGGCCACCCAGGTCCGTATTCTGGTGACCCTCCCCAGTACCTCCGACGACCACACATGGCAGCTCCGCCTTCTACAGTTCCTGGGTCTTCATTCCTTCTGGACAGTCCAGGCCAAGTCTTCAGAGATCCCTCATGTAAGTTGGCTGGGATTACAAGACTACTATAAATTCACTGTATTTCTCATACCTCTCTATTCCTAGAAATTGTGCTTCAGTAGCTCTTGTAATCATCTAGAGCTGATACTCTAAAGATGGATAATTCCATGTGTTTTAATTACACAAATTGTTTTTTGGTAAATTTTTTCTTCTGAGAATTATACCCACACAGTCAACATTATTTATAAGTTCAACATCAAATAGCTGCTACACTGAAAATGAGGGAATATTTACAAAGACAGTGTTACTCAGAGTTTGTATGAATTATCCACACAGGTGAATTTTCATTTTATTGCCCTAAAAGATCCATAACACCATGAAAACTACGTTCCATAGATTGAAGCTGTTGAACAACCGTCTAGTGCTGCCACTGATTTGATGAAAATATGACTGTCTGATTTTTTCCTAACTGAAGAAATCTTTAAAATGTCTGAACCTCTGATAAGTGGCAGTATTAAAAGAGCGAGAACATCTTTTGTATTAAAAGAATCAAGAAAATTTTGTGAACATTTTGGGTTTTTTGGGGGGAAGGATGGTTTTCAAGTTGTAACATTCATTTCAAATTCAATTACAGTGTTCATTCAGCACTCGGCCTATGGAGGAAAAATTGAGGAAAGCATTCCAAGACAACTTTTACAAAGCTCTTAATAACCTACTCTCCTATAATACAGGTACGTGTAAAATGTGTCACATGGATTCACTGTGAAGTGCAGTCACAACAGATATGTATCTGGAAAAGCATAACCTAGAAGAGTTTTGTAGATTAAGCCATTAAAGTCATTCCAGCATATTACATTTTACAGAGAAGTCAAAGACCTCCTCCTTAGATGTGTATCTTGACACAGCTTGTCAGCTTTGTAAATACTTCCAGGTAAGTCAAAAAAGTGTGAAAATAAAAAAGATATTGTTACTTCTCACAACAGACCATGGACATCTAATGGTTAGCCTTTGAGACTGCCCCTCAGTCTATGGATTTCTAATTACTCATAAATTTCATATTGTAAAGATCATTTTCCTCTACATTCCTGCCACACATATTTGAATTTAGTTAAAGAAAAAAAGTTCATCAGGATGACATCCAACATTGCAAGCTAGGGGGAATAACCCAGACACAAAATATGTTATTTCAAAATTATCTATAGTCATCAGATCCATTTTAATTTCAGTGTCATTATCTGTTAGGAGGAAAACACTTGAAACTCTCTGAATCTGAATTTTTTTAGTGATTTTTTTTTTTGGGTTGATTTGACACTCTAACATTTCTGTAAGATATGTGACTGTATTAGAAGAGTCGTTTTGAGTGTTGAAAATGTTGGGTCATGCGCATGATGAGAATTTTTTGTTCAGATTTCTATGAAGAAATCTCGTAAATGTCTGAACCTCTGATAACATGACCTATTTTGTAAAATTTATGCTGATTTCAGTCTAATCTCATCAACATATACTGAGCTGTGGCCTTCAACTCGACATTTAGATATATCGACGACATATTGTCAATTAACAATGGTTATTTCCATTCTTATGTCGACATGATATATCCTGGTGAGCTTGAGATAAAAGATACCACAGAGTCTGACACATCTGTTTCATATTTGGATATTTTATTAGAAAAAGACGTAAATGGTAATCTAATAACAAAGCTTTATGATAAACGTGATGACTTTAACTTTTCAATCTTCAGCTTCCCTTACTTATGCAGCAGTATACCCTTATCACCTGCATACGGGGTTTATATTTCTCAGTTGATTCGATACGCTAGAGCATGTTCTATGTAAGAACAATTTCTAAAACAAGGTAAATTATTGACAACCAAGTTGATGAAACAAGAATATCAGCAGTCTCGTTTAAAGTCATCATTTCATAAGTTCTATGGTCAATAAATGACCTTGTCACCAAATACAATCTTTCACTAAGTCAAATGCTGACTGACTTTTTTCATACTTATTGTAAGGCCATTATTTACACACTGAATTGTCGATGGATTTTTCCATTATTTCCTGATCATGACAAGGAGCACACGGCGGGTGTGACCGGTCGGCAGGGGATGCTAACTCCTCCATGGCACCTGATCCCACTTCTGATGTCTTAGAGGTCCGTGTTTGCTCTGCTCCTATTTTGTAATGTTTAATGGACTTTTGAGCTCGAGTACTGTTCGTTATCTCCACATATTTCATTGATGATTTAACATTTTCCATATGGGAATTTCCCACACATATAGCATAGTGTGTCACACACAGGTTCTGTTTGCTCTGTAAACTTTTCAGTGTTAACAAAAGAAATCCAAAAATGTTTACATTAGATGAGATATAATTTCACAGTTTTGAGTCATGTATTAAGGCTGCTGTATGTTTGTTTCCAGGATTTAATAGAAGCAACAGAATTTGTAACTCCAGTCCTGAGTTTATCTGAAGATGTAAGCTAGCAATCATGCGATTCTCTGATAATTTGGAATTTTGGGAACTTAAAAGAATGCTTTGTGTCTGTTTTTATTTTGTACGATGTTGTATTGTAGGAGACGGAGCAGTGGGTCAAGACAGTTCTGTGTTTAATGGGAATGCAGGAAAAGGTTTGTTTTTCCTCTATCAATTTTTTTTCATAATTATAACAAAATGTTAGATTGATTGCTCTATGTATCTCACTTTCACAAAAAGAGATTCATATATACATATGTACATGAGTGAATCATTTTAATATGTACATGTATGAGAAACAGTTACAGTGACTAACACCCCCACCACAAAATTTTATTAAAAACATTCTTGTAAACTTAAATAATGATATCTCAATGTTGTAGAATGCTGCCAACAGTCCAGAGAGACTGGATCTATACAGAGCTTTTGTCTTGTTGTTTGTGTTTCATGCCCTTCATTTGTTTGTTTCCAAAGAAAATGCTGTCAGTGCTTCACAGGTAAGGTTCTTTTATTTATTTATGCCTCGGATAAGAACATATGCAGTAGTGTACAGATCTTGATTTTAGTAATGTGTCACTCTAATTTTGTACTTTCTTCAACCTTTTAAATAATATCATTTACTTCTGAATTGATATCAGTTAGGGATGTCAACGAATAGTCGACTATTCGACCGTCAGTCGAATGGACCGACGATCGAATAATGAAACGACATTCGAATATCAAAGAAATGCAAGAAAAGGGGGCGATAAAGAGAAGGAATTATCGTCTTAAAATTGAAAAAGCGTCCTTCCTCAAACCATATAATATACATCCTCAGACGATTAAGAGCTCAAACGCAATCACAGTTGATAAATAATTTACCACAACAAAATCTGTTGACTTTCAATGTACACATAGAAAGTACAGTAATTACAAATGCTTCACTACAGCGATAATTATTTCTCAATGACTGACCTTTTAGTTTTTGTAATGAATTATGCAACTTTGTTTGTAAAACTATTAACAGCAGGGGCAATCATTAATTGAACAAACAGTATTTAACAATGTCACCTGACGTGTGGATAGTGTGTGTTTACCCCTCCCCCTTTCCCCAATTTATTTTATAAGCTTTAAAAATACCTTGCTGACAATTCTCTAAGCTTACTAGAATAAAAACTGACTGTACAGACCAATTTATGAATGTGATTTACGGGAAATCATAATGATCATACATTTTGGAGAATAGCCGGTGTATATCTATTTCATTTCAAAATATTATCCCTACGTTATCCCTACGTTAGGTGCCTCTGAATATCTGTGTGTAATATACACATTTTGATGTTCCGAATAGTCGACTATCGTTCGAATAATGCAATCGAATGTTCGACTAAGGAAAATAAATATTTTGACATCCCTTATATCAGTACATTTGATCTGCACATCTTAAGAAAATGATAACAAAATGTGTGAAGTTTAATGTCTCTATCTTGAGAGACCCAGTCCCCTAATTAATACAAACTATATTTATTTTTTATCACTTTTGCCTCTGATAGTAAATCATCATAGACCCAATGCAGTGAGCAGTTAGATGTGAACTTAAAAAGAAATCATGTGAAATTTTTGTCCCCGTAAATGGGAGTTGTACCACATGGTGGGGCTAATTTATTTACCCGGATGTTAACTAATATTTGATCTTGGTGAACAGGTTTGTCCTTGATTTCAGTCTTGATAAAGATTAGAATTTATTGCATGATTCTCCAGTTACCATGAACCTACTAAGATTCCTTATTCATAAAAGTATTGATAGAAAATAGCAAACAATATTTGTCTTTTATTCAGATATTAAATAACTGCAAGAGGTACAAGTACTTCTTCATATACATTTCTGATGAAATTTTTGCTTTCTTGGAGTGACTCCAATATTGACATATCAAGCAGGATTTGAATTAAAAAAATTTTTCACAACTATTTAATTAGATGTACATGTATCTTGTGCATGTTTTAAAGTATAATAGACATTCCATTTTCTACACATTTAGATTAAATAATAACAGATTAAACTGTGAAGCATTTAGCAATCCCCCCTCCCACCCCTGAATAACATTGTGTGTTAGACTGAACCAGTCAGAAACAATCCATAGTAAACTTGATGTTTTCATTACTTCCATTTTCACAGAAGTTACATGTACTACATTTTCTCAGAAGAAAAACTATTTTTATATAATTAATTATAATATGTTCAACATCATACACATGGTTTTCAATGAAATTGGGAAAGTTATTTGTCGATTTTGAAATGGTGCTTAAGACTAGGGATCTGATCACCATGATCAGGTGACTTTACAAATAAATGGATAGAGGAAATGGAAAGGCTTAATTTCAAAAGGAAAAAAAAATTGAAGAGTTGAATAGGACTGATGTTTTGTTCAAGAAATCTTTCTGTCATGAATCATCCTATAACGCCCAATTTTCCCTCTATTACACCCCACCCACAGATAATCATTGTAGATCCCCACAGACCAGGGGTCCCCCATCAGGTTGTCTTTAGTTAGAAGGTAAGCAGAGAATTCCCCTTCTGAGGTCAGGAGGTGAATGCAGCTGTTGCTGTAATCACTAACAATTATGTTCATTTTGCTGTCACAACAAATGCCACAAGGGTCAAAAGTTAAGATGTTGCCTTGGTAACGACACTTGAGATTTCCGTCTTCTGTGATTATGCAAACTTCACCTGAATCGAAGCCAGTACGATTAACAACACAGATGTCTTTGTTGTCATTTTGAACGATTGCATCTGGTCTGTTAAACAAGGGAGTTTCATCAGTAGATAGTTCATCACATCGGTATATTGAGATGATATCACCTTTTAGGCTGTAATGCCGTACCATTCTTTGGTTTGCATTGGTCGGGTGATAAGAAACATTGTCCTCCAGGGAAACTAAAATGCCTATTCCACTTTCATTATTTGTGACACATATTCCACAGGGCCGTAATGGCCAAGTGGTGAACAGTTCAACCACTTCACCAGAGAGATTCACATGCTTGACACATTTGTTCTGGTAATCTGTGAACACCTGAGTGTTGTCGGACAACAGAGCAAAGTGAGCACTACATCGACGCAAGTTCACACTAGACAAACACTGGCCACTTCTGTCCACTAGATCACTTTGATAAGAAAGTGAGGAATGAATCCAAACCTGTTCCTCACTCTGGGGCATCAGGGCTAGAATCATGTCAAATCCATACTCAAAATGTCCAAGGTGAACTGCGTACACATCTTCATCTTTATTTTTCGTTGGTGATTCTTTGCTTAACAGTGCCTCTCGTAAATCACCTTCAAGAGTCTTATCCTGCAAAGATAGCACTTTCATATTGTACTCAGATTTTTTTCTAGTTTCTAAAACACAAATTCAAGTGACTCTTAACGTAAAGCATCTCTGGAATTAAGTGTTGATGAGATCTCCTTGAAAACGAGTTTATATAGGAGCATGTATTACATTGTCTACTTCCTGTTGTTAAGTGTCGCATGTTTACGTGTGACAACAAGGTCACATCCAATATAATAGTCAGAGTGTTGACTCTGTGTAGAGGCTTACATTGTGATGCTTGCTTCATTCACGTCAAGTGAACGAGTTTATTATGAGGCAAGGTGAAGAAAATATCTGTTACAATTTTGTTTGTTTTCAGATCTCTGACGTTATGTTGACTTAGTGTTATACATGTGTATAGACAAGGATATTGCATCAGTACACAGAGACGTGTCCTTGTTCATTAGGTCATCTTGATGTCATTATATAAACATTGATTATAGAGTCTCATCCCTTGAAATAAAACTTCTTGATTTATGACTTTGTTTACTCCATTTAAATGCACCAATCTCCTAATTTATACAATTATCTACCCACATTGAATTTGTAAAACTAGCTCTGTCTCAGAGAGGTTGTTAGGATTTAGTAAGAAGATATCTTTAGATCTTCTGAAAGGTTAATGTCTTTGTATCACCTGTTACAAATCTGAATCCTTTAATAAAGGAAGCAAGGCCTTTTCATACAGTTGTTGTTACTCTGATGAATGCATGATAAAATTGTAGGTCTTCACATGCAATAAGGGAAATATGCATGTTGGACATGGAGGTAGTGAGGGAACATATGAAATATTGGAAAAAAGAGAGTATGAAAAGATTACCAAAAAAACTTATGAATATTATAGAAATTTGCAATAAAATGAAAAAAATATGTAGAGTGTATCTTGTGAAAAAAATAAAATGTGCAATTTTTAAAACTGATTTGGAATCTAAATAGCTCAGTGGAAAAGAGTTTAGTACATGTATTTGGAATCAAAATGTTCACAGCCAGGAAGATAATCATTATTTCACTATACATAGATTGTGGAAATTTTGATACAGTACTAGTATTTTTTTTTTTTTTGGCATTCAAAAATTAAGGGCACCAGTTCTCACAAAGAGAAAGTTTTATTTTACAGTTTTGAGGAAGAGATGATACAGCTTAAATATGTTGACCATTAAAATTTAATAAACACAACTCATTAGGTCATGAAACCATTTGCTTCATTTCTGCTGAGTTTGTAAATGGTTCATTGAATTTTTGTCATTTTAGGATATACACATATGCTACAATAAAGCTGTGAAACACAAAAGAAGATCCACGGTCAAGTCTGCCAAATCAGGTTGGGCAGTTTCTCAATAGATATTCACATAAACATGCTTCCTTTTTAAATTATTATACAGTAAGTACTTTAAATGATTTTGATCATAATTCTGACAGTGTGAGTGGTTTTTTTTTTTTTTTTACAGAGCCTGAATGGATAGAGGTTGTTACAGAGTTATTATTGAGTATGATGTCACAAGGGTCCAGCTTTGCCAGACTGGCTGCTAAGACGACCTTTGGCTGTCTAACTGACCATGTGACCCCCGACTCTCTGGGCCTCATTACAGATGTAAGAAACAAGATTGACCTATAATATACTGTAAACCAACTTTTATTCGAGTGCGAGAAATATCTGTGAGTTTCGCGATCCACTTTAACTCGCGAATATTAATCGCCGCGAACCATTTATTTTGCTTCGTATTTGTAGAGAATGTTTCCTCGGTCGCGAAAATTAATCATTGCGGATTGATTTTAAACAGACTAATCGCGAATAAAAGATGAGGCGAATAAAAGTTGGTTTACAGTAATATAATAGTTTTATGATTGTAATATCAGGATTTTGACTGTATTAGTTATAAGTTTATCTAGAATATGTAGATAACATTTTCTTAGAAAAATGTAAAGGTTTGGTTATTGCTGTGAAAGGTATATCTAATAGTTGATTTGGAGGAAATTTAAAGAAAGTTGAATAATGAAAATTTTAAGTTAGTGAGAGGACACAGAAATAAGATACATATATTTTAGATATTTATTTTTTAAAATCAGCACTGTATTTAATCATGCTTTTTATATTAAATTATATCTTTACTTCACATACAGGTATGACATGTTTTTCTATTGTTTATATATAAATTTCAGGTACTCAAAACTGAGAAAGGAGATGAGAGTGTACCAATAAGCTTTGAAGATGAGGAGGAAGGTTAGTTACTTTAGAATATATAATCATGCACATTACATTGGAAAATATGCATTAACTTTCAAGATATGTGTTCTTGTATGGAGTGTTTCAAATGCAAGATTTATGATTGTGTGGCTATAGCCACAATCAAGCATGCACAAGTACAGTACTTCAGAGGCATGATGATGTAAGTGATGCTTGTATGGACATAATGGACAATTCATTCATTGCTGGCACTTTCTCATTTTGGAGTAGGGAGGGTGTTCATACGATTAAAATAAAACTAAATCACACACCTTCATTTTACTATATTTTCAAGAAGTAACTGAATGTTTGAAAAAAAAAAATCCTCCCTAAATTTCATTATCCAGATATAATAGAAGATGTATCAGATATGGAAAACGAAAATGGGGAAAATGGACTGGAAACATTAGAGGCTGAGGAGGAAAAAGAGGAGGGGACTGATGAGGAGGAGTCGTCAGAGGAGGATTCAGATGAAGAGGAGGAGGAGGGGGAGGAGGTGAATGAGGAATTCAGGAATGCTGTCAAGTCTGCTCTGGGAGAGGCTGCTGAAAAATCAGACAGTGAAGAGGAGGTAATGATTAAGGTCTTAAGGTGGAGGATCTAAAAGTCTGGGGAGAGGAGAAAAAAGTTGATTTTATGCTGAGTTTTAAAGTGACTTAAGCCAGAATGCTTAGAATTTTTACAAACTTATAGATTAAGCAAAGCTTAATATAGCCTTCATGCAAGGTGTAAGGTGTATTGAACATTGGTGCTACAGTAATCTGGAATCTTCATCTTCTGATTTTTTTTTTTTTTTGGGGGGGGGGGGGGGGGGCTGAATTTTAAGATGTATTGAGGCTTCTTGTTCTCATACATAAAGTTTTCTTCATTACAGTTTTATAGATCAGAGAATTTAAGAATCTTTTAAACCCATTTCATATTATGATTGCATTTAATCAAGTACAGCTGTAATAACTCAGTTACTTTTGGTGGAGAACTCTTATCAATCTGAAAGTTATTTAATTCTGCCAGAAAGCAGTGGCAAATTAAACTTGGTCAATTTATGCAGTAGTCTAGATCACATCTTCACGGCACCAAAGGAAAGCTGGTTGAAGTTATTGCTGATGGTCTTAAACTGTTGTCAAAATTATACATCACCTGCCATGTTTAATTAGACTTGTATTAAAAAGAGAAAGAAAGAAAGGGAAAAAAGAGAAAGGTCATATGTTAGAGTGATTCAGTTACTCAGATCTTCATTTTTATGACCCTCTTCAAGAAGGGAGGGCATATTGCTTTGCTGCTGTCTATTGGTCAGTCGGTCTGTCTGTCGGTCCACCAACAATTTCCATTCATTTTCTTCGCATATACTGAAATGAAATTTGGCATACAGATTTATCATAAGAATATCTAGGTCAAATTCTGTTTTGGGTACGATCGAGCAATTTTTGACAGAGTTATGCCCCTTGGACTTAGAAAAACTGCAATTATTTGGGGGGGGGGGGGGGGGGGGCATAAGTGTTTCACAAACATCTCTTGTTTTACTTGGGACAGAGCCATCAAATTTAAATGAAGCATTATTTATTCTAATGTGTTTGACACAACACTCATAAGCATTAGATTAAAAAGAATTTTGGGTGGGTCTGAAATCTCTGCCTGTGTATTTTCAGTCTGAACCTGACCTGGATGATGAGACGATGTTCAAACTTGACGGAGCTCTGGTTCAGGTATTTAAGAACATGAGAAAGACAAAAGAAGCCGAGGCTAAGGAGAATAAAAAGCAGCTTCTGGCATTTAAATCCAGGTACACTAAAAAATAAAACCCTTAAAATTTGTGAGAAAAATTCTAAAGGGACTTAATTTCAACCAATATCATTGGTAGTGAATATTGTGATTGTCAACTGAAAGTTTTGGAGGAAAGTTAAATTTATTCCATCTGTAGTCCAATATTTTGTTTCCTGTAGAGTGCTGGATTTGGTAGAAATCCTAGTCAAGAGCCAACCTCCTGCTGATTTAACCTTGGTAAATATGTTTTGATTTACATTTACATATAAAGTGAAAAAAGTGTCAAGCTACTGGCCAGCATGTGTTCTTAGATGTATCAGAAACATGTCTGTATACAGTAAAACATGCTTATAGCTATATACTGTAGATTCTTTATTTTTCATGAGTACTTATTATCGCGAAATGGCTCATACATCAAATTGCGAGAACAATAATTCATGAGTGGACGGTTGATCAAGAGATTTTACTTAATTTCAGCACCATGAAAATAAAAGCAACTAATTTTTTATTTTGCGAGTGATGCTTCTCTAAAAGTTACGTGATAATAAATTCCTCGCATATATTTAGGAATCTACAGTATGTGCCAAGGACCAACAATTTGGATTTGTTATAAACATATTTCGTTCTATTTGTTCAGTTCACAACACATTTAAAACAGCTGGGAATGAAATCACTTTGCTCTAGGCGGAAAATTCATTATAAGTGTGTTCGCTATAACTGTGTTTTACTGTATGATACATGTCTGTGTATGATACATGTCTATGTATTGTACATGTCTGTGTATTATACATGTGTGTATATTATGCTTTCAGTAAAAACAATACTGTACATTGTATAATTTTGCATATTTCTGATGATGTGTTGAAAGTAAAAAAAAAATATTTTTAAGGCTTGCTAACAATTACTTTCTCAAAAAAATTATCCCCAATTTTGAAATATGATACTTGCATTACATGAGTATATTTAGTAAACAAAGATTTCCTAAGTATTTACATGAACAGCAAAAGACTTGGTATGTTCTTAAGTGACACCTTATGAGGGTTGCTTGAAACCTGTTTTTATTCCAATTCATACCTGAATGTATTTTTTTAGTAAGTAGTGGTGTCCTCATGCTCATGCATTGATTTGTTTCAATTCTATATACGGCTAGAGTTTTAAGGGTTACCAACTGCATTTTTATTTACTTGACCTTTTACAATGAGATCCCAGGTTTAAATTTTGCAATTTTCAGAAGTATCATAGCTTTGGCTTAGAAGGAAGTATTCAAAGTTATGGACTACATAACTTTAACTGTCATTTTCTGTTCTGATTGACAGATTATCGATATTACTATTGTGTACGTACTCTCTTACAGGACTTGATCTTTCCCCTCCTGGAACTCTTGGCCAGCACAGAGAAACACAAGGAGGGGGTAGAGGTAGATCTAGGAAAGAGGGCAGGCAATATCTTCAGGATCCTGTATAGAAAGGCCAAGGTGTGTAAAGCCAGAAGGACTAGTGTACATCTGTATATGTACATTTGAAAAATTCTGAAATCTGATATTTTAACATTCTCTAAAAGTAAAGGTTGCGGACGGTGTGTTTCAGGTCTCTAGCAAATAAAACCAAAACATTCATGTATATATTTTTCCAAGATTTTGAAGAAAATGTAACCATTTGTAGATTCATGGTAATATGGCGGTGTCTAGAGATCGTTACTTGGAGGCCATGAACAATGCAATTCAGTTCTCTACAAAAGGTAATTATATGATAAACAGAAATATGTTAAAATGACTTGGTAGTGAATTGTAAATTGTTTGGTATCCTAAAAAAGAAACTTGAGGAGTGACAGACAAAGCTGATTGAAATTAAATTTGTTTTTACTGGATCATTTCGAGTAAATTAGAGAATTGAGAATACTTGTATTATTGATTATTAGGTTTGTTACCAACTGTTTACAGAAATATATCGTTTTGATCAGTGTGGAAACCTCGCCATCTCTGACATTGATTCACCTGATATATTTCCATAGATAGTCAGTAACGAACTAAATAAGTGATTTTTTTCTCAAGGACCATAATATGAGTAATATATACACAAGAACCAATGATCTAGATATCGTGATGGTTACAGGCTGGCCATATAGCCGGATATAGATTCTTACCTGTCAGACACAGAAATATAGCTGGCAGTCACATGTCATGGTTCAACCATTGAAATTGTGACATTTCAGTCCAAGGGAAAGTAATAGATTTTGTTTTCATTTGTTTTAGTGACAACCAAACAAATTGTCAATGATGTGTCTGATGCCTGCCTCCTTGTGGTAAGCTCAACATTATTGAGATGTAAAGATATTTTCTGAATTGGAAGCAGGAAAAGTGTTTGATATACTGCAGGATATTGGAGTTTTGGAATGATTTTCATTCTTTGATAGATCCGGTTATTAATGAACCTGGAGATGGGCAGTCTGGGACCTTCTCCAATGAAGACCAGATCTAAGAAGAACCAGAAAGAAAAAGAGAAGAGGGAAGAGAAAGAAAGGGTTGGTGCAGAAAATATGATAAATAATGCTCTGTGGTTTTTTTCAACCTGAACCATTGATAATGATTTTGAGGAATGTTGAGTCAGTGTTTGCCAAATGTTACACCTACATTTATTATCAACTTGTTTAGTGCTCTGAAATTGTATCAATTACATAAATTTATTACCCCAGCAAATTTCTGGGTTAAAAGTATCAAACAAAATTCCTGCTAATTTTCATCCCCTGCCAACAGAGTTGGAGGGGATATACATGTAGTAACCTGCTTGTGCATCAGTTTGTGCATAATGGAAGTAATGATATACATTGTACAACTTACTGAATTTAAAAAAATATTTTTGCTTATTCTGACTTGTTTTCTGCTATTTTTGGATTCTTTTAACCTGGTAAATTCTTTTATATGACCCACACTCTACACATGTCTCATTATTATTATTTATTTTTTTTTTTTTTTTTTTTGTGGTTTTATTAACATAAAGAAGACATTTGTCTGACATGCTCAACACCTTGCCTGTATCCAAGCATCAAATATCATGTGCTCTGCTTACTCAGATGAAGATACAAAATCGACTGTGTTCTGTTTTTGTGTGGATACCTTTGGGTTCACCACCTACAGATATTTAGAAACTTGTATGTTTCTTTTTCATGCTAGTTAAACAAAAATACACAAAATACATGTTGTATTATTTATTTCATACATTATTTCATTACATTAAAACAATTAGTAATACATGTATTTCTACTGTATTTACTATTTTTTGTCTATTGTACATGTACCAGATATTTTTTTTTACATCAATTTTATCAAACCCCTGCTGTATTATTTTTATGCCATAAAAAATAAAGTAATAAATTGCAAGAGTATTTTGATTCAAAGAAATGCTTGATCACTAATTTATTATTAACTATTTTTTGCTACAGACTCAAGTTAGCTTTACATTTAAACTGAGTAACAAGCTTTAGGCAGGAATACAGTCTTACGTACACTGTAACTGTCCAGGATTCTTTAAATTCTTTACAAAATTTATATAAGAAAAATTATATTGTACTGTAAGCATTGAGAATTATTTGCTATTTCTGTTTACCCAGGTATATGGAATTCTGAGACATTAAACTTTTCTTTGTATCTTGTTGCAGGATCAGGAGACAGTCCACCACATGGTGATTGATATCATCCAATCAAACCTGAGGGATTTCCTCCAGAAAAAGTCAGTTTACATTACACTTATTACCCTGGTGTTTCCTCCATAATAAGTCTTTTGCCTTCTTGAATGGTCTACAGTTGTTCAAATTAGCCATTGTTTTCCTGCAGATGTACATATTAAACAATAAATTGCTATTTATTGGTAAAGAAAACACATGTATTTCAGTAGAAACTAACAGTTGAGCACAGTTTACATGTACTTTATGATTTGTGTTTGATTTTCCTTACAGGAAGCAGAAACTCCATAGAGAATTCTTCTACAATATGTTCAGCAAGTTTCCTGTAAGTCATAGAGGTCTTTACTGTATCAGGAACTAAACGGTTTTCATATTCAAATAACACATTCAGTGATGGATAATCAAACAAACAAACATGTAAATAGTTAAAACAAACACAGGTGTATTGATAAAACAAACAGAGGTAAATATATAATGTAAAGAAAAATCGGTGTACCTTATTTGTGGAATTTTCCCTCGATAGGTCTTATTCTGGCCAGTAACAGAAACACTTCTAAACACAATTCAAGATGACCAAGTGAAAGTGTTCATAAAGGTAAGGATGTGAATGAAGTGTATGGTGTCACATTATCTTTTTCTTTGTTAAAAGTATATCCATGTATACTACATTAGTTTCCATTCACAGACCCAGGCCTGTTACTTGCTGTCCGGCATGCTGAACAAGGATGTGGTGAGTGTATATTACATTTCAGCAAGGATCAAAGAACAAATTACTCTTGATTACTTTCTTTCATGAACAGACAACTTTTTTGTGACATAATTATTTGTGTTGATGGTCTACAGGAGAAGACATTAGGAGAGGAGGCTTGGAAGGAGTTCTCACTTTCTCTGATTGCTGGAATCTCAAGGGTAGACGTATTTTCCGTGTACCTGTACATGTATTCTCTGTTTACCTTAAGAGAAATATCACTAATGCTTTTATTGGAGTCATTGATTATTATTTGTAATTAAATGATTTTATTTATGTATGTTTAGATACTGAGGTTGGTCTCAAAGGAAGCATTTCCAACCAAACTAGTTCATGATGTTTGTGTCACACTAAGGAAATATCTAAACTGCTCACAGAAACCTCAGGTATGTGTTTTTAAGTAATTCTCTTTCAAAGAGTGTTGATGAAAGCCTGTAAATTCCTCCTTATTTTGTAATCTTGATTGTCCCAGCACAACAAAGTACATAACAGTGCTGCATGAATGACAGATATAATATGGATAATAAATTGACTCTAAAGATACCTCTTACATCTGCAACATTTACTAAAGATGTTGTTAATTTACAGGAGGTTCCTGAGGAGGTCACTGAGAAGCTGGAGAGTCTGAGAGGTTCCTTCAACACAGACATTAGGAAAGAGTACCTGGGTATCATGTCAAAGTTAGGGAAGACAACTCCGAACATGTAAGTTACTCTTGGATACATGTTATAAGGAAGGGGAAAAAACCCTGAATTTTAGTTATTGTGTATAATCTACATTTCACAGTGATATAAACATGTTTTTGCATGAACAGAGTCATCACTTTTAATGCTTTACAGACATAACAGTATTCACCATCCTTTTTATATGTACTGAGTTATTTTTAGGAGACATTGCTAGCTGACTGTAATTATCATTTATGTACTGTATATGAGAGAAGAGTTGTATATCTACTTTGGTGTCTTTCAGGAATCAAAATAAAAATGCCAGAAAAAGGAAAAATAAAGATAGGACAGGCACTGCTGGTCAGAATGCTGAAAATAAGAAAGTGAAAACAAGTGAAACAGAGACTGTTACAAGTCCTGTTGTCAACAAAAAGACGAAGAAACGAAAGCAGAACAGTCTAAGTGAGAAAGTGAAAGGAGGGCCCAAAACAAAGGGCTCTGAATCTGACTTGGAAACTAGTAAAAATGACAGTAATTCTGGATTGAGTATCCAAGAGGATGGCAAAAAATCTAAAAAGAAGAAAGTACACAATAAAGAGAAAATTGTTGCTGAATAAATATAATATTTCTAATAATATTTGATTTTTTTTTTGGGGGGGGGGGGGGGTACATGCATAGGTGGCAAAACATTTTTGAAAAAAATAGGTAAAATGTTCTGTACAACAATATATCTTGAGAGACAAAACAAAGTAGGTCATAACTCAAAAGTGTCAATCTCTGATTTTTAATCCATGTTCAATAGATATTTATACTTTTTGGTTCAGATGTTCTTTTAGTTATATGAAACTGCAGATAAATTAATGAACATGTTTTTGCAAGAAAGTCCCAATGTGCATATCTATTAGCACCAAGATTGCCATAATAATTATATACAAGTACTCTGTGGTTTACAAGATGAAACAATAGGACTTGTATGATTCATATCAAAACTGCTCTCCGGAACAGAAGTCTCAGGTTAGCTCTTTGCTATATATCCATGCGTATTGTATGCAGAAAGACAATGAGCAAAGAATGTAGTCATCTGTGCCTTTTGATTACCAAAAATGAGTCCTATAATTAATTTTGGCAAATTGATTTCTTTGTCTCAAATGGCTGTATGTAAAATTGAAACTCTTAACAAGTAAGCCTCCTCTTTCAGAGAAGATCCATTCTGAGCAGTGCATGTTACTACTGTATGGCTTCCTAGTTTCTCTTGCACCATATAACATAATTATAAAGAAACTGGACACTATAGGTCACTGGAATTCCTCTCTCTCTCTCTCTCTCTCTCTCTCTCTCTCTCGATGTTTTAATGAAGTGCAGTCTTGAAAGTTTGATGAACAAGAATTCAGTACTACTCTGCCTGAACGTGTATTTTAGCAGCAGCTGTCCATGCATTGTACAGAATTATTCAATTATCAACATTCAAATTACATGTATTTAATATCATCTATAATAACCTTTTTCGGAGCTAACAAGTTTCAACTCCCACCACCATACTTAAGTTCATACTTAAAACCAGAATATTTTCACCATTACATACAAAAATTTGTCATATTACACTATTATGCAGGTTTTAACTTCTTAGGGCGTATTTAATGGACATTCATGACATATCCTCCAATAATAAGCACTGACTGAAGCTTCTGCAATATCTACATAACGTTGTTAGGGGATGTCCATTTGATTCGGGTATTTATTTTCATGTCCTTGCAGGACAGATTATTTTCTTACCTGGAAAAATTTGACAAGGAAAAAAAATTTAAATTAAAATGTAAAAAATGAAGCTGAAAAAAAACCCCAAGCTCTATTAGGCGTGTGTGTGTGTGGGGGGGGGGGGGGGGGGGGGGGAGTTGCCAATGTAAAGATCAGATTATTTATTTACTTCTCTGTGGGGGACAAATTATTTATTAACGAAGGATTATTTCCAAAATCTGCTCCACTCCGCGAATGGTTGCCGAGGTGTCTGTCTACCGCCGACTTAGACCCGGCCAAAACTCTCTTATTCTGGAATCCTTTTCTAAAAGGTCTTGGATGTTTATAGAAATATAAAACACCTTTTGAATGTGTGTCAAGTATGACTTCCTTCTTTTTGTGCCTCCTATGCCCGGCCTCAAATTTAATTTTTTTATTTATTTATTTATTATTTATTTATTATTATTATTTTTTTTTTTACAGATTTTGACTTTCCTGACTCTTCGACATCAGAGACATATAAAAATTTTTATATGTCTCTGGAAAAATGAAATCAAGATCGCTACTACAAGTGGTAAAACATACAATTCTTTATGACTATAAAAAATGTGATCAACTAATTGTGTCTTTTGGAATTGCAGGATGATATTTAAAAGGATTTGATTTAATATATATACCTGTGAACTTTTCGTTTACAATGTAGAAACTTTAATGAAACTATAATGATGTGTTGTATTTGGATAGTCCACTCTTTATCTACTTAAAGTGATTTAATTAACGGTTTTTATATTCTAAATTCGTAAAAAAAAAAAAAAAAAAAAGAAGACTTCTTGTTTATCGAGGGAATAAAAAAGAATTCTTCACCCCGACTGACCGAAACTCCGTGATCCACCACTCATTATTCGGAACCGGAAATGTACAGGTAAGCGTGAGTCCAGGTAGAAAGGTAAATCAGGTAAGTTTGTCTTTAAATACACTCGTCTTAATATTTGGTAAATTACTATTATAATCTAAATATTCAACTGATGCTCAACCACCTCCTATATTGGCAGATGTACCAAAATTAAACAATATGCTGAATGAAACATGTAAAGCACCAAAACATTAAAGTTTTCAACTCAATCTTAGAGCAAGTGATGTGTCTTTTTAAATAAAAGAAAATGGTGATTTTTTTGTGTCTATAATACAGAACACTTATTCACAAAGGAATATATATACAAGACGCACAGAACTTCGGCTTTTCTTTTTGTTTGTGAAGAGTATGCTCCCTTTATTGCGTTTTTTCATGAAATATTTTCTTTCATGCGTGACACTGGCAAAAGCCAGACTCTGGGTGCAAACTAAAATTAATGAAATAATTAGGAACTTAGATTAGATGAGATATTATTAGACTCGGAGAAAAGATGTAATATTATACTGTTTGATAATAAGTATTCAAAGTATGTACGTCATACGTGCAGAATGGTTCATCCCAATAATTACCTTCTTGATTAATTTATCAATTTATTCTTGAAATATCTTTGTGTTACAGATTCATTTCAAAGAGGAAACACTAAGATTCATAACATGCAGACCTGATATCAGAGCATTTGAAAATTATGTAGGAGTGAATCACACAAAATGAATAAGTTCAGAAAACTTAAAAGAGTCCTATCTATGACTGGGATAATAATATGTTCACTACTTCTTATCCATATTAATTTGCCTTGGATGAAAGGATTTTTCCTACCAAATTACCCCCTGATTTTGAACAATGCTAATGGAAATTCTGCAGCAGTCAAAGAAATGATGAAGATAAAAGATTTTTCTTCAAAATATGGAAACGGTTTTGTAAATTCACCAGAGGAGGTCATAGGAGTACCACTGAGAATGGAGGATATAACTTTTGAGGAAATTCAAAAATCTGGATGGATTGACACTGGAAAATATTCTCCAGATAATGAGCTTGATTTTGTACCCCCTGTTCCAACATTTTCCGTTTATGATATTGTTTATCAATTAAAACCGAAAATTATGCGAAAATATTTAGCCCTCGATAAAAGAAAATATGAAAATTATAGCATTGTGATTCTTACCCCAATACATAATAGTGAAAATGATCTTGTGCAGTATGCACAGTTAATTAGTGAACTTGATTATCCAAAACACAAACTTTCTATTGTATTTGGTGAAGATGGAAGTGAAGATCAAACACTCAAAGTTGGAAAAGATATTTTAAAAGAATTTCGCAAACAAGGATTTCAAAGGGCTGAAATTTTTCATTTTAACATATCGGGTCAAATAAGTGGGGATTGGAATAGCATTCATGACCAGGTGCTTCAACATATACGAAGAAGACATCTTGCCAAAGCACGCAACCTGCTTCTTAAAGTTGGCTTAAAAGATGAAGACTATGTGTTGTGGATTGATGCGGATGTTGGTGTACTTCCCTCTGACCTTATCCAACAGTTGATCTATGCAAACAAAGATGTTGTTGCTCCGTGTTGTTTATATAGAAAGGGTCAGTATACTAATGTTTATGACAAAAACACTTGGAGAGAAACAAAATATTCTCTACAAGCACAAAAAGATCTCAGCAAAACACAGCTGGTTTTAGAAGGGTATGGACCCACAATCAGACTTTATTTACCTCACTTGAGGGGGGAGGGGAGGGTAGTCCCTCTTGATGGTGTAGGGGGTTGTAGTTTACTAGTCAAGTCAAAGTGCCATAAAAAGGGGCTTAAATTCCCGGAGGAGATTTTTCAGAATCATATTGAAACTGAAGGACTAGCCAAGCTTGCCAAGAGTTTGGGATTTGGTGTTTACGGGATGCCATTTGTTGAAGTATATCATAAGTAATGCTGTCTCCATATATGCTTTGTTTTTCAACATTGTCTTATTTTATGTAAAAATGTAAACAAAATCATTTTGCATTCAAATATTTTATGAATAGTAATGGTTTTTACAAATATCTCAAAATTTGAAGATTTACTTGTATATAAACTTAGAAGAGCTAGTCATTTAGAATCTTGTCATCCTATGTCAGAGGTTTGCCGAAATTGACAGGCATGGAATTTAACAAGACTTATACCATGTACTAAAAACTACTGTCTAATAATACATACTGGGTATTATTTAAAACGTAACTATGTATTGTTTATAGATTTAATGTATAATATTTTAATATCGATTTATTGTTAAGTGTTAATGATAGTTTTTCCTTGTTAAAAAAACATTCCAACATTTTATATGCATAATTTTATTGATATTGAAAACATTATCTTACACTTTTTTCATATTTAATCTTTCCATAGGTGAACGATCTTAACATTTTTAATTATTTTATTTTTTTCTGTGCATCAAAGTTTTACATGCTGGTGTCTGTTATTACATTAATTCCCCCATTGGGTTGTTTTTAAATATATGTATACAAATATAGATTGTTGCTATTTTTTGATACAATATATGTTGACATGTTGGTTTTTGACACCATTTCCATTTCCTGTACATATACTGACATAATAAAGCTATTTGACAAAATATAAAAAATATTATATTTATCATTTGAATACATTACAAAGAAAAGCTATATAGACGGTAAGGAGTGAAAGTTGACTTTAGTTCGGGGTCATTTAAATAAGATCCCTTATGTACCAGTAGCTTAAATTTATATTTGGATTTACAGTAGTATCACTTGTTATTACTTGACTAATTAAAAGTGTAAGTGATTTACATGTAATCTCTTCCCTTCAAAAATTCACCTGTATAATGTTAATTGTCACATATATACATGTTTATGATATGTGGGCTATAAAGTGACCGTGGATAATTCAGTGGTAGAGCACCTGACTTTAGTGATGCAGGGGTCCCGGGTTTGATTCCTGGTCCACTCATAAATTTTCCTCCTTCCTGTTATATTTTGTGCTGTGCCATACCTGATGTTGACGATTAACTTAACTGGAATTACTACACCATAAAATGTACATGTATGTAAGATGCAACATCTGGAGCATCATCCCAATGAAGTGTTTATAGATGAAAAAAGTGCTGGTCTTAATCTTGCACTGGAGCATACAATGCACATCTGAAGCTAACACATATTATGAATCCCTTGATGCCAGGGATGGGGTAATCGTAATCGAGTAATCGTAATCGATTGTAATGATTACTTTTTTTCAAGTAATCGACAGTAATCTGTAATCGAAGAGATTTTCGATTACTTGTAATCGTAATTTAATCGATTACAGCTAAAATTTTCAATGTAATTATAATTACTTTTTCGATTACTTTCGATTATTTTATACATAAATGGATGTTATTTTGGAGAATTATTTCCAGTCAGTCACACATAAATATCAAATATAAACCACCTAGTGTAATGTTGGGATTTCCTAACTTTTATTATCATAAGTTAAATAATGTTCTCAATAAATTTTGCATGATAGACCTACTGGCCTAGTATTAAATAATTCAGAAGTGTACTTCAACCATTTATTAATAAAATATACAGATTTTTTGTGTGCATTTTACATTTGACCCACTGTCCTCTTGCTGCATGTCCTTTTTCATATTTCAGATATTGAAAAACTTTGTCTTGTAATAGAAAATTATAAATAGCAAAAACAGATTTAAGTGCTGTATTAAATATAAATAATTTGGTAAATAAACTACATTGTACTCAAAATAAAAGAAGAAGATGGAAATACTTATTCATATCTGAAAATGTTTAAACAACTTCAAACTTGATATTAGTGAGAGGTCATAAGTGTCTGTAAGAGAGGGAGTGTGTCACTGTGTTTGCTTATCTCAATTGGCTAATTAATTGACTGAGACATCCCTGATTTGCAGATAATGAGGTATAAACTGTGAACTACCTAGTGTTTAACTTTTATTCCATTGAAGACAAACAATATTATTAAAACAATGAATAGCTCTCAAAACACTTATTTCAATACAGAATAAAATTGTGCTATTTGTTTCATTACTTAAAGACACATTTATTAATTTACATGTTTATTACTAATTTGAGTTCTAATTTACTCATTTTTTTTAAAAAGACAGGGTGTTTAATGTGTACTGTCAACATACGGGCAGCCCAAATACTTCTAATGAAGTAATTCACAATAAAATATTAAATAATTTTTTGCAACAAGTCAATAAATACGGAGGTTCAGATCCAAGGTTGAAAGGAATAATTAATTCCTTGGCATATTTTATTGTAGGAATTATTTCTCCACTTTTCATAGTAGGGAATCCCTCATTTGGGCATTTAGTGAGAATGTTAGCCTGCCCAGAATAAAACCTTAAAAAGGAACACATTCAAACTTTAGTGGATACCATTTACCATTTAAATATTGCTTTGATATTTGAAGGGGAAAAACTTGGAAGTAATCGATTATTAATCGATTACATCTTCCAAAGTAATCGATTACAGGTTAAAAATGAGTGTAATCGATTAATAATCGATTACACAAAATTCCTCTAAGTAATCAATTATTAATCGATTACATTTTTCAGTAATCGTGCCCATCCCTGCTTGATGCACCAGAGGGGTGATCAAAAAGTTCGTGAACTATCTCTATATTTACAAAACCACAATTCAGATCAGAATGAAATTTGGCACACATATAGTCATACACATGTTCTATAAATAACATGTTAAATAATGTTTTCCTCCGTGTTTGTGACATCACAATGTGAAAATGACGTCAATATGTAGGTCACTTGTGACAAAAAAATGGTTGACTAAGTCTTACTTGAGCAACGAACGGCTGTAAAGTTTAACGTATATCTTGGAAATTCCTTTGCAGTAGAATATGATAATTTGTACAAGGTTTATGAAGATAAAAGACTTACCAGAAGTTCAATCATTAGTTGGATTGATTGTTTAAGTAAAGACAGGGAGACGGTTAAAAATGATGTTTGTTCTGTTGCCCAGCGAAAGCAAGCCGGGGAAAAGATGTGTCCTTAGTTGAGCAATTTGTTATGAAACATCGTCAAGTTACAATTAGAAAAATGGTTGTATATATCTTAACAATAATATAATTATTACAAATCTCTAAAATATCATTTACTTTAGACTTTAAACATATGAGATATGATAAAAAGAAGGCGTCCATACTTTATCCACATTGGGTAAATGACTCTCCCGAGACAGAGGACTCAGGTTGTGATGGGTCACCATACTAATTGTGGGAAGGGATATCCTTATCCACCCATCCTATTGCTGAGATTTGGCCATTTCTGACAGATGGACTGTTTTTGTTATAAAAAAATAACTTGCATGGTAAGAAATATAAGACTCAGAAAAATCTTTTAACTTCTCTGAACAGACTGCTTCGGAGCGTGTCACGTGACTGCCTGGATCACGTGATTCGCGCATGGGCAGAACAATGGCAGATGTGCATTAAAATTGGAGAGGACTACTTTAAAATATAATAAGCACTGAAACTTCATTTTATTAGGTCACCTGAGTCACTCAGGTGACCTATTGCTATCTGTTTTCGTCCGTCGTCGTCCGTCGTCAGTCGTCTGTCGGTCGTAAACTTTTGAACATTTTCAGCTTCTCCTCTTGAACCACGGAACCAATTTCAACCAATTTTGGCATATAGCATCAATGGGTGAAGGGGTACAAAAATTGTGAATTTCATGGTCCCTGCCCCCCTGGGGCCTGAGGGTTGGGGCTAAAACCATCAAAATTAGTGCTATCTTTAAAAATCTTCTTCTTTACTCCTGGACATCAAGCAGTCAAACTGTTGGCATTATTGTAATAAGCATTGAGCCCTCTACCAAAATTGTGAAATTCATGGCCCCAGGGTCAGGGGTTCTGGTGCTAGGGCGGGGCTATATAGATCATATAGTGAAAGTGCATTATTTCTTTGAAAATCTTCTTCTCTACTCCTGGGTATTATTTAAACAAATTAAATACATAGTTATGATAAGCAAGGGTGACTCTACCAAAATTGTGAAATTCATAGCCCCAGGGTCAGGGGTTCTGGTGCTAGGGTGGGGCTATATAGATCATATAGTGAAAGTGCATTATTTCTTTGAAAATCTTCTTCTCTACTCCTTGGTATTATTTAAACAAATTAAATACATAGTTATGATAAGCAAGAGTGACTCTACCAAAATTGTGAAATTCATAGCCCCAGGGTCAGGGGTTCTGTTGCTAGGGTGGGGCTATATAGATCATATAGTGAAAGTGCATTATTTCTTTGAAAATTTTCTTCTCTACACCTGGGTATTATTTAAGCAAATTAAATAGATAGTTATGATAAGCAAGGATGCCTCTTCCAAAATTGTGAAATTCATGGCCCAAGGGTCAGGGGTTCTGGTGTTAGGGTGGGGCATATAGATCCTATAGTGAAGGTGAATTATTTCTTTGAAAATCTTCTTCTCTACTCCTGGGTATTATTGAAACAAATTAAATACATAGTTATGATAAGCAAGGGTGACTCTACCAAAATTGTGAAATTCATAGCCCCAGGGTCAGGGGTTCTGGTTCTAGGGTGGGGCTATATAGATCATATAGTGAAAGTGCATTATTTCTTTGAAAATCTTCTACTCTACTCCTGGGTATTATTTAAACAAATTAAATACATAGTTATGATAAGCAAGAGTGACTCTACCAAAATTGTGAAATTCATAGCCCCAGGGTCAGGGGTTCTAGTGCTAGGATGGGGCTATATAGATCATATTATATAGTGAAAGTGCATTATTTCTTTGAAAATTTTCTTCTCTACACCTGGGTATTATTTAAACAAATTAAATAGATAGTTATGATAAGCAAGGATGCCTCTTCCAAAATTGTGAAATTCATGGCCCAAGGATCAGGGTTCTGGTGTTAGGGTGGGGCATATAGATCCTATAGTGAAGGTGAATTATTTCTTTGAAAATCTTCTTCGCTACTCCTGGGTATTATTGAAACAAATTAAATACATAGTTATGATAAGCAAGGGTGACTCTACCAAAATTGTGAAATTCATAGCCCCAGGGTCAGGGGTTCTGGTTCTAGGGTGGGGCTATATAGATCATATAGTGAAAGTGCATTATTTCTTTGAAAATCTTCTTCTCTACTCCTTGGTATTATTGAAACAAATTAAATACATAGTTATGATAAGCAAGAGTGACTCTACCAAAATTGTGAAATTCATAGCCCCAGGGTCAGGGGTTCTAGTGCTAGGATGGGGCTATATAGATCATATAGTGAAAGTGCATTATTTCTTTGAAAATTTTCTTCTCTACACCTGGGTATTATTTAAACAAATTAAATAGATAGTTATGATAAGCAAGGATGCCTCTTCCAAAATTGTGAAATTCATGCCCCAAGGATCAGGGTTCTGGTGTTAGGGTGGGGCATATAGATCCTGTAGTGAAGGTGAATTATTTCTTTGAAAATCTTCTACTCTACTCCTGGGTATTATTGAAACAAATTAAATACATAGTTATGATAAGCAAGGGTGACTCTACCAAAATTGTGAAATTCATAGCCCCAAGGTCAGGGGTTCTGGTGAAAAAGGGGGGGGGGGCTCTATTGATTATATAGTGAAAAAGCAAAATTTCTTTGAAAATATTCTTTTCTGCTCCTGGTTAAAAAGCAAAGAAGCTAAGTGTATAGTTATGATGAGCAAGAGTGCTTCTTCCAGAGTAGTGAATTGCATGACCCCTGGGTCAGATGTGCTGGTGTAAGGGTGGGGCTCTTGATAATATAGTGAAAATGCATTAATTCTATTAAATAATCCTGTCTACTCTTAGTGTTACAGTGTTTTTTTTCAGTACTTTGGGACTGGGGGCTGAGGCCCTCAGAATTGGGAATTTCAGCATCATTTAGGCTAAATTGGGAATCTCCCAGAAAACCCAGTCACTTAAAAAGCTTTTCAAAAAGCTTTGCTTTTGTCTTTGCATTAATTTAACAAACAATTGTTATAACAAACCAAGACTATTCTTGGTATGAATTATCTAATTACTTGCATCAAGAACAATAGTGGTATGAATTATCTAATTATGAAGAAATCCAACATGGCTGAACAACAAAACTTGCTTTAACTTCACTGAAAAACATGCAATAAACAAACTGAATTTGATCAAATATTTTGTAAGTTTTTCTTTGGGAAAACTTCCACTACATTTTTGGAAATACAGGCATATTTTCAGTTGGGACTGGGGCCGAATTTCGGCCCTAAAAAAATCACTGCAGTGTTAAGCAGATTAACAAAGTGATTACTTATGATGAGCAAACTTCTGGTCCCAGGGTGAGAGGATCCGGTGTTTCTCGCTGGGGGGGGGGGGGGGGGGGCTGTATTGTTGATATAGTGAATCTGTAATAAAAAATGCATTATTTCTTTAAAAATCTTCTCTGCACCTGGGCATATCAGAGGCAAAACGAGTAAAAGTTTTAATAAGGAAGAGTATTTTTACCAGATTTTTGAACATCTGGACCATTTGGTCAAGTGTTCTGGTCCTGGCCAGGGCTCTATTAATTTGTATTCTACTGAGAGGAGTTATTCCCCTTTGCCATTTACTTTTGATAATTAATCACTGTAAATAATGTACTTGAAAGGTTAATAGAACAAGAGAATTACGCAAGAATTTTTATTGTATAATACAAAAAGTACTTTCATAGATTTAATGATCAGGTATACTTGTAAGTAATAGATAAATAAAAATGAGACAAAAATAACTGGTCTTTTTAAATGTTCATCAAAGACCAAGAGAAGCCAATTTAAGAGATTTCAACAAGGAATTAAAATAATACAGAAACACTGATTGATTGCTAATATACTGTATGGTGATAATGATAAATGGGGAACAGATTAGAATCTAATTTATGAACTGTTAATGAATACTAATTATTTTGTTGATCCTGATCACCCTATTTTTCTTGCTTTTGGGCAAGAAAGCTTCACCTTTCAGTTCATTTTCTACTCTATGGATCTCTAAATTGTTGTATTATACTCAGGTGACCGTTAAGGCCCTTGGGCCTCTTGTTTCTTTTAAAGAAGTAATTCAATTAGTTCGGGAACTCTTTGATCACCCCTCGTATATGCAAGTGATATGGATACTCTTTTAGATAAACCAAACTATGGCCAAGTTTGACCTTTTATTTAAATTTTCATGGTTTTAAGTCCCATCCCACAGAACCCTGAGGAGTTCTGACAGTGAAATTCACCATTCCTTTTTCTCCTTTATTCATACATGCTAGGCATAAAGGTTATGACCTATAGATTGTCTTGACCTCAAGTTAAGATCATTGAGATGAGGTCATGCTTAAAGGGTTCAAATGTTAAATACTTTGTCCAGGCAATATTAAACTGTGCAATGCAGACACTACAAACTAATACAGTTGAACTTCGGTATCTTGAACACTAATATCTCGAATACCATGGATATATGTCAAACTGATTTGAAGTCCCAACTACTTTATATTCTTTACGTATTTTACCCTCATTTCTCAAATCATCGGATATCTCGAAGTTTTTACTTGGTCTCATGGAGTTCGAGATAATGAGGTTTGACTGTACATATACTCGATATATAGAATTCATGTCCTATAGATCACAGGACTGCAAGAGTAAAGTTCATGCTCTGACACGACCCATATGCAACACAGAGATTGACTAGCTTGTTCTTGACACAAAGCACATAAAAGAGAAGACACTGAGCCAAGGCTATTTAAATAAGGTCACAACCTACATTGTCAAGATTTTGTTGGACCCATAAATTTACAATTCTGGAATTGTAGAAGCTCATACATCAAAAAAACTTTTAATCAAGATCAGAGGATGTGCTATAAATTCCAACTATTCTCAGACAGGAAAACATCCACTCAATGTTTCAATGTCAATTTCTTTAAATCAAAAAAAAAAAAAAAAGAGCCCTTCAATTGGTATGCAACTCTATCCTGATGTTTTGCAGTGTCCTCTTACGACAACTCTGTTATTAATAAAGCATGAATTTCTGACAAATTTATTTTATTACATACTTAACAGGACTTTCTGAACAACAATCAAAATGTTCACAAAAAATAATCCTAACTGTTACTATGGCAACAAGACATTGCAGACCAATCACATGATTTACAAGCTTCAAGGTACACTTGGTGTAAAATTTAAACAAAAAGTTTCTCTATCACTTAACACATTTAACTGCTTTGTACAGCAGTTCATAGACAAAAATAAGGTTCTTTTATCTTCTAAAAAATGCTTCCATAAAAGAATGACTGAAATATTTAAAATGTCATCTAAAATGTACATAAAATATGTTTCTTACTTTTAATACTGGAGTATGTATGTATTTATACAGAACATCCAGATCAATTTTTTTGGAAAAAAGGGATCCACGTTTCTTTCCTACATTGCACAAAATATATGACTGCAAGCATCACCAATTTAACACTGAAATGATCACAAACCACTTAAAATTAATTTCCTTGTAAATTGTGATTTGACCACTTTCATGGTTTTCATTGTAAATTATGATTTTTGAATCATAGTGTATCAATTATAGCTGAGTATTTGTGAACACCTGAGAATTAGCAGTATTAATGCTTTAGATGCGTAATTCTGGAGAAAAAAATTCTGAAAATATGTTTATATATATAACTAGAACACAGTGACTGCTTGTAGTTTGTTTGGTGACATCCATTATCTACTGTTGCAAGCTGACCAGACTGAGAGGTTATTATTCATTGTATTATTTCAAAATTCAATTCATATACATACACAGAAAAAAGCACAGTTCAATGCACAATAGAATAATTTCAAATTCCAACCTTTTCCATTTCTGTAATATTTAGTCCAGTCAATTGACAAAAGATCTAATATTACTGACTCTGATCTACCTACATATAGATTTTTCCTAGCACAGAATGTGGTTGCTGTGAAAGTTAAAGACAATACATCATCACAAACCTGGATTTCAAAATATCAATACTTTCCAAAATAACAGCAATACTGAAACATTTTTATGACTGTTTTAACTACATGAACTTCAAAATAAGTTCTTTTTTTCTGTTTTCCCAATATTCTCTCAAAGTCTATCATGAACTTAACATACTTGTATAATTATACTTGTGTATAAATATTCATTTGCTCAAGCCTCTGTTCACAACATACTTTTACAACCCAATATCTTTTTAAAATACATTTGAATCTAGTTGTATCACTTACTGGATAGTATTACAATAAATACTGCTCCAAACTAATATAACCATTTAGATTATGCCTGACATTTTATACAAAAATATAAAGCTATCAACATTACATATTTTTTGACATGAAAGACAACAATGACAGCATGCTGTTCTTATTTTCTTAACAAACTTTAACAACAAACATGGCATTGAGCTAACAAAATGTTGCCTTCAACAAATACACATACATAAGCTATGTGATTATATATGGGAGACACAAACTTTGGTACATGTGTATTGTTCAAGGATCTGTTTATACACAGCATGCAAAATTTTGTAGTTTGACGTGATGGCTAATCTTTGTAGAATGTAACAGAAAATTAGTTCTATTAAACAAAACTGAACAAATAAAATAACTTCCTCAAAATTGATTTCTTTGAATAAAGTAAAGGTGTTTGCCGATGAAACCTTATGCAATTTTACTTATACAATTTTACTTGTATGCATAAAAAAAATTTATGAGCATTTCCTATCCATGACACGTTCACCCGTATACAGAAAGAACACATAAAATAGAATTTTGGTTCAATGCCAAATGAGCCAACTATTCTAGGAAAAAACAAGGAAAGAAAGAAAAAGGAGAGTAAGTTATAAAAAGAAAATACAAGGAAATAGAAAAAACAAGCTGAACACAGAAAAGAAAGTAGGAAACACAGGAAGAGGGTAAATACACAATTTGCGAATGTTTTTGACATATTGCACCAGATGAACACAATATGGTTAGACATAAAGGGATAAATAATCATTAAATCAAGAGCAGAGATCAGGACTTGCAAAATAAATCAAATTTTGATGTACCCAGGAAAAAAATTTACCATTTTAGATGAAATTAAAATCTCCTTTGGGAAAGTCTTTTTAAAACTTGGTGTAGTTGCTCAAAAACAGTTTACACAACACAAAATCCCAGAAATGGTTCCTAATGGGACTTCACGCTATCCATATACACAGCCTGTTTTTACACACAAACTGGTCTTTTTTTAAAAAAATCTATGTAATATTGTGTCAATATTTAGAAACCTACATACATGTACTTTGTACAAATGTATGTCAAATAAGATAGGAGAATGAGTTCCACTTAAATTATATTTGAATTCATCAATTTCCTGTGATTGTTTTTTTTTTTTAAAGAGGTAAACATCTTTTTGATCTACATTATAAGAAAAACCTAACTATTTCCACTGTTAAAAATCTTTAAAAAGTAAAAAGGGGGGAGGGGGGATAATAAACCATTCCAATAATAACGTTGGAGGTGTTCAGAATTAGTCTGAAATGCTGAGGCTTCACCTTTGGTAAGGATGTTCTATATTCAACAAAAGTGAATAGAAAGTCATAAATTCCTCCATCTTTGAAAAAAAAAAATATGTATGGCGACTTAGATATGTAATACTTCTTTATCATGAACATAAGAAATTCAATCTTTGAGCGTGGATTATGCAAGACATTAACAGTACTCGTTCATTTTAAATATACTTTTCGAACTTTGTCAACAATTTCAACAATGCCATTTTTGTTCCTGATATCTACAATAACAATGCAACTGATGATTTAATAACTGAAATGTCTATCACTGATGAACCTGATATGGAATAATATCCAACATCCACCAAAATTATCAGAATCAACAGACATCAACAATAAAAGCACAAAGCAAGCTCAGTACAAAACATTCAGAATAATGATACATGTGTCTTTTTTCTATACAGCTACTACTGTTTGATTAACTTCTACCTTTTTGCCTAGTTCAATAATTTAGGAATGTACTAAATGAGCTCTACTAAAGTTTACTGAATCTCCTGTCTAAACAAAACATTTAGATATTTTTAAGTCACATGAATTAAAACAGGCCTTGAAAATTATCTAAAAAGTGGTATATGGAGGTAAATTTTTGGTTCATAGCAATAAATAGACAATGAAATGATATGTGAAATTAAAACTTATTTTTCTTATTTTTCAAACTACTGAGTAGTGAAGAAAATTGTTAACTCTGTAGGTATTATACAACTCATATTTCACTCTGAGAAGTCAGTTCTCAATGGTCTCCATCACTTTCTTCTTGCTATCCTTCCGCTTGAAGCTTCCCGTCCGATTTTTGCCAGGCAAGTTGTTTGCGGAGCCATGGCGCATGCGGTTGCTGTTGGCACCGTTTTTGTCGGCGGTGTCTTTATCTGTGGGGGAGTGCATGCTGCTGACACTAAGGCTGGACATGGAGCTGGACAAGTTTAGATTGGAGGAAATCCCAAGGGAGCTGGGATAAGGATTAAGAATGTCAAGGTCATCACCAGGGAGACAGTTCTCAACCATCATGGCTTCCAGGCAGTTCACCAGCAGCTCGGCTGTATCGCTCTGCGCAGACTGGGGGGAAAAAAAAAAGACATTTAACATTAATGGGACCTAGATAAAAACCATACTATTAACATAGACAAATATAGTATATCACTGTACATGATAAATGAAAATTTATGATGTAGAATGATGAAACATTGGATTTGAAGCAAAAGGAGAAATTTCAGGACTTCTTAACAACCCCATCACCTGTAACTCAATTGCCTTCAAAGGCTATTGACGATTTTATAATTTCTTTAAGAGCATGTTCAAAGAATGAAACATTTCCATGCATGAATTAGTCGTTTACTGCTAGTGAAAGTGTAATATGATTACTCATGATTGATGACAAATTGATGGTGCATGAGAGACAGCATACAGTACCGTGCAAGGTCCTTTGGAGGTTACTCATGTTGTACATTCATTAATTTTAATTCCATGAATAATTTTTTCATGAACAGAAAAGACACTGAACAAATAGTGAACAAAAAATGAAAACAGTACACCAGAAAAAATGAAAAATGATATAAAAAGCAAAGTTTACGAAGTGAAATAAATTTTTAAAAAAAGAGAGACACATTATTTATAACCACCACTACGAAAGAGATCATGGTACACAGTTATCCCCCCTATGTGGCCATGCACTTTTCCAGCGTACCTTAAACGTTCCAGCAAACCTCCAAAGGCCTCCGAAGCCGATACCTGAAATAAACAACAAACATGCTACTTGTGGGCTGCCAAGTGATCGTCAGAATTTCTAAGGTCAATTCTCAATTTATAGCGAAAAGCAAAGTTATGGCAGATACGTATATGAAGTCTTTGACCTTTCATTTTGACCTGGCCTGATATGTTCTGACTTTCCAAATATACATATGTAACATCTGTCTCATGCAGAGCAGTGGCCCATGTTAAAGTTTACCAAAAAAAAAAGACACTTGGATAGACAGACCAAAATTATACTCCATTTTAGAGTGGTAAAAATATTCCTTCCTTCTCATTCTGTGAATGTATCAAAATCATGGTCACAAAAAAACCTAAGAGAGACTTGGATAGACAGACCAAAATAATATTTAAGATTGATAAAAATATTCATACCTTCTCATACAGTGAATGTAATCATAAATACGGGGAAAAAAACTATGTGTTTTGTGCTGTTGGGGGAGAGGATGGGCTCAAACTTGTTAGTAATCACCAGGAATATCCATGTGCCATATTTTACTGATTTCAACTGAAAACAGTGCCGAATGTTATCAAGTGTCAGATGTAAACATGCATGCTTCTTATACATGTATGTAATTGAGATGGAGGGGGAAAAAAAAGACAATAAAATAATATCTCATCCAGTTCACCATCAGTTCTGCTTGCCATCACAATGAACATGTGACCTTTTTGTACTTACTCTGCAAGTAGGAGAGCTGCTGTTGGGAGGGATCCTCACAAGCGATCATATTCTGTATAATGCTTTGTACAGCATTCAGAATAGCCTGATCATGGCACAACGAGAGGACATTGTTAATTTTGGCATCCAGAAGACTGTGTCTGCAGAAGTAAATCATAAGTTTAATTATTCCTCACTTAATGACGACTTCAATTGCACATAGTCATAATAATATAAAAAATGTTTGTGGCACATGCTACTTACATCACTGGAAAAACTTTAGGAAAAACCACAGATGCCTCTGCGAGGTATTCATAGAGAATTCTTGCCTCATTTTCATCAGTAGTATTTCTAACCAGGGTAGCCTACAAAAAATTAACATTTTTTAGCTGCCTGTTCTGTCAGAATTTTTTTTTTTTTTATCTCGAAGTCAATTTACATGTATTAGGTTTCTATATGCATATACAATATGAATGTGACTGTTGACCAAAAATGACTAACATACCAGCACAGTGAGGACCAGTACTTGGGTGGGATAATCTGTCAACATATCTGGATCCAGTAACACATTGTTTTCATTAGAGACAGACACCCTCCCACTGCGGGACTGAGACATAACTGCTTTACTTCCATCCTTCTTAGAACCTGGGGTAGGCATGGAGTTACTCCTATTGTGAAATGGTGGTCGAGGATTTGGGTCATCTAAACTTTTCCAAACCTTGGAGCTACCTGGCTGCTGTTAACATAAAGATAACCACATATATATGTAAACTGTAATTCCATAATCGAAAAAAATTGGAAATTCATCAAGCCTGAAGACAAAAACGTACATTATTATAAGTCAATGATTTTAAATGATACTCTGAGTCTCCTTAAACGTTAGGAACTGAAAGCTTGCAATAACAACTTCAAGTATTTGCTAACTTTTATATTGGACCAAAACTGTCGAATTTGTATTTGTAAAACTTGTGAAAAGACAAAAAGACAGACATCTACACATATGACAGAACTTTGCAAAGGTGGGACTCCTAGCATCCATCTATCTGACTCCCTACACCAATTCACAGCCAACATGATAAGGCTTCACTGTATTTATCAGGTGGTGGTTTTACTATTCTTTATTTATATATACACAAGTATTCATATATGAAGTTGTATATAGTATAATAAAATAAATGAAAAACAACTTCCCTCTTATTTTACATTCGATTACAGTTTCAGATCACTAGGTTTTTGCAGAGAAATGAGACTAGGCAGTGAACTACCCCTTATACGTGCTTGACATGCCAGATTTTCCAACCACTTGCAATTCATTAAATGAGATTTCCTTCCATTTGTTTTTGTTTTAACTGGATATTTATAAACATTGTACCATTCATATTGTCACTATTTCTTCCTTCTAATTTGCCTCTTTTCTAAAATGAATGTATCTTCTTTCTTCAAACATAACCCTCACTTTACACAGAGTTTGTAAAACCTCTGACATGGCTGTTTACCTGAGTTTGGTTGGCATGTGATGGACCTTTCTGAAGTCTAGCAGCATTCATGGGTCCCAGGTCCAGAACTTCCCAGCTCTTCTGTCGCCTGGTCATGGGTGTAGCCACTGGAGGAGGGGTCATTGAGGGGGGAGTTTGGATGTCGAGGGTTGATGTGACCATCACCTGTGAGGGCAGGCTGGGGACGGGGATCACTGGTCCTGCGGTGGAGGAGGAGAACACCCCTGTCAAACATTGAGAACAGACTTGCAGATTTACAAGGATCATTTGGTATTTTGTAAACTCAAATAATGGTTAAATTTCATGTGGTTTTTTGACCTCCAAACCTTGACTTGATAAAGGAAGTCTCTATCTCACAAGATTCTTCAGTAATGGACAAATTAATATTAGTAAAGAAACAACCAAGAAAATTTACAAACAATGTATTTAAAACAATAAAGGGAAGATTTCAATCCCATGAGTACAAGATAGTCTCTGAAATCTAAAGAGAGCTAAAAAAAAAAAAACCCCACTTAGACCCAATCAAACAATAACTGTCACTAACCTGCTGCCATATCTGTGTTGAGACTGTCACTGGAGGGCGACTCCTTCATCAGGTACTGAGATGTACGATGTTTAAGATGGCATCTACTTCTCACTTCTTCAGAAACCGATACCAAGGCTGTAAACAAAGGAATATTGTAAAGACTTGTTAAAGTATGAATTATAGACAAGTTCCAGTTTTAACTTAAATGTACATGTATTAAATTACTAGAAGCAATATTGAGCAAGCTGCACAAAATTTACAGCAGCTATTGATTCATCAAATAGAATTGATAAATATAATACTTATGTATCTATAATTACCTGCAAGATATGGCACAGTCTGAGGTGTCACTTCAAACTTGTCTCTGAAAAAGTGCCAAGATATTTCCATAAATGTTTTTCATACTTAATACTGTGGAATCATTATTGTTCTTGAGGGACCAATTTCTGTGGATTTCGTATGTCTCCTGTACCAATAAACTGACATCCCAATGAACTATACTTTTGTCAATGTATCTGTTCAATATATCTTCAGTATACATGTATATGATTTACCCATAAAATTACTTCCCCATATAAAATTTTAGTTGCCCACAAAATTAAATGATTCTACAGTATATTCAGTGTCTTAGGTATTTTCCTACCATGACTGAGCAACTATCACGGTGGCTTACCTGTTGGTGGGTTTTACAGTGATGGATAACAGCTGGTTCAGAACACGGACAGTTCGAGATGTTGTCGTCTGTGCTGGATGTCTAAATCCTAAAATACGCATACACATGTAAATAAGTGAACAAAATTCTAATTGATGACAAACAGTGATGGGTGAATGCTATACATACCTTTCAGAAGATGACCAACAAGAGCGAAGTTAAAGTTGGCTTTAAAGCTGAGTCCCATGGCATGGTCTAGCTGTTTGAAATGCCACTCTAAAGGATCCCTAGTCTCCATCATTATCTTCTCTAGAGGCTACCAGATGGGAAAAAAAAAAACATATAAAAGTACACTTAATTAACACAAATCATATGGACATTGTACCCATTAAGGACATACAATACTCAAATTTATGTTATGTAAATTTGTAAAACATTCTGCGTAGGTTTAATTATTGCTAAAACACATACTTATCCCAAAATTTTTCCTTTTATATCTACATGTACATTGTATATGGAAATTAAAAACAAAAAATTTGAAATCTCTCAAAACAAAAACAAATTTACTCTAATTTTTACCATGTAACAAAATAATTTGAACTTAAAAATGGCAAAAACAAGAAGGACTGATGAAATCTACATTTTCTCCAAATTTTGGGTATCATATGACCTTAAAATACTATACTATATTTTAACAGTATCATTTTAAGAAAATCTAAATACCGTACATGCATATAGCACCATTTCTGTTGTAAACCCAGCAAACATGCCATTACCTCTCTATCAAACAGTCCCATGTTGTCCAGGGTATGGAGGTTCTGCTCCAGTAAAGCCAGACCTGCTGCATATAAAGACTGCTCATCCAGCTGTAGGACAGAAATGGCCACCCAGAACAGAAAGCGGTGGATAGAGGAATCCTGAAAGACGGGAAATACAAATATATCAACAACAAATTATACTGTTTCTGATATCTAAAAATTCACTGCTGTTACATTGATGAACAGTTTATGATATTGTATTTAATGTCCATGAACTTACAGATCTCAGCAAAGGCTGTAACCTTGTCAGACACATAACAATGGCCTCTATCAAAGTCAGGTCATTAAAAGACTCCAAAGCCTGTCCAAAAGAAGGAGTGTAATTAGTAAATGGATAAACTTTATGTTACTTATTTTCTCAGATGCTCACCGAAACTGTCAATATCAACAAAGAAGTATGTGTACTTGGAAATACTTGCCTTCATCATGATTTTGAGGAGTTGTTTGATTTCCGAGTCTGTTACAGTTTTACTGATACAGCCAAACACAATGATAGCCCGGGGCTGTAAGGCAGGATTGTACTGGAATGCAAACCTGAAAGAAAGTCACACTTCTGTCATTTGTCAGATTAAGTACAGTATATTACACATCTAGTGGACAATTCTAAAATTCAAATACTGCAACTCATGTTTACTTCACAATAAATGTTTAAAGACAAATTTTGAATATTTGCTGACATTGTACCTTCTAGCCAAATCTGTCCATTGCTGGAGCCAATCACAACTTGGAATGTCTTTCATAGATGCCTACAAGAACAAATCACATACTGATCTTAACATTGATACTTACATATCTTTCATGCAAATCTTTTTAACGGATTTTAATTTCACAATAAGAAATTTTTTTTTCAAACTTCAATAAATATGGCAAGGCATATTTCTATTTTTAAGTTAGTGAACAAAGAACAGAAAAAGTATCCACTAAGCATTACCTCCATGATCTCTAGAAGAGCATCTACAATGGTTTCCAGAGAGGAAAGAGACATTTTCTCGTGTTCTGGAGGGGACATTGTAAACGATCGATCCCCCGGCCTAAAGCTGGTTCGAAATGCACTGACAGCTGCTGATTTTACTTTACTGATCCCAAACAACTGGTAGAACTTGGGTAGAGAGAACTCAGCTAAACTCATCTTCAGAATCTTCATAGTGGTCTCTGAATTTTTTTTTAAGTGTTAATCCAATTATATATCAAAAATTTCTTTCTATGATGATTTTCATCATACCATTTGTTCCAACATGACACAAGAAAAGAGATCTCTTGAAAAATAATATTACATGTATACATACAATGTCTTTACCATGATCCTCTAGACCTACACATCTTCTAATTTTGTTCCAACAATAAAACATATTGTGACAGAATCTTGATGTTAAATACTAACCATTGATGGAGCTTAGCTGTGAACATGTACACAAGGAGTGAATAATGTTGATGACAAGCCCATGTGTAGAGGCTCGTAGAGACAGAGGCCCTGTACACACCAGTAGTGTCACAATGTGAAACAGGAATGGTAAATGACTAGCAACTAGAAATAAAACAGATTTCTTTACAATCCATGTGGCTCTAATGAAAGGATTCATAAAATACCAAAAATTCCTTTTCATCCAAATTTTAAGAACACTTTTAATTTAAAAAAAAAAACAAAGTCAATGCCCGTCTTTGTCTCCACAACAGTAATGTTCTATCTTGGGATTTATAAAGAAATAATTTTCTTCAGTTACATATGCTGGGGATGACTGTACAGCTTACCATCTAATGAATTGTTGAAAGACAACATAAGAAGATATCTGGCCAGAATAGCAATGTCATCCCACATTAGGTGCTGTTCCAATGTGGGGGTAGGGGAGGTGCAGGTCTTGTCTATCAGCTGTTAAAAAAAAATTAATGAAATATATATAATATTTCTCAAATAGTATACATTTGTAAACATTATATTGCTTAAAAAATACAGCTCCCTCCCACCAAAGTTTTATCTTAAATTCTTTAATGTGTAAAATTTATTTAGGAAAAAAAAAACGAATTTTCATAAAACTTGTCATAGAAAGGACGTATCAGTCGACTTTTTGAAAATTCTGAATTATTTATAGCATGTAAAATAAAACAAAATTATACTTACTCTGCACAATCGACCAATGACCTTTCTGGACACGAGCTGTACATTAGCAGAGGTCAATGCTACTGCTGTATCTGCCATGATTTCTGCCTGAATGGACCCCAGCCCTCCTGTGACACTTCTCTGTACAAATAGCAAAATTAAAATTCATCAAATGCTGCATCCCCACATCAACACAATACAAAGTTGAGAGCATTTCTAGCACTGATTTTTTATTCTTTCCTACAATTTTTATCTGTTTACATGATTCTCTTTCTCTTTTTATGTGCCATAATAAAACTACAAGTACATAATTTTTTAAATTACATGTATTCTTTCTTACCTTGATAAAGCTATCTAGCACCATATCCAAGAGATCAGCCACTTTTCCAATGTTTCCCCAGATTTTGGCTTGAATGGAGGGATACATCTGTTGGCGAAAAAGGCAATCAATGCAGAATCATTCATAATTTTTTTGTAAAAAATGCTTGCATTCATTGTTCATAGAATTAGAATTTAATGGTGAATTGATGGGACACCCTACCTCTACTTCTTCAATTGTCATCGTGATTAATTTGTCCAAGATCAGTGCAACTTTCTGTCTTTTATTCTCATCCGAGTGTTTACAAAATCTGTAAATATACAATCACCACATTTTAACATCTTTGCAAAAGTATAATATACAGGAAAATTTAACTTAATATATACTTTATGTACATTTAAATTATTTGACAGAACTTTTTGTAATGCATTCCAGAACCCCTTTTACCAACAACTGGAACAGATATTCTGAAACCAATTATTTGACATCAGTGCCCTTTACCTTGTGAGATTAGGCAACCATGGAGTGATGTATTCCAGACACAAGTGCTTCATCTCTATGTTGGAGTTACCAAATCCCTGAATACACTCCTCCAGGAATTCCAGGGTAAGATGTGGTTCATTCACAGCTAGGGTTTCACTGATGAGCTTGATGAAAATGGTATTATTTGCAGGGATACATAATCCTGAAAAGAATGTCAAGAAAGTGTCGCTTAAATACTGAAAGATAAAATAAAATTACATTCTTTAACATTATTGTTTCATTTTCAAGCATCTTTCGCAAGATGAAGACCTTTCAACTCTATATGAACCACTGATGCAAATCCATATCTTGTTACATAACTGTAAAAATAATTACCAGTGGTTTCTAATAATTGGCCCTCTATTTTCAGGTCAAAGGTTTGAGTGAGCGCACACAGCAAGTTATAAGCAGCAGATCTGAGACTTGGGTCCGAGCTTCCGAGGTTCAGCAGCGCGACATTGAGCAGGGTGCCGGGCACATCTTTTGGTCGGATTTTGGTGTGGACCGTCACAGACTCAGGTTGTGACAGTTCCCATCTGGTCCTTATGTGGATTATGTCATGGACAATGTTATCACAGTCATTATGAATAAAAGACAAGGGCCCACTCTCATTGGATATCGTCAAGGTAAACTGATTGTCGTCAACTAAACACACCTACAAAATAAATGGGTAATGCCAATCCAAATAAATGCAAAATATCTTTAAATATCAACAATCTTAGAGTAAGTAGGACAAATTATATATTTTCAGTTTGAAACAAAAATTTAACTCTCCTTGTTATTTGCACAATAATCCTTATAGGAGGTTTCTTTACCTTCTTTAATTTTTGGCCCTAAGACTAAGATTACAGTAACTTGTAGAAATGTACAGTATGCCTTGTTCAATCCATCAGGTAAACAGATTCATTTAGAGTTAAATCAATGATGCACTGGGAATATGCATGTACATGTGAAATTGACAAACTGAAAACCGTTTTTGGCTTTGGAATGTATAATGTACATGTGCAGTATTTGGAATGTATAATGTACATGTGCAGTATTTGCACCTGCATTTGCTCCTGTCAAGCAACACTAAATTATTGCTGCATATATAGGAACCAAGATGTTCATTTCAATGTACATGTATTTTTGCTCCATGCTGGTACAATATCCTTAGATTTCCCATATCATCTTGCAAATTTATAGTGCAAATCACTACTAACTACACATGTACCTATGTATTTCTATTAATACAATATTATGAAGCACAGTATACTCCAGAAGAATATTTTTAGAATCCTGTTTAGTTTTACCTCTTCAATCTCTGATGCGTAGTAAATATCATTCAGCAGAACTTGATGTCCTAATACTCTAAGCTTCTCGGCAGATGTGATCTGTATGGCATTGGGCCCCACTTTGATGGTAACCTTTGTGTCCTTGTGAGATAACTTCAGAGCATTGTTTGAAATTTTTAGATCCTCCTCCAAGGCTACAGTGGATCCTGGCAACTTCTGCTGATCAGGTTCAATGTACTCATTCAATCTTGCTGGATGGTCAATGAAAATTAGTTTCCTATTTCCCTGCAGATGAAAAATCGTAATACAGTATAACAGTTTTTCTTTACTTTTTGAAAGATAATATTTTTCAGAAAATAGTCATAATTGAGGAGCAGAATTAAAAAAAAAAAGAATAATAAATGTTCATGTATGTTGAAAATAATCATATTTTTGAAATTAGAAATAAAACATTTTTTTCTTGTTATTCACGTCATGCCACCTAGCTTTCTCTTTAGGTTTCAGAGAAACATGTCTGGTTTCCTGTCTTCCAGCTGCCAGACAAGGAGATAGTTTATGTGGTATTTTCTTACTTTGAGTGGATTGAGGATGCGGTCATGGTACTTGGTGTATTCCCTGACCCACGAGTTACAGTTGTAGATGTAAGAGGCCGTGATATTCTGATACACCACCTCAGGCATAACCACAAACCACTTGGACAGGAAATCAGTCTGTAAAGTCAATTCTTAGACATCGTATTCACCTTTCCAACAATTCAAAGGATATATACATATACATGTACAGTGTGAGAACATTTTTCTACAAAATTTTTAAAATTTGCAATCTTGCATAAGTAAAACTTACTCTAAATCTATTTTCTGCACAGGTGTGTGTAAAGTCTATCACTAGCTCAAACGGCTTGTTGTAGAATGGTTTTAGTGTTAACAATACATGGTAGATAAGGAGATCTCCATTTATTTCTCCAACCCTAGATGAAATTAAATAAAACAACAAAATGACATTTTCTTTCAAACTATGGATGTGATATCAATGAGGCACACACAACAATCTATAATTAATCAAACTCATTTCTTCCCTATATACATGTATATCTCACATTTGTAATTAAACTGATAAAATGCCCTCTTGGTAAGAGACACTTTTTAAACAAATATTTCAAATCTATACTTACTGCATCTGTAATTGAAACATGACACAACAGGAAATTAACAAATCAAAAAGAAGCCTTACTTGTAGCGCCTGGCTATGTAATAAAACACCGGGTTCCCTGCGATGCTGGTGCCTGCCTGATAAAATATCAACAGATTCTTCAGGGACTTAAACTCGTCCTTCTCATGCATGTTGTGCTTGGACATGATCTCCTCGAACTTGGTGCTGGTCATATCCATGCTGGACCATCTAGTGGCAAAGATCCCAACACTATCATGAAAATTGTAAGGCATTCATCAGATATAATCATGCACATGCCCAGGAAAGCAATGATGTCTTTAAATTTGGTTTATATACATGAGGTTGAAAGGTCAGACAGAAATGCATATACTTGCTATCCTACACACTGTACAAAGGTAACAGTTTTTCAATGTGAATGCATGTGAAATTAAGCTAGTGTAAAGAATCTTTATACTGATATATTCGATAGAATTGCTTGTTTAAAAGAAATCAACATGCACAGCAATATTCCTCATATTTCTCATATAGACTTTAATATGCATATTCATGCTTTAGAGAGGATGTGATGCATTTGATCTGAAACATGCATATGATGTCTTTCACATTCATTCCAGTGTAGTACTATTTTTTGGTAAGTATCTATTACAGTATCAGTTGTTTTTTTCTGACAATTTCTAGTGTCCTAAATCTTTTCTTCAATGCACATACAGTTAACTCATGCATTCCATACTGATATTTTTCTTTGACTTAGGCCTATCTTGATCACATCCCAAAAATTCAGTAGCTATACAAAAGTATTTTTTACTCACTGAGAGTCCAAAGGTCTATGTTCCGGTGGTCCCAGATATGCCAATAATGTAGCCATCTTGTCAAATGGTCTCCTTCCTACTGCCTTGTGGTCTCTACAGATACAGAAAGAACACTGATTACACATACATGTACACGTACATGTACCTATATGTATCCCGAAATTTCAATCTCAACATTTACTTAAACTATGCAACTTTAGAGATAAAACACTGACTACACATCATGATACACGTACATGTACCTATATGTATCACGAAATTTCAGTCTTAACATTGATTTAAATTATTGCAACATTAGAGAAAACGGTTCCTTTAAATGGTCTGGCAACCAAGTTGCTGGTTAGAATCTCAGTGAGGTTGTTCCTCATTTACTGTGAACAAAGCAATTTGTATGCATTTGTTTATCTCTCAACATATACTATACACTATACAAAACTATAAATGGGTGAGTAACAGCTTTTCTATCTGTGATGAATTTATCTTTCAGCATAAGCATTTGCTATTTTAGCCTTAATAGCAAAGGAAAATTATTAAGGGAAAAAATCAATCATGCCACTCATGTATAACATGCAGAGGAGGACTAGCTAGTAGAGGGTACCTGCTGCTAGACAGATAATCCCCTATCTTCTCCTGGTTATTCCATAGCAGTCTGTGTAGAGCCAGAACATTAGCATCATTAATGAAGGAGAGACTATGATTTCCTGTGTCTGGAATGTCTCCATCTGAAGCAATCTCTGTGAAAAACCTGAAAAAAAAAATAAATCAAATGAAACATTTGTAAAATGTTATACTTTCTTTCATGTCAATAAAATCTTTTCATTTAATTGATGTCAAATTGTAATTCTGAACTAACCTTCTACCAGCCTCAAAATTGGTTTTGAGGAACTCATTGAACGTTCTCATGTGGTTTTCCTTTGTGAACTGCAGATGGTTAGCAATGTTTTGCATTATTTTGCACATGAGTGTCAACCCTCTTTTGACTTTCTGTGTTGGCTCTTCATCAATTATTCCCGACTCAAATGGAGACACTACAATCCAAGTACATGTACTTTTGACTTTATCAAAAAAATAATTCTTAATGAGAAAGTTTGACACAGCTATACATATGTCAAAATGAAATTTTAAAATAAACTTCCTATATTTTTACACAATTGTATTTTCAGATGCTGACCTGTATTAGATTTTTTCCTTACAAATCAACCTTTTCTCTTGTATACGTCTATATCTTCAGATTTTCACCTCATTTGTGTTTGTTATGAACTTGTTTTCTTATCAATATACAATTCAAACCAAGTTATCCACACCCCAAAAAGACTTTATCATTTCAATTCTCTAACTTATTAACATAAATAAATATATTGCATCAGCAAAATTACAAAAATAATGGTTGTTAATATACAAAACAGATATAGAGTTGTTAGTGTTAATTTCAGAGGGGAGTCGGCTGCAGATATGAAAGGTAGCCAAGCACATGCAGCTTAATCAGAACCACAAACCAATACCTGGCAGCTTCAATCAGGCTAAATTGTAGATACATGCCATATGTTATTACAGTATATTTTTATAATTACACAGGGAAGAAAACTAGAATTGCATTTTCACTGAATCTTAACCTTTTCAAAAAAGAAAAAAAAAATAACCAGGCACTAACACACTTCACTTCACTCTATCAATCCACCAAAGCATACTACTAGGAGTGGCCCAGAAATGAAATACAGAGAGCCCTACCTTAATAAATAAATTAATTATACAAGCTATCAATTCTACATTGAGTATACACTGTACATGTACTTTTTCTACTTATTAATCAATACATGTATATCCTAATCACGAGCTTTATATTATAACATAGCAGGTAATATTATTCTAAATATGAAGTAGTGCTAAAATCCAATAAAATTAATCATCTAGAATATACAATTACTTACACAAAAACTATAATAAAGTCCGAACAATCAAGTATTTTTCGTCAATACCGGTATATAATTTTTTTGTTACTTCTGTGTTTTTTTTTTTTTTTTTAAATAATACATGTATTTGTGATTTTTCACAATTTTTAAACAGACTTTTGATAAGGATATCACCTGGAAGTGAACTGAATTATTAAGACGTAATTGACATTATCTGAAAACCCATCATCTTTTTATATCATTCCCTATGACTTTTACATGTGTACATCTAAACAAAATGATGGCCTGACCTTGTAAAATAAGGCTGAGTACTTATCTCCCACCACAAAAAAAAAAAAACAACTTGAGCACCACAAAAACACCAGATATACATTCACACATACACCACAGCTGTTAGGACATATCTCCAAATTTCCACTCGACAACAATGGATTACAATTTTCAAAGTTATCAAACTTAAAGTTGAATGCAAAGTTTTAATCTTATTTTTCACACTCTTGACCTGCTTTCACTATAAAGCTTACTAATAATTGGTCTACAATATGTTTTTATTTTCCCCTTCACTTTGAAAGCAGGTCAGAAAAAAATGCATATTTTTACTTTAAATACTAGTTTTAAAATACATATATCTTTTGAGATAAACAAAAAGCAAAAAAAAAAACTCATCCAAATGCTTGGACAGTCTGTAGTTGTCTGAGTTACCTATCGCTGGATTGATGAAGCGCAAGAAAATAACTGTGCCAATCACAGTCCACACGGCTTCAGTGGAACTCTGCTGAAATCTTTGTGTCACTACTTGGTATAGGCAGTGACACATGCTTCTCAGCTTAGACGGAAACCTGTGAAGGCAACAAGTCGTTCAAGATCCAACAAAAATTCTCACTCTCATAAACAGTCTACTTAATGTTTAAATTCTACACTTAGCCAAGGTGTCTCCTTCTTTCAGACTGAAATGTTATGGTACAAATTCAGGCTAATGCTGAAGTATACAGGATAATGAAGCCTGATCAGTGGCTGATCCAAAGGAATTCAAATCTTCAAGAATCTTTACAATAATTTAATGACAATTTATGCCCCTACAATCACTTTCATCCATCTGGATCCACCACTGATCAAATTCATTGCCTTGTAAATATAATAAAAAAATTGTTCAAGGCATTCCAGATTGATTTGGGGTCTTCTTGCATGTTAATATAGCTGTAATTGAAGAAGAGCCTCTTGGATATGTCTGTGCAGCATTTGTGTGGGTAACTCGGCATTTTCCATTTCAAGGTGCTTTTAATATTAGTAGACATTTTATCAAGAATATTTATAAGTTCTGAATATGCCTACATATGGCTTTATATGGTATATTCTATTATCCATGTGACAATTTTTTTATTCCACCAATTTTGCGTATACATGTAAATTTGATACAAGAAATGATTAAATGACGAGCAAAGAAACACTACATTATGAAGATATTCTATATTAAAAAAAATTAACTAAGGGAAGTAAAATACAGCTAAAATATTTTCAGCTTTCTTAAAACTTAAACAAACCAATGATATGAAGATTGCTAAGTAAGAAATCATGCACATCGTATGACTACCCAATTTTTCTCTCTTTTTGGGAAAAGAGTACAGGAAAGCAAAAATTGTCACATCTAATACAAAGAAGAAAAGTATGTACATTCCAAAGTGTTAAAAATTTTACAGCTGGCATTCAAAATAGAGGCAGAAAGTTTTATATGGATTTCCGCAGCAAGCAGCAGGCTCTTGATAAATACTTAGTGGTTACCTAACACGGGATTATAAAACCGTAGGAAAATTACTGTCCCTGTTGCAAAAATACTATCGTGCGGAAAACGGATACTAATCACTTGAAAAAGGCAATGGCACATGACTCTCAGTTTGGGAGGAAACCTAATAAAAATCACTATAAAGTTAGTGAGTTCTGTTCTCTGCAATACTGATTTTGGTTTAATATTAACAACCAATGTAATCCACTCCATTTAATTAAAACTATGTGAACTTTTCTTAGTCATGTAATTTTGAATGAATTTAGCAAAAGGTAAATAAAAATAAGACAGATAATCCCCCCTTCCCTATTCTCTGAATGCAGTGAACTTACTGTGGTGCAGACCCTACAATGGAATCAAACACCTTCTGGGTGATTATCATCAAATTCTTCTTGTTTTCTTCTATACTTTCACCATGCTCCAACCTATATTTGACAAATAGTGTAATATTAATTAAGACCAGTAAATATACAATTTTATTTTACCTCTACAAGCAAATTAATTTAGCAAACACATACATACTTTTCATTTGTCTATAGATGAATTCTTTACTAAATGTACGAGTGTAACCATGACATTAACTTCCAGAAAATCATTACCTTGCAGGATCAATTTCAAAGCACACTTTCTGTTGCCTTTCAAGCTGAGCCATCTCCATTATGTGGGGGTTAAGTAATTCTCGTAAGTAGTTCTGGCCATAAAATCGGAAGCAGTATGCCATGATCTTGCTGGCCAGAGAGTTGCCGCGGAACAATGTCTGCATGCAGTCCGCTATCTCCACCTGTCCATCAAAATTCTAAATCATTTATAAACAGCCATCTTACTTCAGAGGAACTGTGAGAGTTTCTACTAAAGCTAATCACAACAAAATATGCTATAGTTTTGTTTCAATATCATTAAAAAAAGAACCTCCTTGTTTTTAGTGTTGACTTGAAGACAATATCAAAATTCAAAAAACAAAAAAGGTCCACATTTTCTTGAAAGAAATACCACCATAAAGCATCAAATGATAGCCAAACACAATGTAGCATTTCAACAGAGCAAATAATTTTTACAAAGAAATAATAAAGGAAAATAAAGAAAAAATAAAGAAGCAATACGTACATGAATACATACCTCCTTGGAGAACATGTTCCAGAGAAGCTGATAGAGAAGATGCTTGGCATCAAAGAGATTGACAAACACTCGGGCCAGTTCATCCTATCAACATTAAGTAAAAATATTCTATTCTCTTCTACATGGAAAACACAAAACATGAAAAGAAGACCTGAAGAATAGTAGATTTGAATTTACTCACCATTTGCTGAGAGGGTACCACTGTAGCCAGTGCCATGGCTATGGGAAGCTCCCCTTTGTCCCCAATCATGGTCACTAGTTCCACCAACCTCTCGAACCTGTCCGCCAACGCAGTCTCGGCCAGGGTTTCAAACTCTGTCCCCTGTTGGAGGATCTTAGTCAGGACTTCCATGAAGGCTGCCCTGGTCTGGGGATCTTTGTGATAGCCAAGAGCTGTAAATTTAAAATGGCATTGTACATCAAATGTAACTCTTTTATTCACTGCAATTAAAACATGTAAAAATGAATTGAACTTTTTTCTTTTTTTCAGCTATTGGCAGTTTTAAACACCAAACTGCCTTTCTTGTTAGTTTAACTTAATTTATTGCTTCAATTTTTTTTTCAATTTCAAGATGATACCTACCTATAGAGTGCATAAGTCCACTGTCAATGTTGGCATTAAGGAGGTTAGACATGGCTTGGACAGTACAGTTTCTGAGGGCAGACAAGTTGGATGTACTCCGCTTCCTGTTAGGGTCCATGGCTGTGTCCTGTTCTTCTTCTGAGCAGTCATTCAGTAGGTTCATAAATAATGTCAGGTATCTACAATAAATGAAAACAGGAACTTTTAATCATTAACAATAAACTTTACTTTCTTAAATCCCTCAACAAATTATCTTTTTATATAAGCACAATTAGCAAATAAATCCTTTTTTCATTTTTCTTTTTGCTTTTTCTTTTTTCCAGTATATAACTTACACATATATGTTATCTACATGTAGGTAGTTAGTAAAAACTTTCATAATGACAGAACCAGTAATTTTTTTTTTCATAGATCTTTTTTTGTCATCTTACTTGAGGAAGAGTTGTGATTTGGCCTCCATTAGGTCTCCCCGGTCACTCTCCTCTGGCTGGAGGGGCAGTCCTGCCAGCAAGGCTGCCACCCCCTGCATACTGGCCTGATCCAAGTCTCTGAAATAAACAGGAGTCATAACACTACATCAAACTTCAACAAGATTTTGTATTGTTAGCATGTGCACAAAAAGCAGATGTGACAGATTGTTACATCCAAATTAATATATTATCATCTAAGTTTCTTTCTTTATTTTTTCCTAAACAATTCTTTCACTGCAGCTAACATTTTTTAAATAAATCAGTTCATTTTTATTTAACTTTTCTGATAAGTTGATTCAAATTATCTTGATCATTTGCAAACAAATGCATGCATTTCAAAAAAAAATATCACAGAAAGAAACAAGATCAACACCAAAGTGGTTTGGGTGGGAGGTTTAAAGTGAAAAAAAAAAAGACAATACAACTGAAAACATGAAACAGAATGGAGAGAAGAAAAAAGCTGAAAAAGAATCAAAATAGGCAGATCAAAAGCTTTCTCAAACACAGCATCAGAGTTGTCTATTCACTGATCAATATAGCTGTGTATACAATTTAGAAAAAAGTTCTACGTTTGCTTGTGATGTGAAATTTCTGAAGAATTTAAGGTGTGGGGTAGATCTTGAGTAGAAGAGAAGTGTTAGTAAAAGATGAAAACACCTGCATAGATAGACCTACGTATCTCTGTACCTGACCCAAAACAAATCCAAGACATGCCCACTATGTGACGTATTTGTTCTTTAAAAGGTTTTCTCCAACTTGTTTATCATAAATGTGGAAAATTTAACTAGGTTCATTTTCAAAAGATAAAATGTGACTGGCAAATTTTCCATCAGAAGTCTTCAGAAAGACTTGCATTAAATAAACATTAATTATTTTAGAATGAACATCTATATATGCAAAACAATTGAACTGTAGATATTTTGGGTAAATTTCAACATTTGCTGTCAACATTTCTATCTTGTATGGATGTTAACATTTTTGTTCAGCTTATGAAATCATCACCTGCACTACATTGTTAATACTGAGCAGAATGAATTAGGAAACCCAAGAACAGATACTTAGTCACAAGTGGGCAAATACTCACACCGTGGTTTGGGAGTGCAGAAATAATGGTGTGGGACTGGGCACATATGGTGGGCCCTTGGCACAGGAGCCCGGCCCACTCGGATTGTGTATATATCGCTGAAGCCCAGTTCTAGGCATAGGTTTCCTGATAAGAGATAAGCTTTTTTAAACCATCATTCATCGTCACAAGCCAAGGATCTTCAGTCAAGTCCGTTCCCTGGAGTGGACCAAACACCCTTGGCTTGCGAAGATGTCCATCACGTAGCTTTATAAAAATCAAATTGCTTTGTGTCAAGATAAGTCCACTTCTGAAGTTCATTAAATGTTAGCAAACATCTGTGTCAAATCTTTTTTTTTTTAATTTTATGAGACCAGAAATTAAGTATTTATAATTTTCTTTTACTCAAATTCATAAGATTTTTTAACATTTCTCTGTCAAAGCTAGATGCATTAAAGTATTCCCATTAACAGGGCTGGAAAGAATTCTGTATTAATATTCTGTAACTTTACGGCATGATTCATACCCTGTGAGATTCATGTTGTTTCGTATAAAGAATCCAGTTTTTCCAGCTCTGTTATATTTATAAGCTAAGTACATGTACTCTGCCTGCTTATAGACCTACTCAGGTCACAGCCATGTTTCCATGTTTACCGACAGATATCTTTCACTGTTGCACAGTCATTAACAAAGTAATTTGTCAGCAAAGCTGTGTCAAAGTGCAACAAATTCAGTGAGTCACTACAGCTGGGAAGTTACCTTAATGCCTCTAAACCGCCTTCTGTGAATTTGTTTATAAATTTTATTGATTTTTCTTCGCAACCACAATGATCAGAAAATGTGTAAAATTGTATATGCACATGTAATTTGCTTTTTAGTCATGTTGTCATATCTGGTAAAAATAATACTGAAATGAGATGAAATACTTTTCTTTCAAAGCTAGTAGCTCATAAAGCCAAAATGCAAAGGCTGTGAATTCTAATTTACAAATAAAAATGACATTTCAGATTTGCAGAGACTGCAGCTTTCATCAAAGCAGTGAAAGACAAAATGCACAGTTCTACATGTGTATTCCCAATGAATGGAAATTGAAAATATGTACAGTGTACATATTTATAAGAAATGCCATGATTCCGACTATTCTGTATGAAACATGATATTGCTGAGTGGTAAGGACTTACGTATATAGAGAGGTAAACAAATGAAATGGGAATTTTCACAAGGCTTTAAACTGTACAGAGTAAACAATTTTACATACCCAAACAGAATGAAAATAAATTGATAAGACATTTACTATGTACTACTTGCAAATATAAAATTACACTTGCAACTAAGAATATAAAATTGCAACAGAAAAACTATTTAACACATGGGTTACTTCTGATCAAAAAATGCCAGCATCTCCTCTTTCTCATTCAGTAAACACTGAATGCTAAAAATACTTCCTATCTGACATAAAAGCATTGTTAAAAGGACTCTGAAGGAAGTGCATTAGAATTCCAGATAACAAAACTACTTGTACATTCAGGTATAAATACTGTATATTTTAACTCCGAGAATCAAGCTTTAGCCTTGTTACATCTATCTAAGTTGCCAATTCTAATACTAAAAGATACCAGAAACTGCACAAATTATTAAATTTTGTTAATAATAATCCACAATCTCAATACTACTATTGTTTTGACAATGGGCACCCAGATCATAACATTGTTGGATTTTTTTTAAAAGCTTTTTTGATCAGAGTAGTTACTCAACACAGTTGTTGATACCACAGACAAACAAGGAATAATTATGTAAACTCTCATATTACAGAGACACACAGACACTGAAGAAATGACATACCTGGACATGCTACAAATATCACCAATGTTAACTTGATGGGAATTTCCCATGATCCAATCCGTCAGATACTCCACTAATTTGTTGCGGAACTTCATCTCTTGTCTAAATGTCAGGTCATCGCGCCGATGCATCATGGCTTCCACTAACTGACAGAGTTTGATCTTTATTTGAATGGCATGGACAGTTGAATCTAGATGCCTCACGTACCTGAAAAGAAAATAATGAATAAATTTTGCAAGTCATTTTACACCTGAAATTGGTGGTAAATCTATTTTCTTTTTCTGAAATCGTAATATTTCTCTTGGATCTGTATCTTTCTGATTTGTATAATATTTGTTTGTTTGGCTTACCTGACAACTGCTAACATTAGGGATTCGATACTGGTGACCCCTAAATGTTCACACGGTTGGTCTGTTGTCTTCATTTCCAGAATATTCTTCATGATGAAGATCACATTCTCAGTGAACTGGGTGTTCAAATCTGTCACCATCACCTGTACAGACAAAATGTGTTTTAAAAGAAAAAGAAGAAGATCTCCACTTTTCCTTTAAAGCTTAAGCTTAAAATTTAAAATCTCCTTACTTGACCAGAGGGATCAAAGAACTTGTCCACTGAGACTTTGATTTGGTCAAACAGAATGGGATAAAGAGCTGGATTTAACTCGTGTCCAACCAACTCCTTTACATGTTTCTGAATCTGAGCACCAAACTTCTCATTCTGACATACCAACAACTTCAGCATGTTACTGATAAATCTACAAGTCAAAAACATAGGTAATCAAATGTTACTGATAAATCTACAATTCAAAAACATAAGTAATCAAACGTTACTGATAAATCTACAAGTCAAAAACATAGGTAATCAAATGTTACTGATAAATCTATAAGTCAAAAACATAGGTAATCAAATGTTACTGATAAATCTACAAGTCAAAAACATAGGTAATCAAACGTTACTGATAAATCTGTAAGTCAAAAACATAGGTAATCAAATGTTACTGATAAATCTACAAGTCAAAAACATAGGTAATCAAATGATACTGAAAAAAATGACAAGCCATTATACCAATTCACTTCTAAATGACAAAATTCAGCTTTTTACAAATATTCTCAAACGCAAAGAATTAATTTACATAAAAGTTTATATATTAAACTTGGAGGATTCCCTGATAGCAGATTGGCTCACTTACTGTGTGACTGGACAGTATTGTGTATCGTAACTCTGCATCAAGCTGCTCTTGCGAGAATCCAGCCCTGATGCTATGGACGGCCCTCCACTACTGTAAAAACAATTCACCATATTATTTGAAATCATAAAAACAACTTTGAAACTGAATAAATGTTTTTACATGTATTACTAAATGAGTGGAAGCACCCTCTGTAAAGTATTAAACATTCATTCTTCTTATTTATTAACCACTTGGGATGAATATGAGCCCCTACATGGGTTACTAACATTCTATGTGGTCTGTTCTGCAATCGTACACCACCTAAAGCACACAAAAATCCTGTCATGTTGGCCCATTCATTCAACTGGTCCTGAAATGTCAAAATTTCCAATGACATAGATATTTCTTATACACCTCTTTCTACATGTAAATGGATTTGTGTAACACTAGTAAAATAAACAGTTTCAAGACCAACCTCTAGCTCATGCTCTGTGTTTGCATGATGGGGTGGTTTTCTCTTCCTTATGGTATCTCCCAGCCCTGTTGGAATTTCTGAGTCAGTTTTCACTTTTGCATCCTTGGGATAGTTTTCTAAATATTGTGTGATAACTTCCCAGTTCCTGAATGTGTCATCCCAGGCCTATTCGTACATAAATAATCACCAAAGTTTTAAGCAGACAAAATCTTAGGTAGAAAACATTGATACCAAAATTTGAAATCACTACACACTTAACTTTTCCTTAAAGAGATACATGTATGATATACTATACTATCATAATAACAGGATTTTTGTAGCTGAATACTTTACCTGGGAGTTTCCTGATGTGTATTGGTCTATTTTTCTCAATAATGCCATGATACGCTTTTGTAATGCGGCTCTCCCTAAAAGACACAAGAATTTTATTTTTTGAGTACAAAGAATTTTCCTGCATGAAGGAAAAACACAAGCATCACATGAATGAAAACACACACACTGCATCACACACCCACACAATTCACAAGGAAGTATGGCTGACTTGTTTTTATTTACCTGTTGTTAACACAGTGCTGGCCTGTGCAATGTCAGCATACACATTGTAGTTAGGGAGAATCTGGGTGACTGCCACCTCATCTGAGCCACATCTAATGTCTGCTTCCTCGCACAGAAGATGAAAACATGACATGCCCGTTAGAACAGCATCAATATCAATACTCCACAGGTACATGAAAAATACAACCTGAAATCAGAATTAAAAGGAATACATATTTATACATATACATGTATATGTTCTAGTTTTCCAATTCTTGTGAAAACATTAACATGCATAGTGCAGTATACTTTTTTCACTATCTACAAAACACATTTCAAAAATAAAATTGAGATGTGAAAAGATCCAATAAATTATTTGAGTGATGCTGCTTTCTATACCCACATCAGAATCCAGTAAAAACTAGAAATCTGACCAGTCAGCAAGGGCCCCGCTGAGGGGTAGAAATATAAGGGTGCAGGTTACGGGATGAGAATTTTACTTGATTACAAAAATTTAGAAATATATAAAGAAGAATAAGCAACAGCAACTGCTAAATATCCAACAACCTGTAAATAGTATCCTTGTATTTACATAAGGCAGTAAAAACATCATATCTTTAATGACTCAGTTGAATGTATATTTAAAGAAGAATGAAGCATGTGTTTTCTAAAATTTACAACAAGAACTTTTTCAGCAATGATAGGATGACGTTATTATCTGATTACCTCTTAAAATAAATAGTATTCTTGAATTTACATAAGGCAGAAAAAAGAAAGAAAAAAAAAATTATAAAAAAGATATCTTTATCTATATCTTGTTTTTAGAATTCAACAAAATCATAAAAAACTCATTGTGTATTTTACCAAAATAAAGTATGAACATTATTTAAATCCACATTTCAGAGAATATAAACATCATTCAGAATTGACCTTAACTTCAAAACAAATTTCATTTGCAGACAGAGGTGTTAATTAATCTCAATGTGACAGATAAAGATAAATGCTTTGGATTTTCTTCAAGAGAAAAGTTAATTAATCCCAAGAGACTCATTGCAGCCTTTCATAGTTTACAATAGGAACATTCTCAGCAGTTATCTCTTGTTGCCCTGGCATTCATTCTAATGTAAAGTTAAGGAATCTACCCCACCACCCCAGCTCCAAACCAGATGACATAGAGAACCAAACTTAGCATCAAAATATGTCTTACTGCCTATTCAACCAACATACCAAATTTGAACTTAATTGGTCAACCCTAAAAAAAGTTATTAGAAAAAAACAGAAAATTTGTGGACAGAAGAATGACAGACGGACGGACAGACAGACAGACAGACAGACGGACAGACAGACAGACAGAGTGATTACTATAGGGCATCGCAAATCCTTGCGGGGCCCTAATTAATCAAAAGTGCTCTAATTTTGTTCTATTCACATGAATGTGTTTATTAAGAGAACAAAAATATCCTACCTCTAACTTGATGTGGATACAGATAGTCTTGTTGTTGCCCAGGTTGGCATTAGCACTGTGTTTCTGGAGGAAGGTATTCCTACACACCAGGATATCTCGTAACCACTTCAGGATCTCAGTGTAATTTACCAGTTGTCTCTGAATCAACTTCTGAGATATGGAGAACAATACTTGTGAACTACAATAAGAGATAAATGCTTACGTATACATACATGTACGAGCTAGTGGACCTGAAAATCTAACTGAATTAAACAATATACTGAAAGTATGAATAATACGAATATACATGTACCTAATTACAGACGAAAAATAGAAGGAAACAATATGTTAAAATATCTTTCCGTATTTCTTTAATTTACTTTATATCATTACACCTTCTTTCATAACAATGCACCCATGAAACATATAAACTACTTAGAACAAACTTGTTATGCATTTTTTACTCACCTGACATCCCAGAATGTGTTAATGGGTGACTCTGGATTCCAAAGCTCAATATTCTGGGGTTGATGTAAGCAGAGCAAGGCCTAAAAATAGAAATTTTCATCTAAATTACACACCTTTCAAAATTTGAAACTTTGTTTTGAGTAATATTTGTATACATAAAACATAACTGATGATGTCTTTCAAATATTAAAGCATTCAAAGCTTTTTTCTCAAATCCTATAAATCATTCCAGATAATTTTAGACACTACCGACCTGTTTCTACTGCTCTTAAAATTTCACTGTCCTAGTCCTCTGTGTTCATCACTTAATGCAATTTTACCGAAATTTTGAATTTTAGAGTTTTATTATTATGTCACAGAAACACTGAGGATAAAACCTGCAGCTAAAAGTAGCTGCCTTCAATACCTCCATTGCTTCCTGAGCCACATCTGGCATGCACTGCTGATGAACAAGAGAGACCAGTCCATTCATCAACTCCAGGGTGCTGCTCTGAATTTCATGACCTGGTTTACCCTGATTCTACAAATGGAACCCTCAATTTACACCAGTACAAGCTTGATGCAAGTTAACAGATTCAAATTTGAAAACACAGCCAAAATATCAATATGCATACCATAAAAAGTGAAATTAATATGATTAATGTTAAAAGTACTCAAAAACACAACAAAACTACACAAATAACCAACTTAATATGGAAATATTCCGCTATATACAGTTATTCTTTTCCATTGTTATGTATAATGTTACAACATTTGTTTTATCTATGCTGCAGAATTAACAACCAACTCATTTTCCATGGATTAAACTTGTCCACAAACAAAAACTTCCAAGTTTAACCTTTTTCTATATACCAAATGATAACATGTTTCTCACTCACATGTAACATGAGATAAGGGTCAGCATGAATGAGTCTAACAATCCACAATAGAAGGTAGCGATAGGTTGTCATATTCTCATCTGTAGCTTTACTCAGTTTATACAAGGTCATCTTTGTGAAGTTCTGAAGTTAAAAATAAAAATTAAAAAATTTGTACCATGAGTTCAGATTATGATTGAACTTGGATAAACAGGTATTTGTCATATTTCCCTGGTGTAAGACATCTGAAAAATATATCTTATGTATGATACCTACAAACTTACCGCTATACTGACATAGGGGATGCTGCTCCCTGTGACCTTAGGGGTGGGATTAGTGGCCATACCCTGGGTCACTTTATTCAGAGTGTCAGTGAACATGCTACGAAGTTCAGCAGCTTTCCCATATATGATATTGATACTGGGCCACCAGGGCAGTCTTTGCTGAAACACATATCCAATTTCATTACTCATTCAAAGAAATGCTCATAAGGAAACAACATACATGTACATGTAATGCTTTCCAGTGGCTGGTGCATGTTATGTCACTTAGCTCACAAGTTATCATTCAATACTTTTCTAATTATAAATGCTACTTAACAAATATCTTTTTATAAGTATATAAAATACATCATTTATCTTAGAACATTTAAATACATTTCTGACATTCCAGCCCTTTACAATGCTTCAAAACCCCAAAACAAAACAGTTTTATTCAAAACAGTACCTGAGTGATGATTCTGTGCAATGCATTGACCAGTACAAAGTGGTAGATGGGAGGTGAATGGGGATTCAAACAGATTTTCAGAACATCATTATTATGAGGTGTAATTCTAAAACAGGACACAAAGCAATCTATGTATAAATCCAGATCCTGTCCAACAATGCCCTGTCCCCGAGAGAAAGCTTTGGTGGGTGGTGGAGTGAACAGAAGATTCTGAAACATACACAATAAAACAATATAATACAAATTATATCATTATCAAACTTGAACACAGAATATTTACCACTTCAATTTTATATCTTTTGTCCTATACATGTATATACTTGAAAATTTCATCCATTTAATAATTCAATAATTTTTTGTCAAAGTAAATAAATCACCTTTAAATCATTAATGATGGACTGTACAAATGAGAAGAGGACATTTAAGCGGTCATTGATGCTGATATATGTGGAGGCTTTACACAGTCTAACACATGTAATGGCAGCGCCCTCTATCATCTGCTTTGATCCTCCATGATGGGATGCAATAGCTTTCTTTACCTCATCAATAAACATTTTCTGGAAAAGAAATCATCATATACATACACAAATCTGTATTCAAATACCATATTAGCAGCCACACTTTCTTTAACTACAAAATAGTATTATAATGACACTTAAATGTATTTCTTCTTTAGCAATCCTCCAAATTATATACATGTACTTACTTTTTTCATTATTTGTTGTGAACAAGGAGCACCTGCATCAGCATTGCTTATTTCTTCCAAGATTTTCTAGAAATGAAGGAAAAAGAGCCTCTAGTAATATTATCCTCGGCAATACTTATATTATGATTAGCTACACAAACTTATAATTCCTAAAAAACTGAAAAATAAATCTTCAAAGAAATGGCAAAATAAACGCACCAATGAAATTCTTTAAAATAATTTTAAACATTCATAGTTGTAACTCTATTATTTGAACCTACCCTCTAAATTAAAACTTGACTTACTGGGGACATGACAAGCAGCATCATCTGTAGTGGCCAGACGGCTGCCGTCCTCTTCCGGGATTCCATACAACTCGAGTTAAAATGCTCGAACAATTTGTCTGAACACTCTGTTCTCAGAAAAATATCAAATATGGATTAAAGATTTGTAAGCTTTCTGGATTAATATACATTGTGTTTGTTTTCCTTTAAGAGCATGTATTCTAAGCATTTTGTACATATAAATGGTATACCTTACTGAACTGTTAAACATTTTGTGACAATAGAATATGTCATTATCCAAAAATATTTTTATAAATACATGTATAAATTTTTATACTTTTTAAGCTGATCATTATATTACCCCAAGAGCACTTATATTCTTAAAAAGAAAAGGATTCTGAGATATAATGTTAATCATGCAATTCCAGTTATCTACCTTGCAGTTCTTCATTTGGCCGTTTCTGTAGGTCTGTAAATTCTTCAGGATAATTGTCCATCCAATTCCATATTGCCTATCATAAAAATAAATATTGACATCAAAAACCCTACCTACTACAATGGTAAGTACTCTACTTCTGAAATATACATGTATTGCAGCTTTACACCAAAAGACTTCCTATTAAATATTTAAAATTTATTATATCATACATGTATATAGCTACTGGGGGACTAGTCTCACCTTTTCTAGGTTGGTGGCCAATGTAAGAAACACCTGTTTCTTTATAGGCTTAAATTTACACACTACCTCTGAAAATAAAATAATATGCACAAATATACAAGTATTATATTTTTCTTGGATATTTCTTAATTGACTACCATTAAAGCTCTACAAAAATCTGATTTCTTAAAATCAAAAAATTAATTTTCTGGATACCAACACTGATTTCTACTGACATCTCTACAATTATCTGATATCTTACGAATTAGAAGACTGGGATACATGCACTAAATATATATTGATATCTACAATTTTCTGATATCTTACCATTAAGAAGTTTGATAAGCCTGTGGATATCTACATTAATATGCTGGATAAGCTCCAGGTCGGACAGATCTGATTGGTCACCATCAGCACTAGGAAGGTTTGATAACCTATTAAACAATAAGAAAATATGCCGTTTTAAACAGTTAGAAGTTAGCAAGACAAAATTGTTTAAAATTGAGCACAGTACATTTTTCTGGTCTTAAGTAACCTTTGCTTCAAGTACAAAATTCATTACAAAAATCAGATTCAGACATGACAGATATGTGTAAATGACTTACTTTGCAGATATTCTGTTGAATACAGCTGTGAAGTTATTTTGGCTGAGAGCAAACAGAACTTTGGAGGCCAAGTTCTTCAACTGTAGAACTAGTGGATTAGGGTTGTCTGTGGGTTGGTTCAGGAACTAAAAATAAAACAGGTTATTATTTCAACAAATTTGAATCTACATGTGTCATAAAGCCTTCACATGAGTTTCATTTTCATTTTTTTCTGGTCCAGTCATCTGGCCCTTCATTTAACAAACTTGAATCTCCTTTACCAAGAATACTTTGTGCAAAGTTTGATTGAAATTGGCCTATTAAGTCCACAAGAAAAATGTCACTACCGACAGATGACAAAGAATTTGGTTCAGAAGAGCTATGTTTGAATTCAAATACACTGTACAGCTAGATCAATATAACGCCACGTTTCATGGTTAGATTAAGAGGAAAGACAATCAAAACTTTCTGAAATGTTATGTTACCTTACATATCTCTGGAAGGAGGAGTTTAACATAAATTGCTTCATCTAGACGTGAGGTGTCCTTTGGTTGCTGTTGGAAGTAGAAAATCAAACATGTATAACAAATAAATGGCTTGAATTATTCATTCTGACTGAAGTGCTTTTGTTTATTATCATTTCAAACCACCTTTTACTTAACAAATCAAAATAGCATACATTCCCTGATCAGGAGATTTTCACTTACAGAATTCAGAACCTGTTCTAAAGAGTCCAAAATGATGAGTTGAGATTCATGGTAATTTCTCTCGGCCTCAGGATGGATACGCTGTTAAAACAAAACAATAGATAAGTAACAACTGCATATAATACACCAAAATATTAGCGCTTAATATATATTTCTGCCTAAAAATGCTACAAACAAAGTCCAATTCCTGTCGAGACAATTTGTATTTGTGACTTGACTATCATGACCCTGACCTGAGAATTAAAAAATCTACTCAGGTAGTTCAAAGTTTGAACAAGGTCAAAGTTTAGGACAGTTCATAATCTTTTCTGGAGGGTTAACTGTAGTATTCTACAATTTAGAGACAGAAGGCATGGCAGATTTATTATATTAGATACAGAAAAATAATTTCTGTTTTCTTTCTGCTATAAAATAAAAATAAACAGAATCATCAATTTGCACTATAATCATTAGGGATTGTTGTAGCCTGATTATCACTGTAATTCTACTGTGTTATGGTAAATACTAATTAAAAAAAAGTTCTCCGAGATGTGGAATTTAAAAAAAAAATAAACATTTCATCATGACTAAGCATAAGCTGATCATATGCTTGAGTGCTGGAAGATATTCTAGTATTGTAAGATAGAGTTTCTATAAATAATGCATGATTGGGTTGTCTGACCTACATTTGGACTTTAAATTATACCATTCCATTCATAAAACTTATCAGTCTTTGATAGTAATCCAAAACTGGGTCACTACTTGTAATGTGCCAATGGTATTTTCATAGTGGAAAATTTACATAGAGGTTTCCATTGTATGGTAATACATAAATATAGTTTGTAGACAAATCTGTTTTTTCTTAAATGTATACATGGCAGAATTAAGATTTACATTGCATATTTATTTTTAAATACATGTTCCTAAAGACCAAAACAAACTCCATCTATTCATATTAAAAGGCAATATATAGCTTAATTGCATATTAATATTATTTATATCCTAGCTTGTATGCCCAAAGCAAAAGACAAAAAGCCCCCAAAACTAATCAGCCATCCGTGACCAAAACCAATATCACCTCATGACAAAGTCATTATCTATACAACTGTGTTATCTCGCATGTACAACTGGTACAAAAGTCACAATTTATCCCCCTTCTAAAGCCTCAAGTCCGGCTCAAACGTAAACTCTGGTATCAGGACTACTCCAAGCATGCCTGAATCGATAATTTTCCCCTTACCACGCTAAACAAGGGATATTCTCATTCCCACGTGGAAAAATATGGAATCAGATGAAAATGGATTAGAAAGTAAAAAAAGTCCTTCAACAGTGGAACTTATGGCAGTAAAAAATGAGAAGAAATCTTGTAAGTAAATACAATGTTGTTATCTAATATATACATTTGTATCAGGGTTTTTATTTATCTTTTATTTATCTACTTAGTTATTGTTTGTGCAATTACAAAGAATTGAAAGAAACATAAACACCATTTTCTCTGGCAGATTTTGAAAACATGTATCAAGCCTTCCAACATGTCCAAACACTTCTTGCTTATACCTTCATGAGAAATCTAATACATGTAATTATAACAAGTACCTAGATATGAATACAATAAACAAGAGAAATTTAGTTTTAAGGAGATGAAATTGTGAGCTACATTAGTCAGAAAATATGCACTGAAATAATTTTGCACCCTAAAAATACACTATCATTTCTGAGCAGTGTTTACTTGTACAGTTATTAAGATATTTTTTTTGGGGGGGGGGGGGGAGGGGGAATCAATTATGTAAAATGAGTCAAACATCAGGTTTCAAATTAAACTTTTGTCACTACAAGCTAAACATAACTTGTGGAAATGTTGTCTGCAAGTTTAATCAGTTTTATAGAAATTGTATAGTTTGATGTAAGTAAACATAACCTACCCATGTAAATTAATTTTCTTTGGAGATTAGAAAAAAAACATGCATTCAAACTGAGGAGAAAGATGAACTTGAAATCAGACTGAACCCACAACATTCACTCTGTTTTATTTCCTCCACCCCTCATTTATACAACTTTATGCATGCAACACAATTTAAATATCACATATAAAATTTTAAAGTCACTGTGCAAAATATGCACCATATATAAACTCTGGTATACCACTGTATTTATCAGTTTATTTTTGCTCTTGTGCTTCACCATGTTTATTCTTTTATGAAAAATGATGACTTCAGATGATCTGGAATTCATTCAACAACAAAAAAATACACCACTAAACATAGCTCCAAGTTTACATTGCATTTCCGTTGTCGAGACCCTATCAATTAAACATTCCTACCTCATTCAAAACCTCCCTGAGTGTTTAGGTGTGTGTGTGCTATACAGCTTTGCTGTGTGCTAATTTGCTACACAGCTTTGCTATGTGCTAATTTGCTGTACAGCTTTGCTATGTGCTAACTTTGCACCTTCACATGTTTCAAAAGAAAACCAATCACATAAAATAATAATAATAAATGTAATGCTAGTGATCAAAATATGTACTGAACACTTCTTTCACTTATTTACACAAAAGTAGGCTTGTCTTAAGGGTTCATATGCATCTGGGTCACCAGAACTGTGCTACACTTATGAAAAAATAACTTTCCTGGTCTAAAAAAAAAAAAAATAAAAAACAAAACTAAATCAATGAATATATATACAGCCTGTACTATGTTCAACTAATGCACAAAACAGACCAGTCAAGTCCCAAATATTATTCTCCTGGGTGGATTAAGGGATTAATAAAATAAATAACAATTCCCGAAAAATAGCAAAAATTTTTTCCTTTATTTGTCTGTTATAACACCCTTTGTACCTAAGATAACATCCATATCTTATGGTACACTGATGGTGGGAGGAAAGTGGGGGGGGGGGGGGGGGGTTATGTTGGAAGATGACTCACCATGCTCGACACATTCTGCAGAATTTTTGTCAACCCATTGATAACTAATGAGAATTTGTGCTTGGAAACACTAATAAGACATTCCTTATTTTGCTCCACATTCTGTATGGACTGTGTTGTATGTAGGCCGGTCTTGATTGGCAACTGAAATTGAATAAAGTCATGTTATGAAAATAAACAATTTCTTTCTCCATCTTTTTAAATTTATTATACCTGTTCAACCCAATATCAAAAGTAAATTAACACCACTGATGCAGATACAAAATAAAATGTTATACCCCTTGTATGCAATGTATAATACTTGTAAAATGACACACCTATATATACAATGTGGAGCATCATCTCACAAAAGAGCACTTTGATCCCAATATAAATTATTACTTCCATAAATTCCATTATGCATGTATTCATTCACCCACATATACACTCAAGAAGTTTGCTATATCCCCTCCAACTTCATTACAAGGGGATAATAAGCCTCCATTTCACATGAATTTTAATTTCATTAAGCTAATTAATAAATATCATTAGCAAGTAAATGTCATCATCAATAAGATTCATAACCAGGTACTGATAAAAAATAACGTAAAATTTTAATAAAAGTAGGTTAAGTTTAAGACTTGAGGTAACTGAACGAATTATATTTTTCAAACAATTCCTTCCATCTGGATGGCAACAACTACAGCCTTGTTCACAATTATCGGATAGGCACTTTATAATTTGTAGTAAAAGGTCAGGTCAAGGTTACACACAGAGTTTAAAGGTAAAATAAATGTTTACTACATAACTGCAATTCACAAACACACATATCACTCAAATTGGAATATCTTCATTTCCCGAGTAAACAATATCTCATATACTGTTAAAATATTGAAATGGTTCAAGTATTTTACATAGGCTGGAATCAACATATTAACAGAGTTGTCGAAATTTTTAAATTACTGTCAGACATTTGGTCTTGTTCTGTCGGACCGGTCAAAGTTTTGTCAGACCAGATACATGTACCTTATTTTGTACACTGATAAAGGAAAATAAATGCATCAAAATGCCCTTTACCATTTTCAACAGCCTTCAATCTCAAAAGTTTCTTTTCTCAATACAGGATAGAGAGTCTTTAATCACAGACATAAATGACATAAATTTTGTCTCTAGAACAAATTTGATCTACCACCTTCACACTCAGCCATCTCTGCTGTTTTTGTGACCTTCACCTGCACACCCCAACCTGTCAGATCTCTTAAAATTTGCGCATCATGCTTGTTTTTTTTTTCAGTCATTTGGACCAACCTTTTTTTTTTTTTTAAATATATACTGTTATCTGTCCAGATATTTTTACCTGCCTTGCTGACAGGACTGACAGTTTTTGACAACTCTGTATATACCATAGTTTTATATCCACCAGATTTTATGAATAGTCATTATAAAAAAAATTGTTTATAAACCATTTTCCTAAATAATTTTAATCATATACCCTTAAAGAAAACAATTAAGTTTCCTTAATTTATCTCTTCACTTCATTAACCATGTTAAGAAACTTCCACAACAAATCACTAGCCTGCTGACCAGTCTGTCTCATATTCATAAAAATGAAATTTTTAATTATTTATTTTTATTAGGAAACATTTATGGTTCTCACCATCATATCAAATCAATATATGTGTATTTATTACTTTATAACTTCTATTCACCAAGCCATTTCCATTCTTAACAGTTGAGTAGTTTTCATTCATGTTAACTTCCTGCGATTAAATATATGCAGACTCACAATCCCACTAACTCCCACGCATACGCACCTTAGTTTGCTTTAATTCATAATTTATCATAATTACACGCCAAAACAATTAAGACACTGACACGAAATTCTTTTTCACAAACAAAGATATGACAGAATGTATAGCTGTTAAAAAAATATTCTGCTCTACAATCATCAATATGAAGCATCTCTTCGATCTTTGGCAAATGCAAATTCAACTCCAAGTGGAGTTGGTTGTTCATTCATAAAAATTTCATGCTCGCAACATCACGAAGATTTTTTCGACAAGGAAGCAATATGCAAAAATGACTTTCGACAACAAGTAAATATAAATATTACCTGGGCGTCAAATCGCTGAATCAACGACTGAACCCACTCTCCTGGCTTTTGTGTTGCCATTTTAACACTTCGTCAAAATCTGTGGTCTTGTCGCCATTTTTCTTTTATGTTGATATTATTAGCGCATGCGCATTAGCATACATTTATCCAAATATGGGCATACTCGCTAAGATTGGCTTTAATTTTTTTAAAATATAGAAATCGCAATAGGAAACCTAACAAAATTCATGTGAGGTAATGAATAATAAAATAAGACTTCATAAATGCAGTTTTCTAATTTCCAGCGCATGCATATCAATGGCGTATATTCCATATAGGCAAAAAGGCTACATAGCCTAATCATTTTCTTGATGTAAAATATACATGATTGTATTTCGTTGAAAAAATGGGGGAAAGTTGATCATAAATCTTACTTATTTACCAGTTACTAGAATATTTTTTCATCAAAAGCTATAAAAATGTTTTTAGCAATTCACACTTTTATGCCAATCCAACTTTTGTAGCATTTATTTCAATTCAATATTCAATTCATTTATTGACAACCAATGACAAAACTTTTTATTTTTATAGCTGGTTAAATCTAAAATTGAAATATTACCTAGAAGTCAATATCAGACTATTAAAAAGTGACAGCAACAGGAGTCTACAATTGGGACATGGAATAGAAATTAGGAAATTTGTTTGGGTTAGTGGGAAGTCAATCTTAATACATATTAAAAATTATAAGATTATTCAGTAGAGAGGTTTCCATAATTACCAAGCACTGTGTAAGGATTTTGTCAAATTGTAATTTTTGAATTTACTAGCACCCGGTAAATTCAAAAATTACAATATGACAATTTTTAAAATTTCTCAATTTTATTAAGAGTGGTCATGAAGATTTTAATTTCTGTAGAATAAAAATATGTTTAAATGATTTATAATTATATTCACTGGAAAAAGGACAATGATAGATGTCTCCAAGTTCGCAGAGAGTGGTCCTCCGATCCACATTCTCCATTGAGAAGGGTCGACTCCCTCCTTGCCTACCCACAATTCGGCAATTTCCATTTTAGGTAAAACCTGTATCTTCACATTAGCCTACACATTAGCAGAAAGGAATATACGCCACTGCATATTATTGCCGAGATTTCTGTGACTATTTGTCTCCTTTCTAGAGGCTATCTCACACCTACCAATTTCCCGGCCTTAGTTCCCTTATGAAGGTTCATGCGAGTTTCTTCAGTTTTGTTCATAAGCATCGTTCCAGGTCGATCATTTAACAAATATATCACAAATCTTATCAAATAAAATGAGCTAATTAACGCTTATTTATATAATCTTTAGATGCGAGTGACGAAAATAAATAAATAAAATGAAGTAAAAATTCAGGCGCATGCATGCACAGGAAATGTTATTTGAAAAAAGAGAAATACGACGGCTAAATAGGAAATCCTGAAAAAAAAGTTTTGTACCTAGTGTTAAAGTGATGTACTAAAGGTGTAAAGTAAGAAGAAATATTACAGTTATATCTATTTCATAAGTAGAACTACTGGAAACTTATCTTGGAAATGAAAACTATAGCTTTCTTTCGTAAGTATAATTCTCTCTCTCTCTCTCTCTCTCTCTCTCTCTCTCTCTCTCTCTCTCTGGAATCGCAGGATTTATCATTATTGAAATTATGCCAAACGATGATCTTTTTATTCTCTGTTGCTCCAGTGTTTTTCAGCAAAACGGAGGATTGAAAAGTAATCCCTTCGATCTCCTTTTTAGTTTATTTAAAAAAAAATTATTTAAACAGTGGACATAACTCGAGAAAAAGACAGAAATCTTAATCTTGCTTCCAAACTTTCAAAGGTGGATCCAGGTTTTTTTTCTGGGGAGGATGGGGGTTAGGGGTTAGTATTCTACATCAACTGTAAAAAATGTCAGACTCGGAAAATTTTTGATAAGCTAAAAAAAAAAAAAAAATTATCCAAACCTGAAAATCCTATTTCGAGGGGGGGGGGGGGGGGGGGCGGAGACGACACTTTCTTAAGTCAAAAAGGTGCAAAAACTGGAAGGTCAACCGGATTTTAAATGAAAATTTTAAATTAACAGAAAAATACTTCACACTGCAAACATTGGGGAGGGGAGCTTAAATTCCCCCACCTGATGCTATATAAAGTAAAAATTATGGACAGTGTTTATTTACGTAGAATATAGGCTAGACCTGAAAACGCGGCATAATAAAAGGTCTGCCCTCTGTATTTCAGATATCTTCCTGTCACGAAAAGAAAATTATGGACAAGGTTTATTTCCGTATCATAAAAACTAGAGAATGTTTCAGGGCGGACCTTAAAACGCGATATAATAAAAGGTCTGAATTCTGTATTTCAGATATCTTCCAGCTGCAAAGTGAAAATTATGGATAGGGCTTATTTCCCTGGCATAAAATTAGAGAGAGTTTCAGGGCTGACCTTAAATATACGTGCCTGTGAAGTGCAGTACAAAAGTTTCCTCCTGTATTTCAATGCATTATTGGAATGAACAAGTCGAGAAATGAGGAAAGCCTCAGGACTAGGACTAGCGTTATGGTCCATTACTCTCGCTACCATTTCGATTATATTTGAAATTAATAATAAGTATTCCAATTCTCAATTTTTTGAGCACATATAAACGTGTTTTTATAATAAAAAGTGGATCGAATCTTTTTGTAAATATATTGATACATGTACGTATGTAAACACTGGTAAATACACACATTCTATAAAATCCCTTCAGCAAACCGATGATTAAAAATCCCATAAAAATAAATTTATTGTTTTGTAAAATTCATCAACTTAAACGTCATTAAGTTATTTTTTATGATCTTAAACGCTGTAAATACATTGATATACTCAGAAGGAAAACAGAGATGATCGAGCTATTTGCAGCGTATAATCTTGCTGTAGAAAGTTACCAAGAATTCATTTCGAACACCACTTCCTGTTTTGTTGCACTGTTCAAAAATGGCACTGACTACATGTGAAAGTGTGTTTTTGTCCTACTCAAGATGAGTGTGGATAGACAAACAACAAAGGGGGAGAAAGCCAAAGGTTAAGAACTTGCATTTGTTAGCATAGTACTAGTATAATTTTATAATTATGTATGTAAATAGCTTATAAGTATAGAAGTGACCAGGACAATATAACAATTTCAGCCGCGGTATTCTGGTATCTGCAATAGATTTACAACATTAAAATTCATTTCGTGATTTCATAGTAGTTACCACAGGTATGTGGTACATGTACATGGTAATATAATTTATAAAAACATTGCTGCTGTTGCCGCAATAGCATCGGGCTCAAAGTACAAAATATATAAAAGCCACTTTGAAGAATCACAGGACACTGAGTCGCATTCGATGTTCTTGACCGATTATCTCTGAAATGTTTACAAATGAGTCGTATACTTCCGCCATTCGACGACACAGTTCAATTAGACGATATGCCTGTTGATATTTCAGACACATCTCCGATTGTCCGCAACAATGAAGGGCCAGATACTCACGTGGGGACCCCAGGAGTCATCGTGGTCACAGCGGACGACAGTATCTCCAAATCCAGAGCTTATTTTATGGTTTTTGTGTTATTATTTATTAATCTACTCAACTACATGGACAGATTTACCATAGCAGGTTTGTTGTCATGTGTACAGGGCAATTAAATCAAGTGATATTCTTATGTTTCCTCATTGTCATTGAAGAATGATCAAGTAGACTTAACAGACGTGGATTATATTGGATTAGATAATAGCGGTCGAAAATTCAAACTCCAAAGTTTTTTTTATCGGTATTATACTTAAATATGTAGTTTGTGGAGATGATACATTTTAAGACAAAGTGTTTGTGCATGTATATCATGTGTCAAAGTATGTGAATGCCTGGGCATGTGAGCATTCAGGATGTCTATCACAGGATTTGGGAATTCAAGCAAGCAACGGGGTTGGGAGACACTTTGCTGTAGGGGACTAAGGTGGGAGGGCAAAAATAATACTTGGAAGCAGAACAAAATTTTTCAGTTGTGCTATAGTGGTGTTAATCATATTAGTCAAAGTTTGATATAGAATATATACCTTGGAAGATTCACATTAATTCATAAGCATTTATACCTTTACATATTTACATTCTGTGTACAATCCTCATCAGCCTGCAGATAACTGGAGTGTAAAATTTAAAGTTACTATAAACCCCCTAACTCTGTTTAATTAGGAACTTGCCATACAATTTGAGGGAATTACTCAAGCAGATAAAAGTTATCATGCTGATGCATTTGGGATTATGGTGTCCCTGTATGTGATATAACGTGACTCTTTTCTGTCGCATCATCAACATGATATTTATGTTCTTTTCTCTTATCTTTTAATTTTTGAGAAAGAAAAAATTTCCCCCTAAAATAAATGCCTCTTGCTTGACATTTAGCTAAAAGGTGGCCAATGATAATTATGTGTAATGATGTATTAGCTAACATTTTGCTGCATCTCATCATATTATTTGAATTCATGCTAATTTATGCTATAGGAATCTTAAGGGAAGGAATTACCATTTCCATATTAAATTTGCATTTTTAATTATTGGTCTTTGTGAAGAAAATTCGAGATCTCATGGATAAATTATGAATTTATCAAAAAATTAATAAATATTTGATGTGTACAAGGAAGAGCTTAAGGGAGATTTTTAGATTGATTTGTCAAAAGTTTAAAAAAAATGTGACTATTTTTTAAGATTTTATTGTATAGGAATAAAAGGAGAGAAATTCTTGTCTGGGCATATCTTTGAAACCAAGAAGCTTTAGAGTCTTATACTTAATTCAAAGTAGCTTAAGACCATAGGCAGGTCATGACTCTGTACCAACGTCATTTTTGGCAAGGACAAGGTCACAGATACCAAAATATTACATTATTGTTTTAGCAACAACTCATGTGACTGAGTTCACCTGCTTTAGCATGTTTAGAAACAGAGAATTCTTGTTTTTGCCATTACGAAACTGAATTGGAGAAAAATTTAAGTAAATAAATATATTACATATGAAACATATTTAAGCATACTAGGCACAAAGGTTGCTTGTGTCCAGAGGGGTGTGAACTGTGAAACAACTCTGCACCATGGTCATTTGGACAAGGTCAAGGTCACTGGATGAGTGAATGTGTAGAGTAAATTTTTTGTCCATATCATAATTTTGTAATGAAAAACTTTAGATCCTACATGCCATCAGTGCTAATTATGATTGAAGGATATGTAATGACCCTGAAGTGAACAATTATCCTTTAGATGACATTTTTATGCTTGGACTGTGCATGGTAATATTTTTTGTACTCCAACACAGAGGTAGGCATTAACCACCCTCAACAATACATCTCAACAGGTATTTGCAGTACTGTACAATTTTTAGCAAGAGATGGCAGGGTTTTTATTTTAAGCTACTTTGAACTTAGTCCATTGGGAGTATTATATGAGCAGTTAGCTAGTACATATATTTTGATAATAGAAGTCTTAACTCATTTTCTTCTCATCCATTGCTATTGTAGGTGTATTGGTGGACATACAACACTACTATAGTATAGGAAACTCAGAGGCAGGACTTATACAAACAGTGTTTATAATAAGCTATATGATTTTTTCTCCAATATTTGGTTACCTGGGTGACAGATATAACAGAAAGTTCATCATGGGAGGAGGAATCACACTATGGTCACTTCTTACCCTGTCAGGGTCTTTCATTGGAAAAGATGTAAGTATATTTTTCTGAAGATATCATTACATGTATTATTTTTTTATTAATTCCTGCAATGGCAGATGGAGGGAGGGGGATTGGAGTGTCATCTAGGCTGTAAACAGACATTGAAATGAAATAGTTCAATGTCAGGTTCTAAGCCACCCTTCCACCTTTTGTTACAGTTATGCTTCTTGTCAGCTCTTTTCTAGTTAATTTTATTTGACATGATATAAATGTAGTGCAAATATGGAGTGTGTGATTGTTGAAACCCTTTGTCAATACATGTACTTTGTACATGTAGTTGTATCATAATTAATTATGAGTCTTGAAACATCAGAATAGGTATTTTATTCCATTTTTAGCTCACCTGAGGGGAAAGCTTAAGTGAGCTTTTCTGATCACATTTTGTCCATCATTGGTTGGTCTGTCCAGTAGGGATGTCATGGTTAACTGAAAAGTTGGTTAACAATCATCATCATCATCATTTATTTGGTATCATATGTCATCATACATAAAACAAATACACATAAATGTACATAGTCATTTGAAAGACAATATTTGAGAATCCATAAATTTTAAATAGATTTATAAATAGATATTCAGGAAACCATATTTTAGATAGTGACTAGTTGATACCAGGATAACCCATTAAAGCTGGAGAGCTTATTTCCAATGGGGTCCTACCCTAAATAAGATAAAAATACAATGTTTCATCATTAAAGCACTATAACAATTTTTGGCACTATAATTTTAGCACTGCGTTGCTTACACGTTAAATTTAATTTAAGTATGACAACATATAGGATCAATAAAATAATAAAATATGTTTTATAAGTTAATGCTAAAACATATCACTTTCATGTTCTAAAATGCCGTTTTGTAAGATAAAACTCTTAACTTGTTTCTTAAAAGTACTCTTTCCTTTAGTACATTTAATAGAAGCTGGTAAAAAATTCCAGTCCTTAATGCCATTATAGTAAAAAGTATCCGCTTGACATGCTTTCACATGAGGAATAAAAAAATCTTCATTAGTGGATGCTCTAGTGTTTCGTGAAGATACGGCTGACCTTAAAGTAAAATTTTCGCTTAGATAGGATGGCGCACAACCATGATATATGTTATACACATGGTTTAATCTGAGTTGTCGTACCCGGTCTTCTATATTTAAATAATTTAATGTACTAAGCACTTTGTAGTTTATGGAATGTAAAGGAGTTAAATTCAGAATAAATCTTACCATTTTGTTTTGACATACTTGTAATTTCTTTTTCAAACTCTTTGACAAACCTGCATACCATGCACAGCAAGCATAATCTAAATGACATTGTATAAGAGCAGAACATAATAACATTTTACTTCTTATATCCAAAAAACGAGCTTGTCTGTATAAAAAACGCAACCTGTTGTTGACTTTTTGTACAATGGACTCAACAATAAATTCACCACTCAGAAATTGATCAACAAAAACTCCTAAATATTTAACTTTTTCCATAGAATGTATTGTATGTCCATTACACTCAATGTGAAAATCTTGGACACTTGAAAGCTTCTTTCTTGATCCAAATAAAATACATTCAGTCTTCCCAAGGTGTAGAGATAACTTATTATCTACTAGCCAATTTGAACATTGTTTTAAAACAGTACTAAGTTTTTCTGAAATAAAATCTACATTTTTATGAGAAAATAAGATTGCACTATCATCAGCATATAAAATAAGTTTGCAGTCAGGATCAATACTGGAAGCCATATCATTGACATAGATTAAAAATAGTAGAGGGCCTAAAATACTGCCTTGCGGTACACCACATTTTACTGTACCTGGTTCAGACATAATATTTTCTAATTGTACAAACTGTTTTCTATTTGATAGGTAAGATTTGAACCAATCAGTATTTCTTATTCCAATGGCATTAAGTTTTTTACATAAAATTTCATGATCTACAGTATCAAAAGCCTTTTGAAGGTCCAACATGACCATACCTGTAAATAGACCCTTTGATGTATTTCCTTTTATAAAATCAAACAAATGTATTAAACAAGTTTCAGTAGAAAAATGTCCTCTAAAACCAGACTGAAAATCATACAAGATTTTATATTGGTCTAAAAATTTAACAAGTTGTATATGAACCGCCTTCTCTAAAATCTTAGAAACAATACTCAAATACTGACAGGTCTATAATTTCCAACATCAAGTGAGCTACCTTTTTTGTACAGAGGTTTGATTCTAGCTATTTTCATATCATTGGGAACAATACCAGAAGAGATAGAAAGATTTATTATATATGTAATAGGTATTTTCAAAAAGTTTGCTCCATCTCTAACAAATCTAGCTGAGATGTCATCCAGACCTGTACTTTTCAATAGTAAAAACACTGACGGTTCACACTGTACTTTTCAATAGTAAAAACACTGACGGTTCAGGTTTGGTTTGTGTTGTCTGGATTACAGATCAGTTTGGTTGACATTTTACATATCCCTTTTCATTTGCTACACATCCTTTGATTGGTTCTTTATTTTGATTAATGATATTCTAACCAATGAAATTCCATATAACAGAAATAGCTGGCTAATTGTCATAATGCAACATCAACAACACATTTTGTAAAACAACGGTATCAGATCATCCAGATATGTCTTAAACTTGCGAGAACCCTACACTCTTAATGAAGCATTGTGTCAATATTGCTTGCACATTACAACTACTTAAGAATTTTTCAGTGATATTTAAAGCACATGTCATAGTTTAAGTAGGGTAATAAAGTTTGTCTCATCAGGCATCAGCAGTACACTTAGTGCAGATTCAATTTCTTCCAATTAGTACCCCAGAGCTTTACATGGAAATTTGGTCCCCTAAATTATGTTAATATGCAAACATTCTCAAGATGTTTGGATTTAATTTTTTTTTTTTTTTTTTTTTCAAATTATGGACAGTGGGGTTAAGGTGGGACTAGAACCAGGGATAAATATTATGTACACTAATGCATGTACACTAAAAAAAAAAAATCTTGAAAATTTCTTCTTCTTCATAATGGAAGACCACTTTAGTCATATTAAGATATTGAAGCATCTCTATGGTGTGTTGATTCTTGTTATCACATGACCCTTTGGGGATAGTGTGGAGCCACAATATTGGAGTCAATTTTTTTTCTTGTGAATAAAGGGGGAGGGGGGATCTGTTTAAAATCTTTTGAAGAACAGCACTGCCATTTTGACTCAGGTGAGCATTGTGGTTCATGGGCCTCTTGTTTCTAAAGCTCCTATTATCCTCAAACCATTCAAAATATTTACTTTTGCCAATGTTTTGTTTAAAATAAGTTATATTTAAAGCATGAGTTTCCTACTGTATTTGAGATACAGTGAAGGGCTTAAGGTAAGAGCAATAGTGATAAGTCAAAATTGGGAAATTTGTTGCCCCAGGGTCAGGGGTTCTGGTGAGAGGGAGTGCTCTAATGATTATATAGTGAATATGCATTATTTCTTTGAAAATCTTCTTCTTTGCTCCTTTTATAAATAGCAGACAAACTAAGTCATGGTTATGATATGCAAGAGTGCCTCTTCCAAAATTGTGAAATTCAAGGTTCCTGGTCAGGAGTTCTGATGTTGGGTTGGGGTGGGGGTGGAGGGGGGAGGGGCTCTATTGAATATAATAGTAAAATGCATTATTTCTTTGAAAACCTCTGCTCGGGGTTATATTATACTCCGGTGACCATGAAGGCCCTTGGGCCTCTTGTTATAGAAAGTCATCAATTTGCTTCATTTGGGAATGCTCCATTTATACATTGTGTCTTCTCTTTCAGTTTTAAAGGAATTTTATAAAAGTCATTCTTTTTAGATTATTGCAGCATACCTTTTTTCATTCTGATTTCAGCTCAGGGCACCATAGATGATACATGTGAATTAATTATGATATGAAAACTAACGAATAGCATTCTTTTTTTAATTGTTGCAGTATTTCTGGATATTTTTAATTATTCGAGGATTAGTAGGCATTGGGGAGGCTAGTTACTCAACAATAGCCCCTACAATTATAGCAGACATGTTTGTCAAGGGAACCAGAACAAGGATGTTAATGTTCTTCTATTTTGCTATACCGGTGGGCAGGTAGGTGAACTGGGACAGGAACCAGTTTAACAGAACCCTGTTTTTGTGCTCTGTGTGTGTATGTATCTGTGTTTCCTTGTGATTTCAAGACTAAAACAATAATTTTCTTCAAACATTTTTAGGTCACCTGAGTCACTCGGGTGACCTATTGCTATCTGTTTTTGTCCATCTTTAGTCCTCTGTGGGTCGTTAACTTTTGAATATTTTCAGCTTCTTTTGAAACGCTGAAGCATTTTCAACTAATTTCAGTGTATAGCATCAGTGGGTGAAGGGGAGCAAAAATTATGAATTTCATGGTCCCTTACCCCTGGTGGTCCTAAAACTATTGAAATTATCTATAAAAATGTTCTTTACTCCTGGACATCAAACAGTCAAATTTCGGCATGATTGTAATAAGCATTAAATTGAGCCCTCTACTAAAATTGTGAAATACATGGCCCTAGAGTCAGGGGTTCTAGAGTTAGGTTGGAAATCAAATGATCATATAGTGAAAATGCATAAATTCTTTAAAAATCCTCTTCTTTCCCCCTGTATATTTAGCAGATAAACTTGGTACATGTTTATGATGAGCATGGGTACCTCTTCCAAAATTGTGAAATTTGTGGCCCCAGGGTCAGGGGTTCTGGTAGGGGGTGGGAGGGACGCTCTATTGACTATATTCAAGGCCAGTGTGAGTGCTCAAGCACTATTTTATTGTTTAATCAGAATGGTGATAGTGTCAAATGGGGGCAAGTACAGGCAAGTAAATAGATCTACATTGTACATTAAGATTTGTTACTGAGCACTAGATTAATTAATTTGTTGATATCTGATCATCTTATTTCTCTTGCTTTTGGACAACTTAGCTTTATCTATCATTGTATTTTGTTTATTAAGTTTTATACTTCTATGGATCCTTTACATTGTTGTATTATACTCAGGTGACTTTTAAGGCCCTTGGGCCTCTTGTTATTGTTTGCGCACGATAATTGAGTGGGCGGAGTAACCTTTGAATCACAAATTTGATAATTCTACTCACTTTTCGGCTATGAAGGTCATAGAAAATTGTCTCTGCTAGATACCCAAGAATGATTATTTTCCATGAAGAAATACATTAGTGCCATAATTGTTTTGTGAAGGTGTTGAAATTTTTACAGGTGCTCCTAAAAGGGTTTTATTTAGGAAATAGTTAAAGATATTCTGTATATATTTAATCACTACTTGATCAATGGATTTTTTGGAAGTAATTGTAATTTAATTTTTTAACTTTTTTCATTTATTTTCGTGTGGCTTTTAATCTACACTTCAATCTGTTAGTAAATCATTTAAAAATACATCTGTAATCTTTGAAAAAGATAATCATGAAATTCATATATTCATGATTTTAATTGTATTATTCAAATCAAAGTGTATTCACTTTATTAATAAAACCTTCATGGCAAATAGAAATACATGCATTCATGACTAAAATCAGTTTTATCCAGATGTGTTTATCATACTCTCAGGTCTTTGCCCTCAATTAAACAAACATTATCATTGAAATACAAGGTTACTGGTGTGTAGGACTCAAGAATTTTTTAATGAAGTATATACTCATCATAATCATTTTTTTATGATGTAATAACTACTTTTTGATCTCGGTGCAGATGAGAATTGCACCTCACCCACATACCCTATGGGCAAGTCACTAGAAATGTAAACCCCAATCATTGCACAACTTTTTCCACCAAGAATGCTGGATGGGGTTCATATTTTTGAAAAATTTTGAAACAATAAGAAAAATTTTCTTTTTTCTTTCCTATCAGCCATGCTTATTGCTGTGTAGCTTTAACAGAAGTGTGAGTTCATTTTATCGACAAGGACCCCCAATGTTTGGATTTTTTTTTGTAAAGAAACAAAAGGTATTCAAGACAGAAAGTGCATAAAAAAGCCTCATTTCACACATACCGCTACCCGTAAATTTTGGAACCGTACATATCAATCATAGGTATGCCTGGCTATGCCCAATCAACTAATCATGTGCAAACAATGCTCGACTTTACATAATTCTACGTTACGTGTACTGTTTTGTGGTTTATCACTGTGTGTCAGTTATAGGCCATGAAGAGCTTGCATTTATGTTTGATTTTGTTATTACTCCCTATTTATATTATCTTCCATGCATATTATATCTTTAGTTAAGATTTTATTAACTTTCAGTTTTTTTTAACAGATTTTCTTTGCATGTTGAATATCCAGATTCACCCTTGGCCACCAATACATAACATCCTTTGTGGGTTTAGCTTGGATAGAGCATGTGACTTGAAATGATAAAATATTATTGAAATTTTGTTGCAGTATTTCTGGGCATTTATTCTTATTCGGGCTGCAGTGGGAATAGGGGAGGCCAGCTATTCTACCATTGCACCCACCATAATCGCAGATCTGTTTGCGAAAGATCTTCGCACAAGAATGCTGATGATATTTTATTTTGCCATCCCTGTGGGAAGGTAGGAGTTATCTCCCTTGAAAAAAAAGAGGAGAATTGGAAAAAAATATGCGTTTTCTGTTTATTAAATTTTCTAACCAGGAGATGAAAATCAAGGGGGAAAATTGTTTTTATATGTCTCTCTGTTCACATTATCACATCTTTAACATAGGCCCTAACTAACCTAATGGACAGATATATTTTGACAAATTTGGAGACAAAGGGTAGCTGCAGATTTGTAGCTCACTTGGACTGAAAAAATTTGGATGGACGACCAAAGACCAGGGAGCTACAGATCTGCAGCTAGGGCAAAGGTTAACATGTTAAATAAGACCTTCAAGGAAGTTTTCCACTGATAGGTGCTGTATTTTTTTTTCAACTTGTTGCATTCACAAAATTTTGTGGGAGTTGGAAAATTTAGATTTCAGAGATTCTTGTCATTACATCATGTTGAATTAATATTGGAATAGGCATGTGTTTAATACATGGACATTTGTTGTTGTTATTATTAATATTCTAAATCATCCATATGTGATAACCAGTGTAGACTGTTGTATAACACAAAGTTTACTAAACCTAAATCATATTAACCTGCATGAATAACAGTACATTTAATAACGCATGATTGCATGGGGTTTTCCAGTTAAATCTAAATGCACCCTGAAGTGCTCAATTTTATGTTTTAAATTTTATTTGATGAAAATAACATGGAAAATGATAAATACAATTTCAAAATTGAAGTAGAAAATACTAAAAATATATTTAGAGAGCTATTTCTTTTGATCTAAATTTTTACAAGTAATTCAAGCTTTACTGATCAAAACTTGTCAGCGTCTTGGATCCCTTTGTGGCTATCTGACAGATCTAATTTTTTGGTGTCTTTTTTCTACATTGACAAAGAAATATTAATTAAACAGTTTCAACTTAACTACACTTAATTTCCTTTGATAAAAGAGATTGAAAATGTTGAAATAAAGCCCCACTTTCAAGTGTACTAGTTATTATGAAATAGAAAATCAGGGATGCAGGTGTCATGTATTTTTTTCCCTCAGAAACATAAATGCAGGAAAGACAAAGTTCAAACACAAATTTCCTTATATAGTTCAAAGAGCTAATTTCACTAAAGCCTTACTTGGTCTTTGAAAAATACTGAAAACTCAAAACTTATTATCATTTGGATTCATGGTGACTATACATATCTTATAAATACATGTATGGCATATTTTTTCTTTCTAGTCCATTAATTGGACTTTTGCGAGAAACACTGACTTTTACAATCGATGGCTTACTTTTACACTGGGACAATATACGGCAGCTCTTTTGCGATATAAATATTTAGCTTACCAATTAATTAAACGATAATACATGTAATTGGGCATTTCAAAGCACATAATATGTTGTCTAGGGAGGGGAAGGAGAGACACCTTCTACTAACCCCCTCCCTTCCCATTTGACCAACTACTGCCAAGTTTTTATTCCGGAATGTTTTTTCTTCCTTATTTAATTCCTTCATAAAATGAGATTGAAAGGAAATACTATCCCTCATGAACAAGGTATTTTAAGTTATGTTACTCAACCTCCCATCATCTCTTGTGTTTATTGCATACAAGTAAATCATGTCAGTGCCCCTAACATCATACCTATGACTACTAGTAAGGTTTTCTAATCTAATATCAAGTCCGTACCTCCGTACATGACACTTGTTTAAATGTCAAAGTAAGCTGTCGAGTGTAAAAGTCAGTGCTTCTAGCAAAAGTCCATTATGATGTCATGAATTTTGTCATTAATCTATTTAATTTTTTTTATTTTCAAAATGACCAAGCTGTTTTTCAATATTTAAAGAAAGCACAGCCACGAATTTAAGAAGTACAAGTGCATTTTGATAGAAATTTTCTGAGGTTTATTATACATGGTTAATCTACTTTGTGGATTGACAATGATATTTTGATTCATTGTAGAATGTACATTGTCCTCAATACATGAATTTTCTGTAAAATTATCTTGGACCTTCAGTGCAATTTTTTCCTTTCATAGGTAATGAAACTCTCTACATATATTAATGATTGGAACAGGCCATAGGCTGATAGTTAATTAACTGCATGGTCTCACTCTACAGTCAGTGCCATACAATGCAAAAAGTGAACCTAATTCCTGTTCAAATTTGTTCAAATTAATCATAACCCACTGCTAAAAGTGGTTGGGGGAGAGGATATCAAAATAATACATTATTTTTAGTATTAGCTTAGACCTTTTGGTGAGCATTGTAGTCCTTGAGCTTTTTACTTGACAGATATTTTTTTTTTTCATATATATAACTTTCTTTTTTTCCAGTGGTTTAGGTTATGTAGTAGGAGCAAATATAGCCAAAGCCTTTGGTGCATGGCAGTGGGCACTCAGGGTAGGTATATTTCTGAAGTCCAATTATTTCAAAGAGTTGCTTCAAATTTCACAATGAATGCAGATTAATTGAGTAAAATTTCCTCTTGCTGAATGCTTGTTGAAGTTATGAGTATATAAATAGATATATTTGCTTTGTTTGCAGTTTACACCGGCCCTAGGAATTATCTGTGTTGTTTTGATATTTGTTGTTTTGAGAGAGCCTCAAAGAGGTCATGCAGAAGGTGGAACTCATTTACATAATTCATCATATCTCCAAGATCTCAAGGAATTGGCCAGAACGTATAATGAGATTTTTACTTGTATTGCTAAGCAATGTATTCAATTTTGAAAGTTATGAAAAGTTTATTCAAGTTTTTTAATTCATTTCCAATGTACACATGACACAGGTGACATTGCTGCATTTTCTAGATCATGTATAATACTCGAAAATTATTGAAAAAATAAAACTTAATAAATATTGTATATTGTACACTGTTATTACAGAAAGAGCTTTGTCTTGTCAACATTCGGGTTCACATGTGTTGCTTTTGTGACTGGTGCTCTAGCACTTTGGGCTCCATCCTACATGTTCAATGCCATCAAAGCCCAGGGCCAGGATGCAGATGAAGGAGAGTAAGTGATAATATTAATACTTCTTACATTTCAATAGTGGGCATGGAATCACAAACACTCACAATAGGCAAATTAAGAGTAGGGCATAAGAGGCTTTTATTATTTATTTCTTTGTATTTTAACACAAAGGAAGATTTTAATTGATGTATGTATAGATTTTTAATTTTTTTTTGGGGGGGGGGGGTTGTATTGAATTCACAGAGTATTCATCATCATATGGGAATCATAGATGTCCCTTAGTCTCTGCCATGTATGTCTTAAACAGTTTTTACACTAGGACGATGACAACTTTTTCAGCATTGCTTTCATATTTGGGGGCATCACAGTGGCTGCTGGATTCCTCGGGGTAGCCATAGGTGCTGAGGCATCAAGACGTTATAAAAGAGTCAACCCCCGTGCTGATCCCCTGGTCTGTGCTTTTGGTCTGCTGATGTGCACACCTTTCCTATTTTTTGGTCTTTGGCTATCAGAACACCACATTCCAGCTTCATGGGTGAGATGTTTGACCTGTTTGATTTCTTTGTTAACAAAATATCTTGAAAATTATAAATGTTTTATGGAAGGAAGATGATTAATTAAAAAACTATTGTACCACTATTTCCTTATTTCCTCTCAAAGTTTCTTCATGGCTGTCGACAATACTTTGCCCTTTTTTCATCCTGATTTGTCATTGATTTCAAGATATACATGTATAAATAAATATGAAACATCCTTTAGCAATTTCTTATATAAATTTATGATAATTTGTCACTACCAAAATAGGTTGGTCAATAAGAATACAGTTCCATTTTTCACTATTGTTTTTATTACTCTGACATTTAAATGGTTATACATGTACATCTCCATTACTTTGTATTAGAATCAGGATTTTTTATTAAAGAGAAAATAATTTACACCATTTTTGCAATATTATCTGTATTGAAATAATTCCATGTAGAATTTGTTTATTCCCATTTACAGGCACTTATTTTCTTTGGAGAAACTTTCCTGTGCTTGAATTGGTCGATCATAGCAGATATTTTACTGGTAAATATTATACAACAATTTCATTGATTTCGTTGATCCTGTAAAACAGGGGAGGTTCACACAGACCATGAAAAGTGCTTGAACTTTAATGTCCTTGAAAAGTGCTTGAAAATGCTTAAAGAGCAAAAAGTCATTGAAAAGTGCTTAAATTTCCATGTATAGTTCTTGAATTTTTGTCTATGGTGCTTGAATTCTGAGCATGTGCTTCTATATAAGCAAAAAGAAATTAAGAGAGAGAGAGAGAGAGAGAGAAATTGTGATGATTTTATACATTTATGCATCATGAATCAGAAAATTTTGTAAAAAAGACATCCATGAGAGCTATACAAACGTTTAATATTCTAAGCAAAAATACATTTTCAGCCCTTTTTTAAAAATATAAAAAGATATACAAAAAAAAATGTATTTTAAGGCATTTTTTAAAAGAATATAAATGTTCTAAAGAGGGATGATATAAATATTGTTTAATGATTATACAATATTAATAGTTATGAACAATTTTAGAAAATTAATATTAATGATTATTTAATATGAATATGTATCAACATTATCTGAAATTTTATATTCATAAAAATACATAATATAGTTGATTCATCTTTCATTGGAGTGAGGAGTGAGCTCCCCTTGCATAACATTTTCATATTTGTAAAAAAAATTGCGTAAAGTGAGCGTATTTACAGCACATTTTATTTCTTCCTTGTTTACATTTTGCAGTACGTTGTGATCCCTACGAGACGCTCCACAGCCGAGGCTGTACAGATTCTGGTGTCACATGCTCTGGGGGATGCAGGAAGTCCATATCTGATTGGGGTGGTATGTAGTTCATATTCTACACACAGAATAATATACAATATTCTGTTTAAATACTGTCTGGGGACATGTAATGTCTCTTGTTCTTTGCAGATTTCAGATGCCTTAGGATATTCTTACCCAGCAGATACGAGGAAGTCGGCTTCTGTGCAGTCCGACACTCTCAGAAATGCCTTCTATGTGACACCTTTTGTGTGTGTTATAGGTGGTGCCTTCTTTTTAGCTACAGCTCTGTTTATTCAGAAGGACAGGGAGAAAGCTGAAAGAATCACCAGAGGTAAAAAAAAAAGTCTTGCTTCTTATGTTGATTCATTGAAAGAATGTAAACATGTAGTTTTGATATGTAATTGAGGGTTCATTAACAAAATTTGATGAACAGGAAAAACATCATGATTGACTTACATGTAGATTAATCAAGTTATAGTGTATGTTTAAAAAATAAATGCTGGTTTTATATTGATGTTTGCCCATTCAAATAAGAAATGACCAAGTTTTGGCTTTATACAATGTGTATCTCTGAAATTTTTAATTTTCTGATTTGGAAGAAACCTCATATGTACACTGGTAGCCAGTTGGTTCATTTTCAAAGTAATAATAATCAACTACTTGGAGAAAACTTGCTTGGACAAAGCATTTTTTCCTCAAACTACGAAAATTTAACCCACAAAAATATGTGATTTTACAGTATTTTAAGTCCTACTTTAACCAAACTTGTGTGAATAATACATTTAGGGAGATGACACTACCAGATTTGCTTTGGAAGGTTGTAAATGATCTAGTTGTATATTTTCTTGGTAAGTGGCCAAATTAAATTTTTTGGAGCACATCCATTTCCAAGTCTACCTTGACCAAACTTACAATGGGTGATTAATCTAACAAACTTGCTAATGTGCTGAAATTGAAACATATTTTAGGTGTTATAAAAAGGCTTTTTGTGATGAACTTGCATATAATTGATTGATCTTGTCTGAAATTAATTTGGTAGTAGACTTATAAAACTTGTATATTTTATGACTACATGTACTTGTAGATAACATTAGTTAAGGTGAAGTTCATAAACTTTGATTACCTATGTTTTTAAATGCTATACTTCATTTTATATGAATTAAATATGTACAATTTATGTATAGATTCTTCATCATATTGGGGTAAGGACACGATCAATTAAAACTAATCTGTTTGCGACTCCACAGGGCATGCTCTACTGATTAATAATGGCTTCCATCTTTTGTAATACGATTGAAAACTGAAGTCTTAAAACATGCATCCTATTGAATTATGAATGCGTCATCCCAGTTCCATATACTTGATCATGATAATGTTTTTATTTTTATCTCATTTAATTCATTTAAATGAGGACTTTGATGATTATGTATACAGGTCTAAGGGACTCCGATGAGGATATTTCAGAGGATGATAGCGATGTGGAGCCAATTTTAAGGTCAGATGATGAAGACTTCGATGGAATGCAACCGTTTGCATAAAACAAGACAAAACACTAATGTAATATTCTGCAGACTTTTCTGAATTGACTTGCTGTGTTTCACATACTAACAATTATGCTACGAAATTTATTCATCATTATAATTAGTATCTTCACTATCCACTCTAAAACATTTATAGAAAGTATTGCAAGTACTGAAATTCCACAGGAACAGTTTGGGCATTACCTGGGTACTTAAAAATAAACTAATTTCCCTGCAAACTCTAATTGCTGTTAGTTTTTCCCCCTAGCTGTTTTATCCTGTATGAATTTTAAATACTGTTCAGTAAACTTATCCATGGCAGGACTAAATTTTTGGATCAAGGTTAAAAGATTGATGAGTAAATTTAATGCATTAACTATATGGATTGTGATTATATTCATGAAAATAAAAAAAAAAAGTTCATAAAAATATAATTTTTTTATTTTATTTTTAACAACCACCACAAAATGTAACAGGAATATGTTTTCCATTCAGTTGGTTAACTGTTTCATGTAATTTCTCAGCGATAAAAATATAATGTTAAAAACACTCATAAATATAATAACAGTCCTGACAGCATGAACTAACATTGTCTTTGACTTATCACTTGTAGAAGAAACTAATCTTTTGCTTTCGTTTCCTATAGGTGTTGTAACACTCTGTGTCACTTTACCAGAAAAACTAAACCCTTTCTTTCAGTTTTGACATCATGTCAGCAATGGTGTTGGTGACCTGCACTATACACTTATCAGAATCAAGCTGTGTTTCTTTTCCTCATCTTAGAGCAAATGACATAAAATTGTTATCTGTACAGTTAATGCACATTTTACTCACATGTGAATCTTAGTTTGCTTAGAGAGGTGGTTTGTAGCAATATGAACAGAAAATTAAATTAATTATGTTCACTTTTTAAATAGAAATTTTGCCTGTAAAACAGGGTTTGTACATATCTTTTCTTATTTTTTTACCTTTTTGTTTTTTGTTATGATTTCTTTCAAAAAGTTTTATATACATAGTGCATTTTTTTCATTTCTTCATATTAAACTAGAGAGGATATAGTTATGCATTGCTTTGCATGTGTTATGATGCAAGGGGCTTCCACTAGGTGTGCCCATTTCTTTTAAGGTCGCGACCACAGTGCTTCAGATTTGGACATAATTGTGACACACCACACAATAAGGCCAGAGTATGCTTGGTAAAGTGTCCATCTATGTGTCTGTCTAGCCATCTGTCTTTGTAAACAATTTTTTTTTTCAAAAAATGATTTTTGGTCCAGTTCTATAAAACTTGGCATTCAATTAAATTAAAACATATAATTCTATGTATCTATTTTCTTATTTCAATTAGTATTGTTATCATAGTTACTATAGTTCCTACAGATTTAGTTGGGTTTTAATCAAATTTAGTACAAGTTTATAAACCATCAGGATACAGAATTTTGTAAAGGTAAATCTAATATAAAACTTCTCCACTTCTTTAAGTACAAACCAGTAAAGCTTGAGTCTCTTTAGAGACTTCTGGTCTCTTCCCAGGTATACTGTGTGAAAAATTCCAGTGCATAAATTATGAAACATGTGAATGGTTTAAGTTAGCTTTATTGTAAATAAATGTAGGTTATGATAAACTTGACTGTTATTTGTGAAATGTTCAATAAAAAAAAAAGAAGAACAAATTTAATGCAGCCATTATAAAATGATGTTAAATTGAAAACTGCATCTTAGAATGTGCATGTTTTAAAAATGTCCATCTCAAGAAAAATAATACAGCTTTTGTTTTAGTTTTCATTTAAAAAAAAATTATATGGGTATGTTCTTAACATTTTTGGAAAATTTGCTTTCATAAGGACTTAATAACTTTTTTTGGAAACAGCAAAGTCGGGACATGTTTGCTGAAACACTCTGTATAATTATAAGTACATAAAATAGATGCATAATTTCATGTCTAAGGTGCATATCAGAATTGAAAATATACGTAACTTGTTTTAAACTATGTTTATGAATGCTTTAATAACATTGGCTTTTACTGGATCAAAACTAAGGCGTCGTTGCTGATGATTTTTTTTATCGTTGCTGGATCAAAACTAGGGTAACTAAGATTTTTTTATTGGATACTAACAATACATGTATATTATTATTAATCTTCAAATTCTGAACCTAACAATCTCTTATCACACAAAGCATGAGCATGTAATGTCTGATTTCATCTTGATATCTTAAATATATGTTTAATATAAGACAATTCTCTATTGTTTTGAAACAAAGGATAGTATATATAATTATATATGTAGTTTCACAGCAAATACCTTTTATCATTAATTAGCTATATGTTTTATATGAGTGAATAAGTTGCTTTACCTTGGATATTTTGAAAGTTTTATTTATTTACCCAATTTGTAATGTCTGTCCCACAAAAAAAAAAAATCTGCAGCTAATGACAATTGTTGAAACAGAGAATGATTGTACAATAACCCCCCTTTTTCTGCTTTTGCTCGAGACTGTGGGTTGTCTTTTATTTTAAACATAATTTGACAAAATTAAATTTTTTTTTCAGAGAGACGTGATATTACAAACAGTGTCTCCATTAATGGTGGATTTGACAATCCTAATTTAAACCTGGGAGAGAATGATACCATTACTGAAGCTAATCCAGATCGCAGTAATGTTTTATGAAAGTCTCGACTCCGACAAAAAGCTTTCCTGCTAAGGATAATTTTTGTTTGGACAGTTTGTTTACCTGGCTTAGATATCAAAAACAAAGTAAAAAACACCTATGACTTATTCTTTGTCAAAAATATTCAGCATTAAGGGATCCACCAGATACTTGGGCTGCAAATGGAAGAGCTCAGGTATTTTATAATTGTAATAACATCTATTAAGAGCACACTCCTTCAGCTCTCCATTATGTAGAGAAGCATGGGATATGATCACTGTCTCAGACAGACTTTGTCTTTCCGTTTCTTTGGCCGAGTGCAACAAAGGTTTTACATGTATCAAATATTTTTATGTGTATGAATATTCTTTTTTTAATTGAAGTACATCTTGATATTTTAGTGCCATGGATTTTGAAGAGGCAATCATTTTTTTTTAAATTAGAAACACACACTGCATTGAGGAGAATTGCATAGATTGTATTTATTTATTTGTAAATTATTATTACAAATATTAAAGAAAGTGTAATGATTTATGCCGGTAACTTTATATATGTACTTTGCTGTGTATATGATGAAAGTTCACGTTATTGTTTTACTGTGACACATGTTCTTTGTGTGTTTCTCTGTATCATGTGTGAAATAAACAATATGAATGATCACATATGAACAATAATCATGTATTTTTAATAATTAAAAAAATATATTTTGTTCAATTAATTTTGTTTTCCTTAATTCTAGCAAAAATTTTTGCACTAATTTAACTTTGTATATTTAAATTTTGCTTATATGAATCGTGTAACAAAACTTCAAGCTTTTTTCCTCCTTTTTTCTTCATGTATTCTTTATGCAATCTTTAAAATGATAATGTCATTGTAAAGCTGGAGTTATTTTTGAGTAGATACCAGTATACTTTAATACTATATGCTTCTAGATAACTGTTAACTTATTAAGATAACTTACATTGTTAAGTAACAATGTCTCGACAGGAAAAACAACATATGCATTTCCATTTCCAGCATTAGATCAAAAGAATTAATTCATCTTAAAAAATTACAATTATTTATTTTATAGGTTTTATTTAAACAATTTTGGTTGTTCATTCTTAACAAAATTATGTACATCTTGAGTTTGTGGGAAAATATGTACCTAAACATATTACAGGAAATCTCAGGCAGCTGATCTGTTAAATAAAGATTTGTTGTCAGTGAGCTTCATATTTGTCTTAAATTTGATATTCATCAAAATGGGCCTTGGTTTGAAAGTGGGAGGTGTCCTACTTCAGGTGTTAATTAAGATGATATTTAAAAAAAAAAAAAATACATACCAAAAATAAACCCACCCCCAAAAAACGAATGTTTCAACAGCCGGTGTCATGCAAACAGCTTGGATTAGGTGTACAGTTGTAATGGTTCTTGCCCTTGATTTCAGCCTGGGTAGCTCAGTAGGTAGAGAACCTGACTAGTAATGTAGGGGTCCTGGGTTTGATTCCCAGTCCAGCCATACATATTCTCCTTTCCTGTAACAAAATTTGGTGCCATTGACCACCCTCTGGACTCGCAGATAAAAGTCATGCCAGGGGCATATAAGAACTTAAGTTGGTCACGGGTAAAGACAAGGAGGAAGAATGTGCTGGTTTGGGCCATGGATATCAGCCTGTTGGTAGAGCTCCTGACTAGTGATGGAGGGGTTTTGGAGTTCAATTCCCAGTCCAGCCATACATTTTCTCCTTACCTTTTACACAGTGTTGGAATCCAAGAAAAAGTTTGTTTCAAATTGGATGATGTTTAGGCAAAGTTTGAATTTTGATTCTGTCCCTTTTTCTGGTTGCACCCTAGCACCTATTGCTTTGGATATAAAACAAATCTGCACTATATGGCAGTGCTAGCAAAATATGTTGACTAACTGTAAATATATATATGTAGTGAGTGTTTTCATACACATGAGAAAAAGTTTCACCATTAATCAGATGACAGAGGAAAGACAAAAATGTTCACATTCGTGACCCTTTTTATGCCCTGTAATCAAACATTCGGAACATATAGTTTTGGTTATGTGTCTGTCTGTTTATCTGTATCAAAAACTTCAGCCTTACCCATAACTTTTGAATGGTTGGTGTTAGAGCTTTCATATTTCACGTTTATTCCTTGTGACACGACTTTTATTTGGGTACCAACATTTTTGACCTCTTGACATTGGAGTTTGACCTACTATAACCTTGGCCATAACTTTTGAACAGTTGGAGCGAAGGGTTTCAAATTTCAAAAGTGTATTATTACTTGTGACAAGACCTTTCTTTGGGTACCAACATTTTTGACCTCTTGACCTTGACTTTGATGTTTGAGCTACTTTTGGAAAACATTAACCTTGTCCATAACTTTTGGGCAGCTGGTACTAGGGCTTTTGTATTAATATGTGACTGTGTATTTCTTGTGACCTTTCTTTGGATACTAACATTTTTGACATCTTGGCCTTTGAGTTTGACCCCCTTTTGGAAAACTTTTACCATGGCATTCTTTTGAACAGTTAGTGTAAATTCACATGTGTATTTTTTCTGACAAACTTTGGTTTGGACACAAACATTTTTGACCTCTTGGCCTTGAAGTTTGACCTACATTTGAAAAACATCAGCTGTCACTTGTGGCCATTTTAGTGTTTCAGAAACACATCTTATTGTGCATTAAAAATTCTTATGTATAGTTGGCCCAAACTTTACTCAGACAAGTTAGGGAGTCCTGGTAGAATTGTCTTTTCAAGTCCAGCAGTCCAAAAGAATCGAGAAGGGTCATAGTTTCTCAGGTGAGCGATGTGGCCCATGGGCCTGTTCTTTTTGGATGTGAACTTCTGTTTCTCGAATGTCTACAACTTTAAGCCTTCGCAAAGCTTTTGAGAATACAACATGTAAGGAAACTTTATAAAGGATTAGACGGTTCCTTACGATAAGAGGATGTGTCCTGACCTCGAAGCAATGTCATTTAATAAGGTCAATGTCACAAGGATTGGGATAGTTTGAAATTACTGTTCAGTCAATAACTTTGGGAAAAAAGGTAGTTTTTAATTAGAGACTTTGTGTCGACTCCATATCAAGATGTGTTTGTAAAACACTGATGCCCACGTATGGCAGCTTATGACAAAGGTAAAAGTTTCTCAAATGCAATTCAAACTCCAAGATCAAGGTCAAGAGATAAAAAATGTTGTTACCCAAAGAAAGGACCTAAGTCAATGGATATACCCGGAAAATATGAAAGCCCAAGCACCAACCATTCAAAAGTTATGGTCAAGGTTAATATTTTCTAGGAGTGGATCAAACTCCAAGGTCAAGGGGTCAAAATTAATGGTATGCAGGTAAAGACCTTGTCATAAGAAATACACAAGCAAAATATGAATGCCCTAGCACCAACTGTTCAAAAGTTATGGCGAAGGTTAAAGTTTTTCAAAAGTATGTCACACTCCAAGGTCAAGGTCAAAATTGTTGGTATCCCAAGGAAGGTCTTGTCACAAGAAATATATCTGTGAAATTTGAAAGTCGTAGTACTAACTGTTCAAAAGTTATGACCAAGGTTAAATTTTTTTAAAAGTGGGTCAAACTCTAAGGTCAATGTCAAAAATATTTACACCTATAAAAAGGTCTTGTCACAATAAATACACATGCGAAATATGAGAGCCCTGGCACCAACTGTTCAGAAGTTATGGCCAAGTTTAAAGTTGGGTAAATTTTTGCAAAAGTGGGTCAAACTCCAAGGTCAAGGTCAAATATGTAGGTACACAAAGGGAGGTCTTGTCACAAGGAACACACATGTGAAATACGAAAGCCATAGCTCCAACCAATCAGAAGTTATGGGCAATGAAGTTTTTGCGGACAAACAGACAGACGAACGGACAGGGCAAAAACTGTATACCCCGATTCTTCGATTACGGGGCATAAAAAACTATTTTAATTCATTTTCCTCAGTTTCACATGATGGTGAAGTTAAAAAACACGTTACAAATTAAATTAATAACAACGGAATGAATTATTACAAACACTCTCGATATTTAATTTAATTCATTGCTTAATTCACAAATAGACTTCTCTTTGTAGACACAGTTGTAATCTGCCAATTTTGAATGATAGGCCACCATTAGTAGACCACAGTTAGATGTCGTGTAACCGTTCGGTTCATTGGTAGACCAGAGTGATGACGTCATATTGAATAGTTTTTGGGTAGAAGCATACATCCACATGTCTTCCTCAATCAAATCGGTGACTCCAATCCAGAAATTTCCACCTGATGTTACATATTTTTGTAAGACATGTTTTAGCAGATAAATGATCTGAAGTGATTTAAAAACTCAGAAAGTGGTATTCTTGGAACTATAATGACAAAGGAGCCGGATTTTCGTAATTATGTGTAATTTGAATATTAATTGTTATTAACAATTTCGCCAATTACCTGGAATCGCGAAAATTGAAAGAGTAAAAGATTGAATTGTAACTCAGTCCAATAGCATCTCCTTCTCATGAAAATAACAATTTTCTGGGGTTTTTTTTAGGGAGTGGGTGGGTATGTGCGGGGTGGTGGTTGGGGAAGGTGCTCAGTTATAAAGATAAGATTTACTTCTGTGTACCCCGCATTTCATATTAAGATTTTATATACCGTAATAATGATTTTAGTCTCTATCTGAGCTTTTACTCTGTCGAGATGTAATGAAATATAAAAATTCAGAGAGAATTTATGACACTTTCAATCTCTTACTTTAGCTAAATATATAAATAAGAAGGCGTTATCCGTTAGACCTCCTGATCTTATTTTTTAGGGAAAGTTCCACGTACCAATTTTTTGAGCATGGCTTGTGAGAAAATGGCCTTCGTCTTCTGTTTGAGGCTCAGCTAATTTGGCGTTCAAAGCATGGCAGTATCCCTAATAATGACGAAATCCTCAACTACATGTATTTACAAGCATGCATCATGAAATATGAAGATAACGAACAGTATTCAAGCTCGAAGTCCATTAAAACAATACAAATCAGGAGCAGAGCAAACACGGACCTCCGAAAAGATCAGAAGTGGGATCAGGTGCCATGGAGGAGTGAGCATCCCCTGCCGACCGGTCACACCCGCCGTGTGCTACTTTTCTTGATCGGTAAATCATCTAATGGATAGAACAAATGGAATATAAGCAAGTTGGGTGGCGGGATCGTCTGATTATTAAAATGAAGGCTGCAATTACTATTTTTGGTCTGATGAAGAGCAATTCTATCTTAAGCGATTGTACTTTGTAATACACTATTCTGGACTGGCAAGTATCTACAATTTTGTTTATGATAGAAACAGACGTTTAACCTTGGGACTGTTTCAAAATGCCCAGGATAGCTGATTAAGATACCAATCTAGAAACAATGTAAAATGGGTCTCGTTTTATTTCACGTTTTTGCTTACCGACGCTACTCCCCATTCTTTTGGCATGCTGTTGAAAAAATAACATTTATTTCCATACCCCATCCATCCTGTTAAACAACCTGTATAAGAACACGAGTTGTTACATTTACAACTTTAATCTCGATCGATCGAGGAAGTTTGACGATTTAATGTTATTTTTTTTTACTGTAAAATTGAAATGGCACTTATACGCCGTCGTAAGAAAGAGAGAGTTTACTCAATATCGAAGAAATATTTCAAGTATGAGAATCAATGTAGTTTATAATAAAAATTATCCAAAACTCACATTCAGCGCCTTCGATCAGTGCCACACTGATCAACAGAATGAGGTTTACTTTCATGTCTGGTTTTCAGGACGAGAAGGAAGATTTTCTAGATAAGTTCTGTTATCTAAGTATTACAGTATATATCATTTACATATGGATAATATAGTCTAAGGCCTCTGAGGTACTAATAATGTAAAAAAAAAAAAACCATCAAATGTTATATTCACCAAGAAAGCTGAGTGTAGGTGAATTTTATTATACCATTATTTCTAGAAAGTTGATTTTCATCTAAATCAGAGAGCTAGGAAAAACAGAAATGTCATATATAATCAAGATGAACACTCGTTACAAACAGTGCTTTTGTTCTTATAACATACGGGTTTTAAAATCATTACAACCTGATAGCCTTGTGATAGGGCGTTCGCTTCGTGATCGGGTTCGATTCTCATTCACCGCACCGCATCAAACCTAAGACGGAATCATAGGTAGTGGCCATGACCGGTCTATTACAATGCAAAATGTAATAACGACGCAAAATGTAATAAACTGAGATTATTATATTTTGTGTTATTATCGGCCGCAGCAGCGGCCGATCTATTTGTGGTTGTGTTAGATTGATTGAATGTTGTTTTACGTCCCATTCGAGAATTTTTCACTCATATAGAGACGTCACCATATACCGGTGAAGGGCTTAAAATTTTTACATTTGCTCGACACCCAGGGCCATTGAACAGTGAGGGATCTTTATCGTGCCAACGCCTGCCGTGACACGGGACCTCGGTTTTCAAGGTCTCATCCGAAGGACCCTTCAAAGTGCCGAGCGCATGGCGAAGGAACAGTTGCTACCCATTATTTATATTTTACAATCGATCACTGAAAACTAGTGCAAAAAATGCACAGAAAAGTTTGGATTTTTTCTTTGGACTCTTTCTTGTGGAAATTCTTCAAAATGAAATATATTTTTGCGGCCGATTTGATGCTTTGCATCAATTTAACTTGTTTCATTTTGCGGCGAGATCAAAGCAAAATGTAATTACACTTTTCGGATTATTTTTGCGTTATTACATTTTGAGTTGAGCTCAACGCAGAATGATAACGCTAAATGTAATAACACATTTTTATATATCATTATGTTATATATATCACTAAATTTTGAGTCGAGGTCAACGCAGAATGTAAAAACGTAAAATATAAAAATACACTTTTGGGGATTATAAACATCTTGTGTTATTATATTTTGTGTGTAAGTTATCGCAGAATGTAATATGACATAATGTAATTATTACTTATTATCTCCAAAAATAAATGCATTTTTTCTTTAAAAGTGGGTATACAATGAAAAATCCTTTATACAACTTTGACTTCCTTAAATATTCCTGAAATATTCCTTAATTTCTGCATTAAGTTTTGCACTAATTCCAAGGCAGAGTTTATTAAAACAAAATATTATATATTCTTGTTAGTTGCCATATCAGAATGATAACCGTATTTTCGAACTTTTTTGAATTTTTCCTGTTTTTTTTAATGACGTAATTGTATGTATGTAACTTTAGAATTTTAATGTTATAGTTTCTAACACACATATGTTAAATGACATGTAATTAATTTATTCTTAGTTCTTAAATTATGTTTATTTGCGTTGATGTTTCCGATATATCTTATTGTAAATTCTTTTATTTGTTTCGCCTCGGAAAAAGGTTTCTCCTTGAATTTGGAGGGATCAGTTTTAACCCCTAGTAACATTAGTATTTATTTCAATTGGTGGTAATAAAGTTTGTGTAAATTACGACACAGAATTTAAGGAACAAAGAATGTGAATATACGTATATTTATATTTTTAAAACCATTTAGTATTGACAGATTTTTGAAACCTCAGGAAATATGGTTTAAAATAGTCTCCAATGATATCTAAATTTTAATATAAAATCCAAAAAGTGCCATATCACGTTTTGAGCTAATCCCGACGCAACATGTAATGACGCAAAATGCAGCAATAATAAGTAAGTCACGGGTCTTTCGGATGAGACCTTTTAAAAAATCAAGGTCCCGTGTCACGGTAGGCGTTGGTACAATAAAGAACCCTCACTGCTCCATGGCCCTTAGTGCCGAATGAAGGTCTAAATTGCCCTTCATCGGGTGACGTCTCTATATGAGTGAAAATTCTCGAATGGGACGTAAAACAACATATAATCAATCGATCAAAATCATAACAATTGTTATTTTCTGCATCTTCTTTTACAATCTAGATGTACGTCAACTATCAAATATGTCAAATATGATGATTTTGTAGAATTGTGAAATAGGCAATATGCCAATTAAAAAAAAAATCTTTATTTTCAGTTCACCAATAATACACACATAAACCTTTTCTCGATTTATAAATCCCCAATGACTTTATTTCTTGTGATTTCAGATGAAATATTTATACACGTACTAACCTTTTCAAAAATGAATTCTCGTGGAAACTGCTTTCTCCATATAATTTGCATTAAATTGGGACTCACATGTATTGAAAAAGAAGAAGAAATTTCTGTGCGAATCCCTACAAGAAGCACTTCGATCTTTTTTTTCTCTTTTCATTTTGTTCCAAGCATAAATGTACCAGAAAAATTATTTATCTCTTCTAAACAATTACAAAAAAGTAATGCGTAAGAATAAATGATATGAACAAATTCTTTTCTTCCAAAATTTAAATATCTTTGCTTCAACAGGTGTCTTTTTTAATTAAAGAAGTGATATCGGTTGTTTGACTCTGGTACATACATAATATGTAATTTGGTGAAAATGGAACTTTAAGTTCAATAATTTTTTTTTGAAAAACTCTAGAAATGTATGAATTTTTGTACTGTTAAATTTCTGGGAACATTATCAAGAGTCTATTTTTTCGTTTTACACATATATAAAACTCCCGAATTAGATTTTTAAGAGCAAAATATTTTACTGATATTTTACAACCCCACATTTTCTAGCAAACTACAGTTTCTGTTTATAGTTTCTACGTCTTTGTTAAAAGATAGTTTTGTAATCCGTGCTTTTATATTAAACAGAACATACTTCTAGATTTCGGATGAACAATTTATCTTCATCTCTATTAATTAAAATTGTTTAAATGTTCACAAAAGTTTTAGACAACACATCCCCCTTCGTTCTCAAATATCCATCAGTATTTTTCTTGTAACTTCCTATCTGCTTCTCTTTCCTTCAGCTTTTTTCCCCAATGAACGACCTTAGATCGCTGTATATTTATGAAGTAATGCTAAATGTGCCAATATAAGAATAAGTATATCAGTATCTATATAGACATTTAATCACAATAGCATATAACAGTTAAAAAAGAAAACGACAGAATTAGCAATTAGCACTTGACCATCAATATGTTTCTCTGATACATGTCGCAATCTGTTGCTGGAGGTGTTTTTTTTCAACCGACCACTATTTCGGGGTTGAATCTGAAGAAGAAAATATCACATGATAAATCAATATATAAAACATATCTTTCAAAAATAAATCATGTTGTGCATCAAATTTATGACTGTTGCTTTTTGAAAAGTTACTACCGTGAACAGTTTATTTGTATCAGGTATTGTATCCATAGGATATGACTTACTCATAATCCTGTTCACAAATGAAATTTAATGCTCCATTGCATCCGTAATCCGCCATTTTGTCGTGGGTACCTGCATACAACATTGCACAATTTTCAACAGCGTGACCATTGGGTTCACTGGGACCCCACATCGAGGACACGCCAATCGGAGCCTGATTGGATGCATATATCCACGTGGTTTCTTCCACCATGTCAGTTATTCCCAGCCAAAAACTTTTTCCCGCTAAATTCGGGGAAAAGAAGCTTTATTTTTTTTTATGAGCCAAATAGTTTCCATACACCTTAGATGAACAAATCAGCTTGAACCCACATTCAAGGGGACGCCAATTTCACAATGTTGTTAAATAGTCACTTGCTCAATAAAATCATGCAAAAACTTTGCTTCTTACATGTTCAGCAGTAAAGAAAAAATTAAAGTAGTACGTAATGATTTCTCAATATATGCCCAACTTAGCATAACTCTGGGATCTGAACCCTGAAGCAGGGTCATGTATTTCACAGTAAAGAGGAAGTTGTCTTGATTATTATCATCATACATGCATACAGTTGGTCTGTTAGATGTTCAGCAAAAAACCCAAAGAACCCCCCCCCCCTAAAAAAATAAGATAGATAAAAATAATTTAAAAAAAAAAGATATTCAATGTACATGTAAATAAGAACTGATTGAAACTGGTTCAGTTAATTTTCAGTTTCTTTTGGAGAGGGTTATTTCTACAGAGGAAGCTGAAATGGACAAACTTTCTAACGACATACGCTGGATAGAAGAGGAATTGATCAGATAACAATAATTATAAGTTACCTTAGCGATTCAGGTTACGTAAAATTTAGCACATTGTATTTCTATACGTGAAAATTGATCTCACTGTTAAAGGGGCCTGGACACAACCGCATTATTTACATTTTAAATTTCTATGCTTATCAAAAAATAAAACCAGTTAAATGAATTGAACTTACAAGAATATTCTTAGAATTCAATGACAACAACATTCTTCTTTACATCACGTCAAACATCTTTTTTTGTAATCAGGGCATGATCTCTGTTATTGTTAATGTTTACGTTTCACCGGGTGTGTTCAATTTGTTAAACTCTGCTCACATCAATGAGCACGAACTGACAATACTGGTGAGTTGGTTTTGCTTTCTCACATATCTGCAGTACTCTGTATTTTCTGGATTATAGTCTTAATTTTTTTCATTAATTCACAACAAAATTTCTACTTTTCTTAAGTATTAAGGATAGAGTTTACTTTGTGAAAGTGCAAGGATGTCTCAATCAAACGCGTCCCGAAATTCGTAGTTTTAATAAATTCCAGATAAAAGAAGTATCTGAACACGATTTTATTAAATGCTATAGCAACATATAGCTCATGATATTATTAAGAAAAGTTGGGAAAAAATTAACTTCAAATCTGTGTCCAGCCAGGCCCCTTTTAAAATACAGATTCAATTTGATTACTATGTATGTATGCTTAACCATGACTTGATTTAAAGAAATACATTAAAATTATATAATGTGATCTTAAAGTCTGAAAATTACTGAAATATTGCCACAATGCTAATGGATATGACATACGGAATTTTTGAGCATGGCTGGATAAAAAGTGGGCTTCCGCTTCCGTTTGTGGCTCTGCCAGTTTTGAATTAAATGCCTCACAGTAACTCTGAAAGATAAATCCATCGTGGAGAGCAAATTTAATACAACTACATTTAATTAATGATACTCAGTATTTATTACATGTGATTAATACTTTTAGCCTTCTTAATAATTTTTTGCTTTCTTGCGTGCTTAACTTAAAAATAAAAAATAATGTTTATCTATCAAGAAGTCTACACTTACAGACGCTACGCCCCAGTCTCTGCCCAAGGTACTGAAATGATAACACTTGCTTTGAAATTGTATCCATCCCGTCTTGCACCCAGCTGTACGAAGAAAAATATTTTGGAAATGAACTAAGCTCATTCTCTATACTTTTTCCTGAACATAGAACATTTTCGCTACAAAAAATAGCAGTAGATTTTGAATAAGAGTATACTGGCTTAAAATACACAGTATATATATATTATATATATATATATATATATATATATATATATATATATATATATATATATATATATATATATATATATATATATATATATATATATATATATATATACAAACATTCTGTGAAGAAGGATTCCTTCTAATCAATGCTTAGTAATCATTAAAACATTTAAAACAGAAGTATTAGAATACTTTAAATTCCTTTACATGGCAAATAAAATTTTAAACGAAAATATCAGGACTTTTAGGAATAAAATCAACGAACAAAATGTAAATACCAATCACACAAGGTCCACATGAAATAACGATTAAGAGTACAAAATAAAGTTCCATATTATTAGTGCTGTAGAGACCGGGCTATATTTCTTATCTCTCAGTAAATTGTGAATGACCGAAATGTCGTTATCCAGTATGATATGGACAGAACTCTTGATATGAAAACGAAATTTTGATTGTTAAATATTTAAGATTTGAAATTCATCACATCATGCATACATTCTATTCTAATAAGTCTCTTTTTTTAAGTTGATAAAACATACCTAGTACAAACAATTGAAGGACATTATTAATAAAATTATTAACCAAGAACCCACCCCCCCCACCCCCCAAAAAAAAACCGGTGTGGTGTTTATGTTTTTTCCTTCTTTTTTTTTTTTTTAGTTAAATTTAAAAATACTTGCAAATCAAATAGACCGATCCCACATCCCTCCGATTCCACATCCCTTCATAACGAAGAAAAAGGTGTTGATCTTGAACTGGAATTCTTTTTATTTTTTTTAAAGTACGTTTCAAACGTTTTGACGAATATGATAATCTTACTGAAATTTAACGCAAGATAAAGTATAAAATGCTTATAAAAAACACTTGGGAATAATTACAGCTGCTCTTTTGTTAGTGGATTCGTTATCAAACTTACATTTCTAGGAGTACTGCTTTAATCCAGTATTCCAAAGACGTGGTCAGAAAGAACATGATTTCTTTCATATTACTCTTACTGGTGATCAGTCTACAGGCGTCCTATGGTGACACGTGTGAAGAAAGACTTAGTAAACTCGAGAGAATTCTAGAGAAGCTCGAACAGAGAAGCAAATCTCAGTTTGCTGAACACGGTATAGAGTATGGAGTGTTTGGCGAAACAAGTCTGAAAAACAAAAGGCAACGATTGGAGAACAAAGGACTGAGGAGGGAGAAAATGATGCAGAAAAGGATGAATGACATGGAAATGTTCCTAGAAATAAGACTAAAAACCTTTGAGGATAAGATGGTTTCAGATCTTCAGAAAGTGGAGGAGAATTTGCAAGAAAAGTTGAGGAACATGGAAGAGAAACTGAAGGATTTTAATAACCAGAAAATCATGATAAAAGTTTTGGAAGCTAGGATAGCCGAATTAGAGGTGGAAAATAAGAAACATCAGTCCTTTGATGAGGGCTTAAAGAGGAAAAATGAATCGGTTGAAAAGAATCTGAACACCATTTTAAAAGCAAAGACGAGTGCAAAAGAGATAAAAAAACATAAAAACAAAACAAATGACCCCATCAAATATATCGCAAACTTCATATTTAAAGGTCTTAGGAAATACTGGAAATGGAACGTCGATTATACAATGGAGGAAGATTAGACAAAGAAAATCACTGACTTCAGCGCAAAAACGTTTATTGACAGGTAAGAGGATAGAATGTTTTAAATCTATGAATCACTTGTTTCGAACATTCTTCAGATATCATTATACAGGGATGTCAAAAAAGGCGTATTTCATTAATCAATTAACAATTATTTGGTGGTTTAATTCGAACTAAATAAATGATGTCTAAGTGTCTAGGTAAATGTATGAATCGAATCAAATATAAATAAAATCTCTGACTTCTTCAATTTTGATTCTTACATTCCTTTCAGGAATTCAGCCAACAAGTTCTCCTTTTCCTGATGTGGTGGCATTTTCGTCATATGTTTCTACGCATGAAACCCACCTTACAGAAGACCACACGATAAAGTTCGACAAAATTGTTACCAACATTGGTAACCACTATAATCCACACTCTGGATTGTTCACGGCTCCACAACATGGTGTATATGTGTTTTCATGGAACCTCTACTGCGCTACGGATGGATACATCTTTTCTCAGCTAGTAGTCAATTCTAATGTCGTAGGAGCAGTGTTCACATCGGCTCAAGGAGCTGGAAATATTCGAGCCTCAACTTGGATAGTAGTGGTGGAAGTAAACAAAGACGATGTTGTTTACATCCGTACTCATCCAACTCAAGGACATTCCGGGAGTCTATACAGTCACCCTGATTGGCGATCGTCTTTCAACGGTTGGAAGCTTAATTAACGATATGCTATAATGGATTATAATCATAATCTTTAGTCACAATCTTAACCATTTTTTCAAACATAAAAGAAGAAAAATAAACATGAATACTAGTATATTAAATCAATAACTATAAGAATTTTTTTCTTGATATATATTAATATCACTAATATATATCTAGAAAAAAAAAATTCTTATACATGTACTTAGTTCTCAGAATTTTCAATTGTCGATTGTTTCTATTGCTGATAATCCTGAAAATTATATTTAAAGTTCTGCTTCAGAGACCTACACTTTGTATCAAAAGTGAATTTTTGCTAGCGATTTGCGATTTTTGCTTCGAGGATAAAGACAGACCAACGACGCGAACAATAAAAATTGTCAAATTTTTGGGACGACCTGTCCCTTCCCCAGGAAAAAGAAAAAAGTTAAGAAGTCATAAAAACAACTAGCACTATTACTAAACTACCAAACACTACGTATTTACAATGGTACATGTTTAATTTGAAGTTTTTAACCAGTTGTAAAGAAAGAAATCCGGACCGCTATGGTCTGTAGGGTGTACTCTGGTGAAGTGTTCGTAGCTGCGGCCTGTAACGGGGCTGTTAAAGCTGTCTGTGTCAGAGCTGTGCTTACAGAGAAGATATCTTCTATCAGAACAAGTTAAGTTTTAAAGCCCCTGTTAGGTAATGGATTGCCCAATCTGGTTCTTACTACCATGTCCTTTAGGTTCTTTGGGCTTCTGTATGCAGCTAATGGAGATTCCTTAAAGACCTCTGCTATTCGTTTGTTTGAGTGGAGAATTGGCATGTTCTTTTTAAGGATACCGCTGATTCTCCTAAGAACAGTATGGTATTTGGTTTTCAGAATTTAATCTAATCTTATTTACAGACCCACTTAGAGTGTGGCACTATACCTTAAGGTTTCCAGATTAATGTCACGCCTAACATAGGGCCAATCTCCAAACGCTTTCAAGAACGCTGGGAATATATTACAAAGAGGTGTTCTAAACAACTGATATCACTCTGTTTTTCTTGGGATATCCACAAGTTTGGACAATTTGAGAGTGATATCACGTCCCTAGAATCATCCCTCACTGAGAGCATGAACCAAGCTGATCTTGATGAAGCGCATAGCATTAATGACACCTATAATATGGTCCTAAAAATGATCTCAACAAGATTCAAAGAAAGAAATTTCTCCGAGACAGTGTTCCACAGACCAGGAACAACTGATCAGAGGTCAGAGTAACAAGAGTAAACCCCGCTTGGGACGATTCAACAGCTGTTCAAGCGTATAGAGGCAATCACGAGGAACGAACCCTTACAAACTCCTGACGTCTGCCCACTGTTCAATAAATCTAATGTTTCTCTCTCCGAATCGGAGACCTCACTTCTTTCCAAGGGGCTGAATTTCTGCCCCATGCTACATGAGGTCGACGAGAAACAAGTTAGAGAGGACACCCGAGTATTCTTTCGGAGACTTTGGTTGAAGGAACACTTCTCTAGAAGACTCCGAATATGATTCATACGACTCTTCCCAGCCACAATTGCACGACCTAGAGAAACACAAAATCTATCGGCCAAGAAGTGACTGGGAACCTGCACCGGGCAAATGCGGAACCCTTGATTGACGCCGTTGATTCAGACATTGACAAACTCCTGTCTATGCCAGACAAGGCCCCCGGCACTTAAGTAAGGAAGAGAGATCCGCCTTAAAATCATTAAAGAATCGGGATGACAGTGTGATCAAGAAAGCAGACAAAGTAGTGCTTGATAAAGAGACATACATGGCGGAGGCCCATACTGCCCCATAGTCAACTCTCAGACGAACGTTTCTATAAGAAACTGGACTCTGACCCTACTAAAGAATTCTACACCGCTAACACCAAAACTCTTGACGAAATGTTTCAGAAAAAAGAGATTGGTATCAACGTCTATGAAACACTCAAAACGAAAATGGCCCTATCTTACATCAATATTTTCATGGGCAGACTTGAACGCAACTTGTTACATCAAGCACCGTTTAGGCCCCTTAGCTGGTTGCGTTTCATTGACGATATAGAGATGAAGTGGATGGAGTGCCGCGACAGCCTCAAGGCATTCATTTCCTTTGCTAACACCTTCCATCAGTCTATCAAATTTAAGGTAGACGTATCTAATCCGAAAAACATGTTCCCAGATACTTCATCTACCCTGATTGATGGTGAAATCGAGTTCTGTCTTCACACGAAACCCACCGATTCCCATCTGTATCTTATGCCGACTAGCTGTCACCCCCACACACATTTAAGGGATTGCTTAAAGGTCTAGCCACCAGAATTAGGTGTATCCGTTCATCCTCTGTCTTATATCAGGAACAAAGCAATCTCCTCAAGTCCCACTTATGCAAGAGAGGCTACAAAGCCCGAGCCGTACAAACTGCTATTGCTGAGATGGCAGGACATGACAGAACATTTTACACTACAAGGAGAAAGACACTAACAGCAGGGTCCCTCTAGTAACCAAATACCACCCCGCCCTTAAGAACATCGACGGTATCCTTAAATCTCCACTCAAACAAACGAATAGCAGAAGTCTCTCTTTAAGGAACCTCCATTGGCTGCATACAGATGCCCGAAGAACCTAAAGGACATATGCATGGTAGTAAGAACCAGATTGGGCAATCCATTATCTAACGGGGGCTTTAAAACTTAACTTGTTCTGACAGAAGATATCTTCTCTGTAAGCACAGCTCTGACACAGACAGCTTTAACAGCTCCGTTACAGGCCGCAGCTACAGAATTCTAGGGAATTTGTCCTGTCAAACAGACAACTGCATATATCTCATCAATTGCAAAGTTTGTTCCAAACAGTATGTTGAAGAAACGAGAGATATCCACAGGAGAGTCAATAATCATCGTTCGACCATTAGGACAAAAAAAGTCAATGAACCCGTTGGAGAACATCTCAACATTGAAGGTTATAAGTGAGAGGACATGACAGTAGTGGTTATTGACCATAATCCAAGATGGACAGACGCTCAGAGAAAAAGCAAGGAAGTTCTGGATGCACAGTACTGAAGTCATTCCGCCCTAATGGTATTAACAAACTAAATAACTTCACCAAGATGAACGTGAACTAGACCCAATTCCTGATTGTAACAAACAAGTGTTCACTAAGTGTTGCTGAAAATGAATATCTTTTTTCCATTGTGCATTCATATATTCAGCACTCTGGCAGATTTAAATGATATATTGAAATTGTTTATGTATTGCATTTGTATATATCACAAATTTTCTTGCAGTTTACAAATTCATGTTGTGAGTTTATCAAATTTATTTCTAAAACTGTGTAACACATTTAACTCAAACTTTATAGACTTCTCATGTTGGGAGAGGAGGGCGAAATAAGTTTTACGAACTTGTGCCCAATCCCATTGTATATATATTGCAATAAAATATGTTCAATACAACAAACAAGTTCATTCTCTCTATAGTTTAAACTTTACCGTTAATTCGAATTTTCAATTCTGGAACAACCCATACAGATTTATTGCTTACATTTTTTTAATTATTTCTTTTATCCGATAAACAGTCTTAAAACATTTCCAAATTTATAATGCATCCAAACTCATATTGTAAAATTTCCTTTCCATATTATCTTTTTTTGGTTTCTTTTTGTCATGCATAGTTAACGGTATTTTGAAAGAATAAGACAGGGTACTATTTACTACTTGGTCGTAATTAATTAGCGATAATTAATTTGGTCAATTATGTAAATCGCACTTCATCAGAGCAGATGTATTTCATAGCGGTCCGGATTTCTTTCTTTACAACTGGTTATAAACTTCGAATGAAACATGTAACATTGTATATACAGTTTAGTAATAGTGCTAGTTGTTTTTTTTTCTCTGTTTCCTTTCTTTTAACTTTTTTCTTTGTTTTGAGGAAGGGGCAGGGCGTCCCGAAAATTTGACAATTTTCATTGTTCATTTCGTTGGTCATTTTTAGCACTTTATATATATATATATATATATATATATATACAATGTATATATGACTACCTGAGTGTAGTTAGCATGTTGACATCCAGCAGTTCCTGCCTGAAATAGAGATTTTAAATAAGTATTTTCCCAATAATATTCCCATGTAAAACTTGAATTTTTCATCGAGCCCCCACCTTCCCCTGCTCCGGTGGCCATGATGAGGACAAACTTGAATCTACTTATCTTGGACTGCTTGATTATTAAAATGACTTATCAAGGCCCAGTTGTTCTTTACAAGGAGATTTTTAGTTTTTTCTATAACTTTCTGTATAAGAAATTGATCTCAAGATTGAAACCAAACCCTGTCCTGGGACTCATGACTTGAAAACAAACCTAAATCTACACTCCTGAGGATGCATACTTATTCATATGACTAAACATAACCCTGCTATTCATTTATTAAAAGATTTAAAGACTTTTCCGTTATAAACAGCTTAATGGTAGATATTACTTTGGGTAGAACTGTTTTGTTTTGCAATCAACCATTCTAGCACTTGGAACACAACCCTCTGACCCCCTTCTTATTCATTCATATTTTGGCGTTCCAACTATTGAAATAAGATATGAGTTGTATTTTCTAAATTTCTTTTGCATTTTATTTTTAAAACATTCCCAGATACAATTTTATATGAACAGCAGTGTGAGCCCTGAAATTGTGAGGGTGTCATTTTATTGTATTTAGATTATGTATATAAGTTTAAATTATAGGATTTTCAAGAAAATATTTAATGTAGTATTTGTACTTTTAGTAAAAAATATATGGGTGGTGCATGGGTCTTTATTTCATTTTTTATGGGAGTGGGGTAGATGGAAATATTAAATTCTATGGGTGGTTGCAATTGTCCTTCTACCCCCCCCCCCCCGAATTTTTCTGGGATAGCCCTAATAATTTTGAATCCATATTGTGGACTAAAATCTAGTAATAAAGGGGCTATGATGTATTCAGAGTTGAATCCACACAAAATTGCGATGCATCAAAATGACCTCCATGGCCC